ATACATTTACCTTCGAATTCTACATAAAGCAAAGTTGTTATTGAAAAACTTTAGATTTTAATCAACAAATTATTTTCAAATACTACATTTAAAAATTTAAGTGATTAAGTTTTTATTTATTATTCATTTTTTGAGTTGATATAAATCATAGATGAATCTAATAGGCTCTAAGATTTTATAATGATGTTTGAAAAAGTAGCTGTTATAAATTATTTTAAATATAGAAATCCTGAATTCAAAGGACTTAATTTTGAGTAATTTTTATTAGGATCATATTTAAGTTTATGATTAGAATTTAGATGAATATCATCTATATTGATTATATTTGAATTATTAATACATAAAATCCAATAATTATTAATTTAATCATTCCTTATTAGCGATATATCTATTTTATTGCTTTATAAATCAAATATACATATTGATTTTTTTTCTTGCATATCTTATTAAAATTGACAATTAAACTGTATTTAATTTAATGTAACCTTTTTTACTTCAATAGAAGAAGTTTCAAGTAAATTCTGAGAAATTTTTATTGGATTCTTACCACAAATTAAGATACTTTCCATATACAATTCATTTATTTTATGTTTGTATCCAGAAATAATAGTTTCTGTATATATTATGAATACTGAATTATACAAAATTATATTATAAAATTCTATTTGGTTTAATATGCTATAAGGATTGAGTGATAGTAATGTACTTAAATTGAATTTGCAATTTTGTACAATTATTCCATCAATTAAATTAAAGTTGGAATTTTGAAGTAATATAAATTCACTATTGATTAAATTAGAATTGATAATTTGAAAATCTTATAATACAAAATTATTGACAACAATTAATTAATCTACAAATTTATTGAATTAAGAATTTTCAAATGAACAATTATTTAAAATTATTTTATTGATTTTAAATTAATCAATATAATAAAATTTAGTAAAAAGATAAATAAAAGAACTATTTAGAAATATGCAATTTTTCAAAATTATCTCTTAAATTACTACTGAATAAAATTTAGTTTAATTATCATTTTAGTTTAAATTAAAAAGAGAAGTATTAAGTAAAGTAATGTCATAAATATCTAATTTTTATATAAATAAATATGTAAAATTTGTTATTGTTATTAAAGGACTATCTCTTACTTAATTATGTAATGTAATGTTATGAATGTAAATACTAACACCTAATTATGAGGAAATAATAATTTGATTTTTTTAAGAGTAAAATTTAACATTTTATATGTTAACTGTTGTTTAATTAATAATGGATATCTATTTTTCATGAAATGTATCATTATATCCATCATAGAGAACAGTTGAATTGAAAATAAAAAAAAGGAAAGCTCTTAAATTTATAGGATCTTCTTCTCTAAATGCATTATAATTATCAATATAAGTACTTACCTTTCTTCTTTTTAAATATTCAAAATCAATATAAGCTTGAGCATTCGAAATAGGTGAATCTGGAAATTAAGGTTTTTAAATTGAAAGTAAGAATTTTTGATTATTTGTGTCTTTGGATAGTTGTTGCCCAGATTAGTGATGAATAAAAGTTTCATTTTGATTTTGATTTAATAAACACTTATAAGTTTAAGCCTTTGTATCTTCATTAATTATAAAATAAGGATTTATTTGATTAATTGTTGAATCAGATATAGGAACACAAAATCTACATGGATAAGGACAAATTTAACATCTACCATAAAAAAATGTTTAAGCATCATATCCCTGATCTAAATTTTAACATTTAGAGCAATAGCCTTTATTATGCCAAATAGCACATCTATTCTCTATCATTGGTATACATGAAACCACAGATAAAAGAAAGCCTTCTTTGCATTCTAAAAGAATATATTCTGTGAAATAATAATTTCCAATTAATTATATAGGAGTACTATTAGGGATAAAATTTAAATAAAAGCTTACTAAATCATATTTCCAAGAATCTTATGATGAAGTTTCAGTTTTGCATGTTCTTGAATTTTCGAATTTTTGTGAACAAGTTTAGCAAAGACCATTGTGATAATCTAAATAATATCCATCGAAACATTTGATACAATAAATCATCTTAAAACTATCTTAAATACAAGATTAACAATTTGTAAAATATTTCAAGCAATCATGAAATTATGAAACAAGATTATTTTCTTGCTGATTGAAAATTCCTAAAGAATTAGTGCAAACAAATTATAAATTCTCATCTATATAACCATTAATGCAAGGAGAATTTACTTATTATAAAACACATTCATTTATCTAAAAATTGAATACATAACCTTAATTACATAGAGCACATGCCATAATATAATCTTCTTCATTTTAAGATATTAAAATTTATGCTATATCAGAATTCACTGAAACTTAACTATGATCATATCTATTATATTAGAAACAATATTTGCAATTTTTAACTTTACATAATCTACATTTTCTTTCCCAAGTAAAGAAATATTCAGTTGGGCTTTTACAATATTTGCAAGAACCATCAAAATTACATTATCCACAATTTGATTCACAGACTCTATAAAAAAAAGGTTTTGGATTATACTTACATTTAAAAGTTTCAGCATCATATCCATAGCGACAAGTTATATAAAAAGATTTTTCAACATGTTTAAAAGGATACAAAAAACAATCATTATAGTTATTCTAAATTTCAGAATCTGAACATAAATCACAATACCCACATGATGATAATTCATTATCTATTAGAATGAATTCTTTTAAAATATCAATAGAACTCACACCCAATTCATTATAAACAGCATTTTCAATTCCAGGTTCTTAAATAAATAAATTCCCACACTTACCTTCATAAATCCAAGTATCAGGATTTATTAAACAATTAATACAAATAATATAATTTTTTTATGATGCTGATGGACTATAAAATAAATATTAATTTATACCATTAAATACATTCATCATTATATAAAAAATAACCAAAAGCACAAGTTCTAAATTTTTCATTTTCATCATATCTTGGATCATTCTTAAGATATTCTTTTATTTCTAAATACTATTTTTATTCTTATCCTATACAAATATTATCTGCTTAATTTTCATAATGCCATTATTTGCAATTACAACTCTTTTGAATATTATCATAAATTCTATTCTAATAAACAAAACAACTTAAACATTAAGATCTAAATGGTCCATAACAAGTTTTACAAGTATTATGACAATATTAAATTTAGTAATTATTATCTAAACAATTTTAAAATTTAACAGATCCAATTTCTAATTTGTTTTAATTCATTTAATATTGATTTCCTCCAAAATAAATTTTCATTTTTGTATTTGTAAATTAATTTACATTTCCAAAGATCTTTATTTTCTATTCCTTTAATATAAAGTTTTCTAATTAAACTATTAATTATTTTTCAAGATATTTCACTTAAATCAAATGCCATTCATTTATGAATTATATTGAAATAGATTCTTAAAAAAATTATTTGTAAGGATCATCAATAGATTCATTTATTATTGGAAAGTCATATGAATAATATTCAAAATAATAAATCAAATCCTCTTCTAAATATTCATAATTAAGAATAACACTATTACTTCCTATTTTTCCTATAAAATTAGAAGATTTATTTATTGACAATCTTAAAATTTAATTTAATGATAATTTTGAGGGTAATATTTTCATCCAAAATTATAAAAAGAATGAGTTCACATATTCATTTTCGGTTGAAAATTCTGTGTATGTACCTCCTTCATTAGAAAAGTAACTTGATATTTAATCATTTTATTGTGGGACACATTTAGAGATAAAATTTTTATCATCTAAAATTGAAATCTCTTCTTCTAAATAAAAACTCAAAAATCCTTGAAAACTACTTAATAGAAGTGTTTAATTAGGTATTGAATCTAAGATCTACAATAACAATTATTATATACTTTTAAGCTACCACCAAGAATTAAAAGAAACTCATTCTTCCCAAATTAATTAGTAGAAATTTATTTTTATTGATATCCATTTTATTATTTAATACCTATAATCAATTATTGTTCATTAAAGTACATATATTAAGATATCCATTGTCCTTCATAATTCTAATAATCAATTAGAAATTCCTCTTAAATTTATTGCGATAATGTCAAAATTTTTATTACATGCTTAATTTATTTAAATTACTCATTAAACTCTACAAAATGCAGAATCCTTGCATTCTAATTTTCTAAATCAAGACCTGCATATATTAATTGAGAATTAGTTTCACTTCTAGAAATTTCACCTACATTTTCAAAATTATTGAATGGTGTATATTTTGAAAAACTTCCTATTAATAAATTTTATTCATTCCAATTAGTCATCATTCTTTTCACTGCTGTAATCTAATCTATTTTATATATGACTGCACTTATTGAAAGTATTAATGAATAATGATAAAATAAACTTTTCATAATTTATAATATTTATATTTTTGAATAACAGGTTGCTTTAATGAAAATGTATATTTTTTAATAAAATATGATATTATAAGAAGTTTTATGGAAATTTATTACAATTTATAAATATCATAAAAATCAAAATTTCATTATTATTAAAGAAAAAAGTTAAGAGATTTAAATAATAAATTCTAATCATAATCATCCTTTTATTTTAAGTTTATTTTAATATTTATGTTCTATTATTTTGACTTCATTTATTGATTTAAAATAAAAGTAAAATAATTAAAAAACAAAAAATCAAATTAGAATTTATTACTATGATTATAAATAATAGTAACAGGTATTTAAGTTAATAATAATTTATTAATTGAAATTTGATTTGTGACTTGGAATTAAAATGAAATTGATCAAATTTATTACTATTATGTATCTTAAATGTATAGAATCTAAATTAGTAATTTAAAGTTTGCTAGAATAATTATTAATCAACAACTTCATAATACAAAATTATTAGTATTTATTTATTAAGACTTTATAGATTATATTACGCATTAATGAAAGTCACAAAAATAGGAAAAATTAAGTAAGAGATCATTTTGAAAGAGCTGTTACTAGTAATGTATACCCTTACTTAGTTGATAGGTATTTTGTTGAATAATCAGTTCCTCCTTTCTTAAAAGTAAAAAATGGTGTTTTTCTAATTGGTTAAATAATAATCGATTAGGCAATGTGATCATTATTTCCACGACTATTTGATCTACTATGTTTAATTAATAAAAACAATACCTTATGGTTTAGTGATCTAAAGTAATTTTGTATGTCTAAATAGTGTTTATTTGTTGAATTTATATTGTAGTATGAAATGTGCAAGCTTCATCATTTATGTTAAGAGATTCTTCCTAGAATAATTGTTATTAATACTTGTTAAATTTGATGAGTTGTTTATAAGTTAATGGCATTTTGCTATTGAGAAATTTTTTATTTTTTTGCATTTGAACAGCATAACATTTTATAAAATATTACAATAAATTAATATGGTTTTTATTTAAAAAATAATTTTATTTTTGTAATTAAATCAGCATGTTTGCCTACTTATGAATGCTTTGTTGATAATGCTCCATAAACTATCATGTTAAAAGCAATAAATAACACCTCCTCTCTTTTATTATGTTGTTTATCTGTTCAAATCACAAAAGCATACATTATTTGAAGCTGCAGTAATACCAAACTTGGAATGATCCTTGGTATATGAAAATGTAAAAGCCTAATATGATAAAATTATTGTATACTCCATGTTATCTGACTAAATTGGAATATGATTTAGGCACTTAATCACATACAGGAGCTTATAGTCCACCTGTTCCATTTCCCCAGGTTTCCATAATAAAGTCTATGCCTAAAGCAGGTGCTACAACATCAGCATAGAAATCTTCAACAAGGTTTTCATTTTTTGAATAAGCTGTTAATGTAAATCCTCCTTTAGAAGATATTTTGATTGAGTCTTATAGAGCAGCCTAATATATAATTTAATAAATTACTGATAAAACAGTTCCAGATTCTGTTTTGTATGTTTTGGTTCTTGAATTTGTTTTTAGCTAATATAATTAGGGGAATGCTGTTGCAAAAGCAGCAGGACTATTGGCTCTATTGGTTAGAGTTTCAGCAATTATATATTCAGTTGCTAATCTATTAGCCTCTGTAGTTGTAATAGACAAACACATATAATGTTGACCATATACTTAAGAAGAAGAAGGCATGCCTAATACAATTTAACTAATAAAATTTGTATTGAATTTTTTACTCGTATGCGTCATCAAGCATTGGGAACGTAGGTGTTGAATGAGAGATAAGAAATGCGTCTCCATTTATATTGGCACTTAAAATACCCTTTGAATGGGCTCTGTCTGATATTGTATTTTTGTTCCAAGGTTAATCACTCCATAGGACACTCATTACATTATCATCATGGAAATCAATTTAAGCTATAGTTCTTTATAAAGGAGATGTTAGATCATCCAATTGATCAGTTTGCCAATCAAAAGTACCACAATTATTTTTGGCATCACAATACAAATAATCCATTCCTTGAATATTGAAAATTTTATTTACCTCTAACACTAAAAGTTTTATCTGTTGGCATCTTCAAAATAAACCACCAATCTATAGCGTTTCCACTATGATCAATGCAGGTCTACCCAAAAACGAGGAGTAGCAATGAAGAGAAAAGTAAAAAACTTTTTAAAGAAGACATTTTGACGTAATTTATGAAGAAATTATTGTTTATAAATAAGAATTAATTGGCTTTTAATTAATAAATTAATAATATAATTATTTTTCCCTCAAAATCATGCATACTATTCAAAATGAATTATATATCTTAAGGAATATTTAGATAGATAAAAATTTATATTATATTAAACAAATACTCTTTTATTTTATCTAATATGGATTTCCTTCTAAGGTAAATGTAGAAAAATATTAATTTCTAAAATTTTACATGGTATTGAGTATTTACTTAGATTAACATTATAAAGAACTAAATAAATTAAAATTGTATCAAATATTATCAAAATTAGGCATTTTTGGTCTTAAGATTTTAACTGGATATACTACTTAATTGCCACTATTTTTTTTATGTAAACTATTTTCTTTTTGGATAATTAAGGACTTTTTTGAATTCTATCCTGAAGGAGGAAGTGGTTATATAGTTTTTGGTGGAATTTTTTAACTTTGATTAGAAATTTGATTCTATAGATTTGGAGGTGGAAGTTGAGATTAATTAATAAATGGAGAGGCAATTAATGGCTATTATAATTACTTAGGATTGCTAGTGCTTCTTTATGTAGACCTTTAAGAAGGAGTGTTTTTCCTTTAAGGTACACTTTCAGGGATGTTTTCTTTATTTACAGAAAATGATTTAAGTGCAAGTTTTCTATTTCCTCCATCTTTAGTAAAAACAGCATTAGATCCCTAATTATATATATTTTGATACTTTTAGAATTGATTTAAATTAATTAAGAGGATTATGCTTTTATTAAACATGTTATTCTGTCCAACCAATTAAAGAAATGTAAGACTTATTATTCATTTTTTAGAATTCTGTTGGTTGAATATAAATTTAATCTATTTATTATGATTGAGCATTAAAAAATGTATTAGTAATTATGACTTCATCTGGATTTGTATTAGGTTATCTAAAAATTTATAATAAATAAATTAAACATTTCCCATTTTTTAGAGAGAGTTTCTGGATTAAGTAATTTCTCAATTTGGTTAAGAACAGTGAAAAAAGATGTTTTGATTTCTAAATCACTTCTTCTGGAGTTCAAATATTCTAGTGTCTTATAAAGTGACCATTTGAATCTTAAGTTAATAATTAACAATCATACTTATTCATTAAATAAATTGTAACTAAAGAGCAAGCTCTACTCTATCCATGTAAAGAGGTTATCAAACAACTTTAACCTAAAGTAACACTTTCTTCTATAAACTCATGAACATTATTTACAAAGTCCTTTGATACAACTATCTTGATTAAAATAAAAAACTTTTACTTCTGGTTAATCTTCTGGCCATTAAAATGAGAAATACATGATCCCAATATTTTCTAATAGATTTTCAATAGAATCAGAGGAACAATTAACAATATAGCCAATTTTGTTTGCCACAATAAATTCTATGTCCTTAATAATTAAATTTTAAATATATTACTTTTGCTGCATATTCATCACCTATGTACAATCCATCCTTAACTTTGCAAGCACCAAATATTATTTATTGTTATGGTTATGCACTCATTAATTATATTTTATATTTTATAATCTAATTATCAATGAATTTTAAATTATATTTGAATATTCTGATTGTTAAAATAATATTAACTAAATGAATAATCTAAAAATTATCAATTACAATATTATAACATCTAATTAGTTGTAAATGTGTTATTCTATTGATTTCTCATCTACAATAATGGTTGTAATTATTACTATAAGTTGTATGTTAATTTTGTCCATTGAAACCGACTTATTATAAATAAATCTTTATGAGCATATTTTTAGTTCTAATTTATATATAAATCAATGAGATTGACAAAAAAGAAAAAGAAAAGAAATTATCTAGAAATTAGACAACAATTTTTGTTATTATTGTAAATTACATGCTTGTTTAATATTCAATTTTTAATCAAGAAATCGATTTATAAGCTACATAATTTGATTATGATCCGAAGCCTTTGAATAATTCTGAAGAGATGAAATGTATTTATTCACTAGCTTTTTTATATAATAAGATAATATGAAATTTCTTCAGTTTTAATTCAAATACGAATAATAATCATATTCATGTATGAGTTTTCCCTTTATTAGAGTTTTCAATGTTAGTTTTGGTTTAATATTATCTTAAAATGATTTGAATCCTGCTATCTTAGGTGGTCGATGTCTCAAAGTGTAAAGTATTGTTTTTGCAGTGGAGTAATTTAAATTACAAATTATTGCAGCCTATGGAAGGAATAATATATATATATACATCTTTGATTCTTAGCTTTTTATCAAGGACAAGGGAAATTAATTAATTCTTTCTTTCAGGAGAAATGTGACAGTATTTTCTTTTGGACTTTTAGATTGAATGTTAAATGCCCTTGAGTTGTTATCGAGTCTTTACTCTATAAGTATGAAGTGAAGATAAAGAAGCATCATCGAAGTTCATTATTATCTCGTAAATTAGATGTGTTAAAAAAAGATTTTTTAAATAAATTCCAAATCAATTTATTAGGCTTTTCTAATGAGATTGCGAGATTAATTATACATTTCCTATTTAATCAAAATATTAAAGACTTAATTAAATAATTATTCCTTATGGATATCAAAAAAACTGAATTGATTAATTGAATTTTAATTATTAATAATAATAATTTTAAACATAATTTTGGGCTTCTATTATTTTAAAATATCAACTACTTCTACAACCTCTTTACAAATTCTATAAATTGATTTCAAATCTGCATTTTACTGAATAGGCATATCGAAAATCTAATTATTTTGTCATATATTTATATTGTTAAAATAAGATAAATTTTTAACTGGATATTAATATGAACTTCCAATTAGACTTTCAACTATTCATAATTGTTTAACTCCTATATAAGCATCAATTCCTCTTGCATTCAAAATTTTGTTTGTCATTTCAAGCTTTGGTACCATAACTGGATATTACCTAAATTTATCTTTTAATAGAATAAGAATACCAGAACCTTCTATATTCAACTGCATGTATTTGTAAGTTTAATATATACTTACTTTTTTATCATACAAGCAGACCTCCTTGTTTAAAAATGCTTAAACCTACTCGTTATCTTTAAGTTGCTATATTAAATTAACCAACAACAAATGGATTCATTCTCAAAGCTAAAATCACTAACATAGGGTCAGGTACTTTAAATCTTTAGGTTTAAAGAATATCTGATGGATTCTTTTTAAAACCACTTATACTATTAACAACAAATTCTTTATTGTCTTAATTTGGAAAAATATTAATAAAGACCAATCTTGAACTTCTATTTATTTTTCTAATATTTAACAATATCATATTGATTAAATTTATTAAAGTCTTTTTAATATAACTAGAACTTTATATAAACTTTACTTTCTTTGAGATCATTTGGATATGATTCTTACAAGGCTTTCATTTTTCTAAACAAAACATCATTATTATAATATACACTTATAGATCCACCAAAGGAGGAACAATTTTTTAAGGAACAAAAAAAAAATAGAAAAGTCAACATTTGGATTTACTATTGATTTTAATAATTTTATACATTTTGAATTAGGAACTACAAAACTCTAAGCTTCATCTTCCAAAATAAACAATCCTTTCGATTTTACCTAATCAATAATTTCTGAAGCATCAAATTTTGCTCCAAAAACTTAAGAAATCATTATTCCTTTGGTCTTGTATGTACAAAACTGATACTTTTTCTGTATAAATTGTTTAAATTAATTTAATTTGCATCCTAAAGTATCTGGAGTTACTTCTACAGGTATATTTAATCGAATTATTTATATCATTTCTGGAATACAAATTCCTTTTTTAATAACCTCAGATCCTAGTGACCAATTTAACGCATTGATACTAAAATTAAGTTGACTTGTAAAACTAAATCTTTAAAAGCTTTAATACATAAAGTGATTAATATTTTATAATTTTTCAATTTTCCTAACCAAATTTCTTCAATTTGTAATAAAGAGCTTTTAGAACAACATTTCTTTCTCAAATATTTATTTTAATAAAGAGGATTTAAGTATGTCCATAAAGTATGAAATAAATGTCTATATTACATATCAATAAATAAAGATGAATAAGGGACGATCTAATAACCTTTGATCATAAATTTTTTAACAATTAAATATAATGTAAATTTTGGATTTAAAAAAATATAATTAGAAAATTCATCTTCAATCTTATTTTTACTAAATAAATTAAATATCTAAATCTTCTTAAATATCTTCATTGTTTTAATTTTGTTCAATCTCATAATTATTTTTAAATTATATTAAACTAAGCTTATGTTTAACTTATGTCTCAATATTGTTATCAAACAAAATTTAATTTAAAACTTTGAAATCATTTTATTTTGGCTTGCCATAAATTTCTAATACTTTTTGAAAAGCCTTCAATTACTTAATAAATCCTACGTTAGGTTAGGCTTCAAAATGATGTTATTTGACATGTTAAAATGCTTATTCATAGGTTACACGTAGTGAAAACATAACATAAGCAATTGTTATTGAAACTGATCTAGATTTGCCTCCTAAACAATGAACTAAAATTGCAGCATTTTCTATAAAATTACATTTAAAAATATACTTATGTTTTAATGAATGAATTCAATAGATTCTGGAATATGTGTAATTATCACTGTGCAAGGATTATCTGAAATGTTTAGTTGCTTATATTAAACTTTATTAGGATAATATTATTGTAATCCTTTAGCACAAATAAGAATGTATTTTATGTTTTTTTCTTTAATAAACTTAATATCCTTGGCGATGCTAACACTTCCTAAGTAAAGATTTTATAGAATCAGAGACATGAATTGTTTATTTAAAATTAATAAAGAAATATTTGGGATAGTATATAAATGTACNTATCATTTCTGGAATACAAATTCCTTTTTTAATAACCTCAGATCCTAGTGACCAATTTAACGCATTGATACTAAAATTAAGTTGACTTGTAAAACTAAATCTTTAAAAGCTTTAATACATAAAGTGATTAATATTTTATAATTTTTCAATTTTCCTAACCAAATTTCTTCAATTTGTAATAAAGAGCTTTTAGAACAACATTTCTTTCTCAAATATTTATTTTAATAAAGAGGATTTAAGTATGTCCATAAAGTATGAAATAAATGTCTATATTACATATCAATAAATAAAGATGAATAAGGGACGATCTAATAACCTTTGATCATAAATTTTTTAACAATTAAATATAATGTAAATTTTGGATTTAAAAAAATATAATTAGAAAATTCATCTTCAATCTTATTTTTACTAAATAAATTAAATATCTAAATCTTCTTAAATATCTTCATTGTTTTAATTTTGTTCAATCTCATAATTATTTTTAAATTATATTAAACTAAGCTTATGTTTAACTTATGTCTCAATATTGTTATCAAACAAAATTTAATTTAAAACTTTGAAATCATTTTATTTTGGCTTGCCATAAATTTCTAATACTTTTTGAAAAGCCTTCAATTACTTAATAAATCCTACGTTAGGTTAGGCTTCAAAATGATGTTATTTGACATGTTAAAATGCTTATTCATAGGTTACACGTAGTGAAAACATAACATAAGCAATTGTTATTGAAACTGATCTAGATTTGCCTCCTAAACAATGAACTAAAATTGCAGCATTTTCTATAAAATTACATTTAAAAATATACTTATGTTTTAATGAATGAATTCAATAGATTCTGGAATATGTGTAATTATCACTGTGCAAGGATTATCTGAAATGTTTAGTTGCTTATATTAAACTTTATTAGGATAATATTATTGTAATCCTTTAGCACAAATAAGAATGTATTTTATGTTTTTTTCTTTAATAAACTTAATATCCTTGGCGATGCTAACACTTCCTAAGTAAAGATTTTATAGAATCAGAGACATGAATTGTTTATTTAAAATTAATAAAGAAATATTTGGGATAGTATATAAATGTACATATTTTTTATTAATATATCAAAAAGCTGATCAATTGTACTGAATTATTATTAATATTTACCTTATGAAAGCCAATCAATTCATAATTTTCTCTAAAGCATCTTCTGCATACATTCATACCATATTTTCTAATCAAACCTTATCTAGCTGCACATACTCTGCATTCTAAAGAATTAATAAGCAAATTACCTCTGGAATCTTTTCCATAAGTTCTTGGATGTGTTCTGAATAAGTGATTTGGCATGCCTTGTTTTATTTTATTTAAATATTTATTAAAATCATATTAAATTACAAGAATTTAGTAGTAATAACAACAAAGCTTATCAACTTATTAGCATAAAAATAAGTTCTCTAGAATCAGCAATAAATAAAAATATCAGAAGTTATTTAGTAAAATTATATAAATGGATGAATTATTTAACAAATTGATATAAAAATATTTGAATGCAATATCTCAATGTGTTAATTTTAGAGAATTTTGAATAAATAATTGGAAAGTATAAGATATCAATTAATTTATGCATCAATATATGATTCATATGATAATGTCACATTTTTCATAGTCAAATGTTAAATTAAGAAATGTATCAAATTTTCACTTCATTTAAACAAGGAATGAAGGTTTTTTATAGTATTTATCTTTTAGATTGTTAATATTAAAGTTATTGTTGATCTATCAAAAATCAGTGTGTGAAATTTTCAAAAAGTCAAGGCTTCATAGAGAAAAAGATGATTCTAATGATTAGAACTAAGAATATTAAGAATGGTTTGTAAGAAGTTAGATTTAAAATGAGTATAGATTCCATAATATAAAAAATGATTTTATTATTAAAAATATAAAAAGAAATTTTATTTATTTTTAGTAATTGATTTATATATAATATAAACAAAATTTGATATTTCAGTAAGGAAATCATTGTTTAGCCCATTCCTCTAAGAAATCTGATTCACAACTATCATGTATATCTGATTCAGATTTTGTTATATCAGTCTACTTTGATTGCATATAGTACTTTTAATCAAAACTAATAATTAAGGGAGTTTATTTAATTGGAAGCTCTTAACTTGATCTGTTTGATGAATACATTTTATCACTGCAAGTAGAGGCACTCAATTCTGAATGATGAGGTTCTATTTATTTTTAGTAATCTTTGATTGTAATTGATTAATTAAGGAGATGCTTAATCACATCTTAATGACTAGCTTTCCATTCTTCAATTATAATTAATGTTATTCTTGTTGATAATAGTTCTTTCTTATAATTTTAAGCCATTTATATTTATTAATCAAATTGAGTGAGGATATTCTAAAAAGTTTCTTCATCTACTTCTGATAGAATTTCTTATCTATTACTTAGTATGTCATTTTAGATATTAAAGACAACTGATTAGATTTAAGTGACTTCATCTCTTAGATTTTAAAATGTTTTATCTAAATCCATTTCATGATTATTTAATTAAGTGATTAATTCTTTTCTTTTTTATTCTAATAAAGTCTGTATGTATTTAAATTGATGATCAATCCTACATTTTTATTAAGCATAGTGTTTTTTAATAGTTTATAATTTTGAATTCAAACTTTTGATACTATTTTAATCTTCATTTGCTATGTGATTACAAACTTATAAAAATTCTTCAAGTATTTCATCTTTATTCAATTATGAACATAAACTTTCTTATAAACTTTGATGAATTTGCCACGATTTAGACATCTAAATTATTTATTTATATATATATTATTATTATTATAATGCTAAATAAACTAGAGTATTTTAAATTAAATTTAATAAAAAATAAGATAACTTATAATATTAACTGCTTATTATAATACTTTATTGATTATTAATTTCACTCTTCATCTGAATCAGTTTAATTAATAGAATTATTATTACCCTCTTCAGTATCATTATCAGGATCAGATTAAAGTTCAAATGTCATTTCTTAATTATTGTTATTATATCCTATTAATATTAATTATATATATAATACCTGGAATTTTATTGTTGGATGATAATGTATTAAATGGAGCCAATCTTTCATTATCTAATTCTATATCAATATTTTGAGGTGTCATTTTACCACTGAAAGTCAAATGAACATAATCACCCATAATTTTACTTACAGTTGCATTAAGCCATTAATTTTAATCACTAAAAGAATTTAATAATTTATTTACTAATAATCTATTTTTTCATCCACTTTAATATTTTTTTCTGTTAAATCATCATCAGTATCAAAATCTTCATTTTATTTAAATGGTTCTTTGGTCAGATTCAAATATTGTTATTTTTTCCAACTCAATAATTTGGCATAACCTTAGGATGTAATAGGCAAATATATGTTATGCAATCTGTGATTACATTTTTAAGAATTAGAATTATTTGATATTAGTTTCTCATTTGGATTTGCTTATGTATTGTTTGTTTCAATAATCCATTACCATGCTCTTTAATTCTTAACCATCCATTAATAGACTGCTTGATTTCTAAAAACCATCTAAAAATTTATTTTAATATATATATAAATACCCTCAAAATATATTATTAACAAACATCAGTTTCAAAGAAATATTGAGATTATTTTTGCATAATTTCTAATAGTTTACTCATTCCTTAATTAATCTAATTAAATAATTTATTATAATTACTCTCATTTATTGTAGAGAATCCTTTAATGTGAATAATCTTTTTAAAACAACCAAATATTTTCTATATTCCTTATATTCTTTATCCATTATTTATTTTATAATTGCTGTAATAATTAAATCTGTTTATTTTTAATTATCATAAGATAGAACTGAAAGAATGTCAGATATCATCCTAATGGCTAATTTACAATCTCCTTCCTCCAAAATTGCCATTAAAGTAGGATTATCAAATTACAAGAGATTTTATTCTTCCATACTCAAAGCATTCTTTCCTTCAGTCTTAAGTAAAAAGGCAATTAATCTCCACATATAAACTCTACTTGTAGATGGACCAGAATTCATAGATTTTTCAAATTTCTTTTCAAGTAATTCATCATAATAATTAGATGCTATATCTACATTTTAAATATTTTAATATCCTAATAAATTATTTTGATCTTCTGTAAATTTAATTACATTAAGATCATCCAATTTTCTTGCAATTTCTTTATTTGGTATTTATATTTTACTTATATTAATTTATAATGCATCTATAAATAGATCCAAGAATTTTCCAACTATTTTCTTAGATATCAAATATTATGAATTTTATTAACTTAATTTTGCAAATCTATAAAATAGATCATAATATTCAATAGAATTTTTAAGACTCTTCTTTAAATCTGGAATCATTTTAATCCAAGAATTAATTAATGAGGCAACCAAAGACTTTGGTTTATCATCTATATATTCTTATAAAATTTTATATCCTTCTTATTTTTAAACTGTTTCTATTGCTGTCACTATCAAAGTAATTACAAACTTTCTCACCATTTTCTTTGAACAATCAAATTAAAATTCTCTTATATAATGATATTAATTAAAACATTTTAATAACCATTCACATGTATTAGGAGCTCTTCTTAAAAGTTCTTAAATATCCTAAATATTATTAGAAATGAAAGTTTTGTCATTTTCTCTTACTGCACAAGTCAAATAAAAGAAAACTAATGTTTTAACAATTTGTTCTGATACTTTATTTGATTACAATTCAAATTTTATCAAATTTTAAATAAAAATGAAATATTCAGGACTGAAAATAAATCTCTAAATCTAGAATTTTCTATTTTCATCTTTTATTTCATCTAAAAATTGAAAAGTCTTTTAATCTAATTCAATATCCATCAATTCTTCTTAATTATTTAATGGTTTAATTCTCTCATAAAAAAGCATATAGGCACTTTTTGACTTATCTTTAAACTAATTTGGATATTTAGTTTTTAGCATTCTATCAACTCCTCCGAAACCATCATTTTTGACATCCTTGATATCTGCAGGTAAAACATTTATATCATTAAATTCATACCATTTGTTGAAATCATTTCTATCTTAAATGAATGAGTAATAATGTCCACAATCAGCTGAACCTATATGAATAACAACTCCAGTTAATCTATATTAATAATATTCTTATGGATTATCTTATTCTTTTTATGGGTTAGCTCTATTCTCTTATTGTCTAAGTCCTTATTGTGAATAAGGTAAAAGATCTAATTCAAATGGAAATTCTATTCTTTCATTTATCTTAGCTTTTGCCATTAAATCAAAATCGAAATTAAATCTCTTCAAAACTAAAATTAGATGATCAGGTAACTTTTTAATACAAGTTCTCTTTAAAGCACTCACCTTTTTATTACATTATTCACAACTATATGCATTTTCTCCTTCTAATAAATCACCTTAAACTAATGTTTATAAACATTCTTCTAAATTCTTTTTATTAGCTACTGGTAATGATATAGCAAAGAATGGTTCTTCTCTTTCTGAATAATGAGGACATGTCTTTCCAATTATTTCATTAGATATCACTCCTCCAAAATTTCTTTTAACTAAATCTTCATCAGAAGTTGATTTGATGCTTAATTCTATTCTATCCATTAACAAATTACAAAATTCATCAACATCCATTTATTCAAAAATATTAGTTGGATTTCCATCTAAATCTTTGAATGCATGACAGAATTTCTTTGGATTATGATATTATTTCTATGAATGTTTAAGAGCCAAAAATAAACACTTTAATTAATGTAATAAATTCTCTTCTAATACACCTGTACTTTTATCTTCAACTTATAATAGTTTTTCTCTAAAAGCAGGTACCATATACAATTATTGAAGTAAAGAATTCATATAACAAATACATCCTAAATTATATAGACCAACATAACCAGTTGATGATTTCTCATGAAATTTACTTTGAATATTCCAATCATTGAAATTCTTTGTTCTCCATGTATGTGTATAATGAAGAGGGGAGACTACATCTAAGAATTTTTACATATTTTATGGAGATTTCAATAAAGTAAAGAAACAATTGAAACCAGCAGTTCTGGATAATTGTGATTTACATTTACATCTTGTTTCTCCTTCATTTTCAAATAAATAACTTAGTATTTATTCAAATAAACCTTGATGAGTTGAAAGTGACTCAATTCTATCTATTAATGTATTTAACAATTTAAGTAATCCAATCAAAATTTGATCTTAATCTTTTACTGTATTTTCATTATAAGGTAATTATTCCAAGTTTTATCTAATATAAATTAATAATTCTTCAAAATTTAATTTAGGAATATCCAAATTTTACTCTTGATATATTAAATTACAACAAAATTCAAAGAAATGATCACATCTTAATTTTTTATTTGATATTACATTTTTTAAAACATCTTCTAATACTATTTTTATTAATATTTAGCTTTCTGGAGTATTTTTCATATTTAATAATTATAAACTATATTCTCTTTTTAATTCTTAATTTTCATGTTCAACAAAAAAAGTATAAAGTTATTAATTTAATTCAGAATTTTAAATATATTATCTACATCCTTCTTCATCTAAAAAGAAAAAGCATTTTCTAAGTAAACGAGATTCAATTTCATTCATTTCTTTTTATTAAGGTGATTTTCTTTATCCAGACTCTAATTTTTTTTTGGTTTTTATGTATTAACATAATTATTGAATAACTTCTATAATTTTTTATTTAATTTATTCAATAAATTGAGGTTCTTTAATTTTGATTTTTGGATAACTTAATATTTCTAAATAAGTCAAACAACATTTGATTTCAAGAGGACGTTATTAAAATTATAATTGTTATCCTAAAAATTTTAAAATAACTAAATCTACACCATCAAAATTATTAAATTATTCACTCCATTATTCATTTTCCAATAATGCTTATATAATTTATAATATATAAAACATATCAAAGAATTGATAATCTAAGTATTATTTCCAATCTTTACAATTTTCTACTTATCTTTTTTTTATTATATTAATTGGTAATCTATTTATTAAATCCCAAACTTAACTTAAAAATTCAATACTTTCTTATTTGTCTAATAATTTAAATAATATTTCAAATGTACGTTATTCTTAAGAAAGATAATTTTTAGGATGATTCTTATTATTAATCTTTACTTTCACAGTAGCTAATTAATAAAATGCTTGACTTACAAAAGTTTCAACAATATCATATTATTATTCAATTGGTCTATTTTCTATTGTAATATCTAATTGTAAATATGCAACTTATAATTCTTCAGCTAATTTTTATTTCCATTAATTGATAGTAGTAGTATCACCTTCTTTGAATTCAAGATACTTAACCATATTATTAGGTTACTATATTTAAACTTTGAATTGAGTATAATTAATTGGTTTAGTAGATTTCTTAGAAGGAGGGCCACTCTAGAAATAGTTGAATAATTGTAATAAAAGATTAATTGATCTAGTGGTTAAACTTGGACATTATTATTATATCAAATCTAAACATTTGTCCATCATTTCTTAATATATTCTATCACATTATTAATCAAGATTTGAATTTAGTTATGTATATAGATTAATAATAAAGAAGGACATTTATTCTAATAATAATTGATCCTTAACTTTAGCAAAGATATGCCAAATGGCAGATTTCCCTTCAAAATTATGATCATTTACTAAGAATCTGGAAGAGTTGTTAAAATATTTCAAGGTTTGATGAGATTGATTAAATGATTTAAAGAAAACTTGGAATAATTCAAAATCTTCAATAGTATAGCTAATAATAAATTAGAAAGATATTACTTTTCATAATCATTTCTATCAGGATTACATAAGACCTATTTAAAGAATTTAGCTTCACCTTCTTTATCAAAATAGATTGGAGAAATTCTAATAGAATTAATATCTATTTAATAATTGGTTATTAATATCTTATTTAATTCTTTCTTTTGGATACCACCTTTAGTTTTAGAAGAGAGAGCATCCCATAATCTAACACTTTATTCATAAGTAATCTTAAGATGAGTTTATGAAAGGAGATAATTTAACATTTATAATCTGAAGAAAACATTTTAACTAAACTTTTATACTCCATTAATTATAATGTCTTAAGGTATTTCATTTTTAAAATATTGTCTAACCTTTTCCATATATACTTCTATATCTTTTACAAAGAGTTCAATAATATTATATTTATCATCAGTAGATTGAATCAATTCTCTTTTGCCAATCATATTATCTTTAAATTATTTATCAAGAAAATAATGTACAAAACTAATAGCTTAATAGACAGATTAATGACTACCAATTAATTCAAAACATTTGCCAAAATATTATGAGATAAATTATTTAGTTTAAGGAATTTATGAAATAATGAGTCTGGCAGCAGAAAAACACTATTCTTAAATAACACTATTAGTTAATTGATCATCCCTATCTTACAATAATTCCCAAAGTTAATTAAATGTCATGAATCTCTTTTCTGGTATTAATTATAATTATTGTTCATGAAATTTCTAAGATAATGCTGATTCAGTAAATGTTTTAATCATGCTAACAATATTTTCATTATATTTAGAATATGGAATAGCAGAGATGTGATTATATAGTTTTTCAATTCCTTGAAAATTCAAATAAGGTGATACACTCTTAAAGAATTCATATAAAGCCAATTATGTAGTTTCATGTTTATCATGATTATTAATCCATATTTTATCAATATAATCAATTTGGAATGTTTAATTCCTACATAAAAATACTGCAATATCACTTGATCTTTTTATTAATTCTGGATGAACAGAATCTCCTAATAAAGTGTAATCTAAAATTTTATTTTATGTTATCCATCTAATCAAATCATCTTTACTAATTGAACACCTGAATTTCAGATTTGTTTATTCATCATATTTAGATCTCTCAGTAAAATCCTTTATTTCACTTATACCTTTAACTCTCTTTTCTAAAAATGAAGACTTTAAAAATTTCAAAGCCAATTATAATTAAATTTCATCAGTCAATTTAATTAATTATTCTTCTGTAAATCCCTTTTAAAAGTAATATTAATATTCTGATGTGAGCTCTTTAATTTAATCTATATCTGTATCTTTTATATCTTATACAGTCATATTATTAACTCTATTTTACAACCACTCAAATGTCTTTCTCGCCATTTAAGCCTAATCAGGTAATTGAAAATATGAAGATAAGTATTATTATGTTATTACTATTCTATTCATAGCTTTAAGAGGAATATAATTATATTCACCATTTTCTTAAGGTTTCAATAATCCTTCCCATGCTTAAAGTCCTCCTATTTATTTGAAATATGACATAGTTTTTAAATAAAATGGCCATGTCTTTTTAATACATTTTATAATATCTGATGCACCTTAATAAAGTTTCCAGTCATCAATATTCAAATTTTAAGCAAAGCCTTATTAATTTTAGGAAGGAAAGAATTTATCCAATTACTATTACAAATTCTCATAGTTTAGCTTAAAGTTAAATTATATAGGAATACATAGAAAAAAGAGTTTTCTTACTTCAACACTCGCCAAATGGAACCAAATAGCATGCAGAAGGCTTCACATACTTCCTAAAGACAAGCTGCTATTGAGACTCTTTCATCTAGGATGTACAATTCTTAATTGTTTTGGAATCTCATATACTGAGTTAATGAGAATATTAGCTTACATCTGCAAAGTACTTAGGAAATTGTTCGAAATACCACTTAATGAAGTTGTAGTAAGTTTTAATGTATTCCAATGCTATAGGTAATTCTTTTGATGAAAATTCACTAGAGAGCACCATATCTAACCAAATGAATTGTCTCACACGCACAGATAAACATATTTCAATTGGTGAAAGACCTTGAAAATTATTTTACATTATTGAATTTAGTTCCTTGATATATTTTTCACATTCCTCTCTTGAGTATTTTAGGTAATCTCGTGAAGTCTTGCTTTATCTGAAATCATCCCCAGTGTAGTCTTTATGTAAATAATTATATACTTTAAGTGAATCTACGAGCAAAGTTGATCTTATTTTGTGATAATTTGATTATCTAGAATACTTAAGTGACATACACCATACCTCATTTTCCTTCTTAGACATACCATCATATGTAATTTCAATTTCTTTTTCATTTTTTTACAAAATGTATGCCAACTTATGTTACTTGCTTCCTTGATGGAAAACATCAATGTAATTTCCAACAAATAACTGTTCATTCAATTCTGGTTTCTTTTTACTCTTCTTCACGTCCATATTTTTATTTAAATTAATATTTATGAAAACACAATAGGATACTACCATTTTTATTTATTCATATTAAATACATCATGTTTTGAGTTTTACTTCCACCTCTAAAAGTAGGTAATATTTTAAATAAAAAGTAACTCCACCCCTATCTATACATTATATATAATTTTATAATAAGAGATTATTATATTTGCTTTGTCCATTCATTTAGTTTTCTAAACTAGACATGAATAACAATTAAAGGTTTCAGTTCAATTAAATCCTTAAATTTAATAATATTTAATAATGAATATTGATTTTTCAAGAATTTTCAATCTAGTAAGTGAAATACCAACTTAAGTATTTAAATAGACTTGTTTAACTAAATTACCTGAAAAATAGATAGATGAAATCAATAAAACCATTCCTATACTAAAATCACATTTAATAATATATTCCAGCATTTAAGAAAGTTTCATTAACATTTCTGTTCTATTCATACCTAATTTACTTGTGATTGCTGATCAATATTTAGTACTCTCTAATTGTAAAATTACAAAGTTAAAATAATATTCCAAATTTGATGCCTATGCAATATAACTATCAAGTTCAACAGGACATCTCTTATTATTCTTTAATCATAAATAGTAATATTTAGAATGGGTACCAAAATTGAAATCCTTTTGTAAATTAAACAATTTTACAAATAAGTTTTGTTTATTAGAATAGATCATCAAAGATTATTATATAATTTAGCATAAAAAAACTAAAAAATATTATACATCATATGTCCATTCAATAAGAGCAACATAAACAGTCGATATTTTGAATAGTGAAATTTAAACTTTGAGGAGTATAAAACACCCATCCTTATTAGATTTGAAATGGGTTTATGAAGATAATCATTATATATACTTAATATTTGATTATTTTAGATGTGAGAAATTATTAGATCTCCTTAATTAAGGATTGATTTTGGATTAAACATAATTAGCATCAGTAATTCTCCTTTACTTAATTTTAGATAATATTGTAATTATTGTAATCTCTCAAATTTTTAAGAAAGAATAACATTTATCATGGTAACATAACACCAAGTAACATTCTAATCAATACATAATCCTCATTTCTTTAACTATTCTTAGTCAATATGGCATTTATAAGTAGTATTGACTAAGAACCTCTTGATTAATATCTCTCAAATGTGCATGAGAGTTATATAGCACCTGAAATAAAATAAAGTAATGCCAAACCTTCCATTGATAGTGATCTATATTAAATAGGAATTGTATTGTATTTTTTGACATTTTTTGTTCATCACAAAAGGAAAGATGAAAGAGTTGATCGAATTTAATTTGAATTAATTGATAAAGCAGAAGAACATTTATCATAACTTGATAAAAATACTTAATGTATTAATTTTTTAATTTAAGATAAGTATAAAATGGTGTATTGTGCTTCTTAATTAGATTTATTGAGAAGATTGCTTGATAAAAAAGATAATAGAATTAAATTAGAGGAAGCAATTAAACATCATTGGTTTATAAATATAAAATAGAAATTAAAGCCAAAAGTAGAAAGAAGAAAATAGCATTTACCATCTTTAAAAACAATAATTGAATTATGTGAATATAATGAATTTTCAAAAAAATTTGAGAAATAATAAAAAATAATAGATGAAGATTCTGGTAATTTAATATTTTATGTAATAATTAGTACTTGAAGAGAATATATTTATTTAGGATTTGATGTAATAATTAGAAAAGAACTAATAATCCAAAAGACCTTCAAAAGAAAATCATGAAAAATTAAGAATGTTTGAGTAATTCAAGACTCAAATAGAATGTGAAAAGACAAGTCAAGAAAAATAATTTGTATTTTCCAAAAGTATAATGTGATTTACATATTATTAAGTTTTATACTATATAAAAATCAATAACATCCCTATCTGTAAGTAGAAAAGTTTAAAGAATTCTATCCATATGGTACACTGTAATTTCTGACATATGGTGAATAATGTTATGGCATATAGGGATAATGCATTTGTCTAATAATATTTAATATTTAAATGATTACCTTGAGTTAAGTCTTTCATAATTATATTAAGATTGTCTCATTAAATCTTAAGTACTCTGATATTGGCGATGAGGTTAATATTGTTAATGTAAAGAATTGTAACTCTCAGAAGAATTTTATATGTATTAACTTTGACGAAGAGTATTTTATGAGTGTTATCTCTCGTTCTATTTCACTGATGATGTTCTTAGAGAATTAGAACCCTACAATTTTTATTCATATTGTTTAAGTTATCTCATGAAACCAGGATTTGGATTAACAATGCGTCTCTAATTCTAAACATGTTTAAATGCTTATTCCAACGACATATTTTAAGTTTTCATTAAATAAGCAATCACAATAGTTGCAGATCTTGATACTCCTGCATGACAATGTACCAATACACTTGTTTACTATCGATTTACATCTATAAAATCGATTGTCTCTTCAAAATGCTTACTTAAATTAACAAAGTCAGCATCATCTACTCTAATAAACTACTCTATAAATAATACTCTATACCTTATGAGCAATATGTGCATCATACGTATAATCTTTGGTGCTCATTACAGCTAATATTGCACCAATATCATGATGGCCTAATAGTTTCCCATTACCAGCACTCTCGATATTACCTAAATATAACCCTCCTATCCCATTCTGACCCTAAATTATACAATTCATGGGATCTATCATATTATTGTATAAGCAATACCTCCTAATTGTGGCATTAAATATGAGTGGAACATTTGCAAACAGATAAATTAAAAATAATATTCAATTAACGAAGAATTATGTTAAATTTTTATATTCAAAGTGTCACCTTATTAATAATGCAATTCTAATTATTTATACTTCTCCTAATAATCACTAACTACTAAACATTATTTTAGAAATATTATTGAATTCATATTATAATTTCTCTATTTTTATTATAACTCTCAAGCTTTCTAAATAAAATTTTTAATTTACATTACTAATTTACATATGAAATCTAGATTTCTATCAAAAAAGTGAAAAAGACATTGTTACTTTTCTTAATACACAATATTTAAATTTAATATACCTACCTTATTAGAACTACTGCAAATAATAGAAATTTATTTGAAGAACAAATAATCTAATCCAAAATTAGAATTAAAAGAGAATATAAGATGATCCAGAAAGTATTTAGATCAAATTAATATTAAATTTGTAAATGATTGCCTCTTTACGGTTTTAGATATCATCTGTTTATCTCATTGATTTGATGATCATTATAAAAGAGAGCATTGGATCATAATATGGATCGAAACTTCTTATAATCTTATCTAGTTTATACATCTAATAAATCTTGTCATTATCATAATTTCTAATCCTTTATTATAAGATTCTATTGGAGAATAAAATACGTTTCAGAAGATTTTGAATTATTGTTTAAAAAATTCCAAATCTATATTTTTTCATGCAGTTTCAACATAAAATAGCCATATTTAGAATCTTCTTAATCATTTGATGAACTATTATTAATTATTCTGAAATCTATGAATGATATTTAATAATATTCAACTTAAAGTATATAAAAAGTTAATTATACTGGATTTTAATATCATTTTAATGGTTCTATTAAGAATTATCAAAATATTGAGTTTATAAATATTTTAGTTTTATTTTATTACAATAAAAATATGTTTTTATCCTAAAACTTCAAAATTTATTGAATAATTAAGAAAAAAGATTTATTTTGAAATTAAATAAGAAAAGGATTTACTAACAGTAATCAAAAACTATAAAAGAAATTGTTCTTAATCTAATTTAGATATGGGTTTTTATGTATTAAAAAGTTTTAATTAAATTTCACATCTACATAAAGAGATAATCAAATTGAATACTTAGAAGATAATTTAATCTCAGTTTTTCATTTATTTAAATGATTGGTAATATAATAAATGAATAATTAATTTTAAAGATTTATTTAAGAGATGAAAATAAACATTATTAAAATGATTTTAAGCATGAAACAAATATATTTGGACCTTAAATATACGAATACTAATTCAAACTTATTGTAACTTTATATTAAAAAACTATTGAACTAATTTTGAAATTAATTTAAATAAATATGCTCTGATATATATAGATCTCTTTTGATTTTATTTCCTTCCAAGAAAAACAATGACTTTTTCAGTTTTTTTCAAAAATGAAGGCAAGATTTTTATTAAAAATTATTGTATCTAAATTTTTAATATAAAAAAAGAAGTAGTAGCTCTTTCTCTATTCTATTTTATATATTATTTTAATTTAACTATACCAACTATTATATATATTCTAGGATACTTATTTTTTATATGTTGCAATTTAGTATAAACTAATATGAATTAATTCATTATGATACGAATTCATTAAAATAAATGGGAAACAAATAATCTTAGGAATCTTTATCAAGTTCGAAATCAGATATTAAACTTTTTGATGTTAAGAAATGTATTAGTATACAAAGAGACCCTGTTACCAGGAAGTTGATTGGGGTTCCAAAAGAATGGGCCTCTCATCTTGATGCTGATCAAAAATATATAGTAGAGACAAATAAACTACCTGAAGAAGTGAGAACTCATGAATTACCAGACTGTATATTAGAAATCCAGAATTCTATTTACAACTAAAAGAATTTGTAAAAAGAGTTAAAAATTGACACAAATGCAGATTTATGTTTGACAGGTCTTAATGTAGAAATAGAAAAAGAAATTTATAATAGTGGTGTAAGCAGGAATGAAATTGAAAATGACACTATGAATTTTATCTCTATACTTGAAATATATGATGGAAAAGAATTATAATTTAAATAAAACTTTAATGAGGTGACGTAAATTGAATTTTTGATTTAAAATCCTGCTGAAAAATATATATTTATTGAACAAATAGAAAAAGGGGTAAATTGTAAACTATATAAAATTATTGATAGACAATTAAATAAGGGTTTTGTTGCTAAAGTATTTAAATTTCATGAAAATTTTAATTGTTATAGATTGAAAAGAGAAATATCTTTTATTCAAAACATAGATTGTCCTTGTATTGTGAAATATAATGAGACATATCTTTATAGTGGATGTTTGTAAGAAATAATTATAATGTTTAGTTTCATAATATAGGAATATATGAATTTTGGTAACCTCAGAAAATTAATTAGACTTTTTGATAAGAAAATAGATGAGTCAATAATTGGATATATACTTTATTAAATAATGTTAGGATTAAAGTATTTGCATTCTATAGGCAAGATTCATAAACACTTAAATTCTAAGAAAGTCTTAATCAATGAAATAGGAGAAATCAAATTATTAATTATGGATTACAAAATTGAATATAAAAAAGATAAAGATCCATTTTGGATTGCTCCAGAAACATTAGAGAAATAAATAATAGAAGAGATTTCTGACATTTGGTGTTTAGGAATAATAGCTTATGAACTCTCAGAAAGAGATCCTCCATATTTTAATTAACATCCTATTAGAGTCATGTATAATATAATAAATCTACCATCCCCAAAGATTAGTAAATAAAGAAGTAATATTTTTTAAGATTTCATTCAATTATGTTTGATAAAAGTAATAATGTTTATTAATTTAGAATTATGAAAAAAGAACTTCATTAAGATAATTGATGAAACATGAGTTTATTATTTAAAATAAAGATACCGGTTAATAAGGATTAATTTAATTAATGAAAAAAATGAATTTAAATTAAAAATCTAAATTAAAAAAAAGCACTAGTTTAAAATGAAATTATTGAATTTATTTTCATTATTACTTAGTTTTTGATTTAAATATCAAAGATTTAACTATTAATAAAAATTATGATAAATTGCTCATGATTATAATAAACAAAAATCACTCTTTATTATAGAATAATTTTAAGTTAATTAACCTAAATCTCAGTTATATACTATTCTTTTTTAATTAAATATTTAATTAAATATGATTTTATTTTTATAAAGTAGCTAAATCATAAGAAGCAAAAATTTTATTTTTTTCTCCTTATAATTTCAAAGTTGAAAATAATTGAAAGATTAAATTAGAATGTGCTAAATATTAGCAAAAATATGCATAATACTATCTTATCTTTTTAATTAAGATTATTTTGATAAAAATAGATCAATTTAATACATCTAATTAATAAAAAATTTGAAATAGCAATTTTTGGTATGTCTTTTAAATGAATTCTTTATCGTTTGATTTTATACCAACCTAAATTTTTGTGAAATATTCCATTTATCCTAAATCCTCCTTAATAATGTATTTTTTCTACATATATAATAATATAATCAAACTACTATTTAGCTTAATAAATATTTTCTTAACTAATTATTTCAAGATATTCTTTAAAAGAATTACTCATAAAATGAAAATATTTTTATCCAATTATTATGATATAACTATAATTATCTATAAAATAACTTAATCTCCAATTTTAACCTTTCTAAAAACATATATAAATAAAAAATACTTAGATTTAAATGCTTTTTATCTAATAATATTATTTGTTTTATTTGTGTCAAGATTATTATATGATTAATATAATTCTAAAGAAAAAGTTATAATAATAAAATAAAAAGGAAAGTTAAAGTTATGAATAAATTAGAATTGTGTTTAAAATAAGATTATTCTAAATAATAATATAATCTCTCTTATATTTTTAAATTATAACATAATATCTATTCAATTATTTAATTAGTTAATTTAATTGTATCATAATAATAATCATTATTACTTAAGACCAAAAATTCAATAACAATATTGATAATATATTATTATATGGGTGCATTTTCAATGGATTATAAATCATAAATTATTTCTAAATTTTGACTATAATTAAAATTTATTATATTTATTAATATAGATGCAATAACAAATACCTCCTTCATTTTTTGTTAGCAATTTAAGCTGTATGTCTGCTAAATTCAGTCCATTTGATATTGACAAGATAGCAATTACCTGTGCTGATAATTTTGGTATTTAAGGTAAAGGACGTCTAATAATTGGATAAATCCAACCAAATTAGCCAATTAAGATATTGTTTTAAAGTGAAGAAAGTGATGCTGTTTTTGATTGTAGTTGGAATGAAGCTGATCCAAATGTAATAGCTATAGGATGTGGAAATGGAATTGTTAAAGTTTTAAATGCAGGAACATAATAAATTCTCACTTAATATCTAGAATCCAAAGAAGAAATCTAAAGTGTAGAATTTGGACATAAAAATCCTAATTGGTTATTAGCATCAAATTTGATTGGAATAACTAGATTATTTGATATTACAGCTTAGAAACCTGTTGCCTATTTTTAAACTCACAAAGGATGTGCTTATACATGTACTTGGCATCCAATTTAATAAAATATATTTGCTACAACTGGAAATGATGGTGCAATGAGATTATGGGATTTGAATAGTCCATCAAATAAGAATATTGCCTCAATAAAGGCTCATATGTCAGATACATTAAGTTGTGATTTTAATAAATATGAAGAACTTATTGCAACATCATCAGCAGATAAAACAATAAAATTATGGGATCTTAGAAATCTAAAGTATATTATTATTGATTAATAATAAATAGAGCTCCTATTTAAACTTTATTAGGACATAGACATCCTGTTAGAAAAGTTAAATTTTCACCACATGAGGCAATTATTTTAGGTTCTGCTTCATATGATATGAGTGTAATGATTTGGAATATATAAGAACCATCAAATCCTTTGATGTAATATAATATTTATAATAATAGTAAAAATCATCCAAAACATACAGAATTTGTTGTGGGCCTTGATTTTTCAATTCATACAGAGAAGTAGATTTGTTCAGCAAGTTGGGATGGAAAAGCAATGATTTGGTAATGGGATTAGGAATAACCAACAGTGTGAGTTTAGTAATGAAGAGAACGATCTTTAATTTTTATAAAACATATGTGGTGTATATTTACATATACTACTCAATTTCTTTGATCTGTTGTTAAGAACTTAGCATATAATAATGTATCCTTTTAAATATCCATGGTGACCATAGCATAAATGATACCAATCAAAACAATAACAAAGAAAACTCCAAACCATACATAAATTTAATAAGTGGTTGCATCCATTACATAACTTGTAGAGTTAGTTTGCTAGATAAAATAATACATTTGAATTTACAGTGACTTAATTTAACATTCTGGTTCTTGTTTCCATCAATATTCTCTAAACTTTAGCAGATTCTTTAGTTGTAGTTAATTAAGGATTTTTCTCTTCTTCAATTAATATTAAACCAAATAAATCTTCACTTTCAAAAGTATTTCTGAAGTTTTTAGATAGCTATATAATGATAATTCTTATTTATTACTTTTTTATGAGCAATTCTCATCATATCATATACTAAATCAATTTCTTATTCATTTAAAGTCTTTTCTAATTTGGAAATAGATTTATTGATAATAGATAACATATTTGGAGAATTGTCTAAGATTTAAATTTAAATGTTTTATACTTTTCTTAAATATAGTTGAAAGTTTGTTCATGGCACAAATATCTTTCAAAAATCCTAGAATTTAATCTTCATTTTCTTTTCTTATTTCTAACATATCATTTGTATTGTATTTATATATTTTATTATCTTGTGGAGCATAATCAAAAGTTGTTCCAAAAAAGTTATCAACACATTTTTCTAATGAGGATTCAATCTTATAAGATTTGTCTTTTTTAGGTTCATAAAAATAAACTTCATTCTATAATTTTATTATCATTTACATTTTTGCCTAGATAAAGTGTTATTGTCCATTATAAATAATTGATATCCAAATCATCTTCATTTTAATATATTTTGAAACCTAAATTGTTGTTATTAAATAAAGCATTAGCTTTTTATATTAATGAATCAGCTATTGTATTTATATATATTATAAAATACCTTATTGTCCAAACAATGTTTCCATCAATGATCTTTATTCTTTCTCCAACACCTTGAAACTTTAAGCATATCCTTCAGTTATTCTTTATTACTTGGCATCTTATCCTTAGTACAATTTATCACTCTCTATAAGTATCAAATAATTCATTTCTGTAGGTGTCAAAACATTACCCTTACCAAATGATCTATAATATATTTCTCATTGTTTACATAATCAACTGTTCAAATGCTTTTTATTAATCTTATTGGACATGTTCAACAAGACCAATATTGTATTTGATCAATTGTGCTATTTACTTTTAATTAAGTCCTTCTAAATCCTTTACGTTATTTTCATTGAATGGATATATATATGCATGAGATGCAAGTGTATACACAACTAAACAAAATTAATTACAAATCAAAGTACCACAAATAATGAACAGCAATGTCTTCATTATATTTAATAAAATTTATGAATGATTGCTTTTAATATAACATATGAGCTTAAAATATTTTATTCTTATTTCTAATTCATATAATTAATAAATATTTTTATCTCTTATCCTTTATGAGTTAAGATATATCCTCATCATTTATCTAATTTAGAAGGTAGATTTCTTCTAAAATTAACAATTCTCCTCTTAAAAACTAAGATAGATATATGACACCTTTATAAAAATCAAATAATCCAGTTGGTCTTCTCAAATAATCTATAACTAATAATCTAACACGCTTAAAACTTAAATCAACAATTTGCAGTAAAATATATAATAATCACTAGATATAGGATTAACACCTAAAAGGAATTCTAATATATAGAAACTACAAAATTCCTATAATAAGAGATAAAGTGAAACTCTTAAAAGTCCAAAAACATCATTATATTATAGTCCTTCAAATTGCTAATAATCATATCTTTATTAATTATAATAACCTAGTACTTATAGGTAGAATGACTATTTAAAGTAATAAAATGAAATTAGATAATACTCTTGCAAATATTCAAAAATAATGAATGATGAATAAGGTCATTACTACAGTTAATTATAAGCTAAATTGGACTAGTTATCAGATGCAATTGGAACTAAGATTGATAGATAGTCAAATTTAATAGAAATAGACAATCTGATTAGTTTATCTCAAAAAATTAATGAAAAATCAAAAGTAGAAAAATATATAGATATTCTACAATTTGAGAGTAAAGTTTTGCAAAATGATATACTTAATATTAGATCTAAGCAATAAAGATTTTTAAATTCAAATGAAAATTGATGTCATTCTATATTTATATTAAGTTATATAGAAAAATCATTAAATTTGTGATAAACACCATTGCAATAATTACATAGTTTCTGACCATCTATCTTCTTAATTTCTACATCCCAAAATTACAATTGTAAAAGACCTGCTAGCAGTTTGATAGTAACTGGCTAAACAAGGACCAGCAACAGAGGTATTACCAGTTTTGATTCCTTTGAATCCTTAATACAATAATTTATTTGTATTTTCCCATATAACATCTCTAGTAAATCCTTATTATAAATCTATTTAGTGTAATACCTTCTTCATCTTAAATAGTAGAAAAATGGATTTTAGTATTTACAACTTTACGAAAGAAATCATCCTTCAATAATTGATTACATAGTTTTGATACATCATAAGCTGATGAAACATTATTTTTATTATTTAATCCATGAGGATTAGCATATGTTGTTTGACTCATTCGCAACTCTCTAGCTTTGTTATTCATTTCTTGAATAAAATAAATCAAAGGATTCTTTCCTTTAATTTTATTTTAATACATAGCATAAATGCCAAAATTTTCAGCTAATGTCATAGCAGCATCATTTCCTGATGGTAACATCAAACCATAAAATAAATCTTCAATAGAAACAACATCTCCTTTGAGTAGGTCTGCAGTAGTACCACCAACTGAACTAGCTTAAAAACTCACTTCAGCATATGTATTATTAGTTTGCACATTCATTGAACGACACATGTTAAGTACAACATAAAATGTCATGATTTTAGTGATAGATGCAATTTCCCTTCTTTGATTCTCATTAAAGGAATATAAAACATCGCCAGATTATGAATCCACAATAATCCATGATTTAGCTGTTATTTTAGGTGCCAAATTTTTTTCATCTGCTCCAATTAAATATGTATTTTTCACTTGTTATAATCTTTATGCAAAACGCTCTTCTTCTGATTTAGGTTTTTATCGAAGATGATTAGATCTCATTTGAATATAATAATAATATTTAATTTATGATAACAAAAATAATAAACTATTTTTCTAAGTTTTAAACATTCTTAAAGAACTCAACCTAAAATCTAAAAAAAATTAACAAAAATTAATCACAAACTTCTATAAAGTTGTTATAATTCTATTAATTATAAAAAGAAACATTAAATTTGGTCAATTTGGTTATATTAATGAGAAAATGTATTATTTGATAAATTTCTAAGTCTAAAAAATATGATAAAGTAGAATTGCATAATACTTTTATTATATTACATTAATAATAAAATGAATTAAATACAAACTATATTTACAATTTAAAGATATACTTTTAAAATAGAAGAAATTCTATTATCCATAAAATTGAATCTATTTCAAAATCAAAATATGGATTACAATTTTAGATAATTATAAATTAGATATTTTGATATTTTTAGATAGAAATCAAAAGAGTATGATTATAATTTATTTAGTAGATATTAAATTTGATTTACAGTTTTTAGGATGTTGTGATTAATTAGATTAAAAAATATCATCAAGAAATCTTAATATAGTTATTTGATTAATAATTTGAAATATATGATTTTTTTGTAGTTTTTGGAAGTATTTAAAGATTTCTTAAAAATTTACATAATTACTGGAAATTATGCAAAAGAAGATTAAATTATAATAATTAACAAGTTAAAAGAGGTTAAATAATTAATATGAGAGATTAGAAAGTGGAAGTTTTATGATTTTATTATATGAATTTGATGGATATAATAAAATTGGAATTAAAAATTATTTATTATCACACATTTATATAATATTTTTTTGAATATTCTAATCTTGATGGGATCACAATGTACTAATTGCAGATGCGTCAATACTAAAAATGAGATACTTAAAACTGTAAGCTATATAAAATTATTTTGATAGTAAGATAATGTGACTTTAGCAACTTCTGATTCTTCTTCTGTACATTAAAAAAAAATAAAAAAAGCTATCGTTATTTAATCGTATTGGAGAGGATACATAATTCGTAAAAAGTTGAAATTAATGAAACTAAAGAAACGTGAAACTTTAAATAGTTATAATTCTAAAATGGATGCCAGCGAGTTTTTCTTTTCGTCTGGTGTTACTTTGAATCAAGATGAATTTCCATAAGAAGAGAGAGGACCTCATAAGTATAAAGATGTCTTATAAGATTTAAAGGAGGAGCTATATATACGGGACAATGGAAAGGTAAGGCAAGAGATGGTTATGGAATATAAATTTGGCCTGATGGAGCAAAATATGAAGGAATGTGGAAATATAATAAGGCTCATGGAAAAGGCAAATTTCAGCATGCAAATGGAGATGTTTTTGATGGAGAATGGGAAAATGATACAGCTAATGGCTTTGGAATTTATTAACATTTTAATGGTCCTAAATATGAGGGATAATGGTTTTGTGATTAATAACATGGTTATGGTGTAGAAACTTGGTCAGATGGGTCATAGTATTAAGGGTTTTTTTAAAAAGGATTAAAACATGGAAAAGGAAAGTATAAGTGGGCAGATGGATAAGTTTATGATGGAGATTGGTATAAAAATAAAATACACGGTAGAGGAATCCTTAAATGGCCTGATGGTAGAAGATATGAAGGAGAATTTTAAAATAATAATATGCATGGAAGAGGTATTTATTTGTGGCCAGATGGAAGAAAATATGAGGGTCATTATTTTAACGATCAAAAACATGGTTATGGAATATATTAATGGAGTGATGGTAGAAAGTATGAAGGAGAATGGGAAAATGGAAAATAACATGGTAAAGGAGTGTATATAAATGGAGAGATTGAAAAGGCTGGAGAATGGTATTAAGGAAAAAGAATTAAATGGGATTCAGATAGTAATGCATGAAAAATAGGTTTATCTTGTGAACTATAATTAATTTAAATATTCAAACAAATAAAAATTTATTTCGAAACTTAATTTAATGGAAACAGTTAATAATAAGATAACATAATCATGAAACAAATGATGAATCAAATATTGAAACAATTTAATAGAAAATTAAACTCAAAAGATTTCATTATAATAGCTATAATCATTTATTAAGATAAATTAAAGGAATCATACTTCAAATATCTTGTTTGTCATTGTTTAAATTTATTCAACTCAAAATATATAGATAATATTGAATAGTATATTAGATAAGAATAAATATAAACTTTTCAATGTAGAAATATTTCCTATGATGATCTGAATTGATATCTCTTTGTTATTACTTTTGATTCATCATAAGCTGTTTTTTTAGCTTATTTAATATATGTTTGATATTTAGAGGAACTTTTTTTAGTTTGAGTTTTAATTCAAATTTTAGCTTTTTAGTTTTTTAATATAATAGTCTATTGAAATGCCTTTTGAGTTTTTGTTTTGTTGTTTTAAAATTACAGTAAAATTTATTCATTTTCTTGTTTTGCTATCCCATCCCGATCTTCTTTTTGTCTCATATCGATTCGACCTATGCTTTCTTTCATAATATTTTCTGTTATATAATAAATTATATATTTTAACTTAGAACTTTCACTAGAACTGTGTCGTCTTCTCCTTGATTATGATCTAGATCTTCTAATGTTGTTTCTGCTATCATCTACAAAATTATAAATAAACTTATTACATTTATTATTATAATAATGATGACTATGATTTGCTTTTTCATCTTATTTAAATTATCGTTCTGACTATTTGCTGGTATTAAGTTCTACAGTGCTAATTATAATATCTTAATTGTATTTTTCTTTCGTTATTATTAAAGATACTTTTTTCACTTTGTTATTTTTCCTTTTCCTTTTCCTTTTCCTTTTCGTATTTTTCTTTTTCATATTTTTCTTATTTTTCCAATTTATCTAATCTCTCTTATCTCTCTTATTTTTCTATCCTCTCTTATTTCTCTTAGATCTCCTTATCAATTTCTTATTACAATATTTATTTCATCAGTTTTTATGTATCATAACTTATTTAAAAGAAATTTTAATATTCTTATCGATTAGATACTGAAGAAATGCTTTTTCCCTCTTCATTGATTGCAATTATTTCTGGCTAAGAGATTTTTCTTTCAAAGAAATATCTTTTTTATTTATAGTATTTAATAATTACTTATTAAGCAGATCAACAATCTATTATGAAGATTTTAAATCATCACAATAAATAATTCCATATTTGCATCCTTCAACTAAATATAGTAATATGATATTACATTCAAATAACTCTTCTACTCTCAATTATCTAAAATCTATCTATTATTATTTATCATATCTTCTTTCATAAATAATGCTTTCTACTTTTTCTCTGACAAAATAATTTGGTAAGAATCTCATTATCACTCTATATGAAACTTATATGTCTCTGATCTTTCTCAAGATCCCAACCTTATTATATAAACAATTAAATATTACTTAGAAATTCTCCCCAATATATTTTTTATGCTTAGGTTGATTCTTACTCATATTATAATAAAAAAATTGAGCAGATTTATCTTCATTTATTTTTATGATATATGCTTATTCTCCTGCCAAATATATCTTTTGAACTTCTTCGATAGTGATAAATAGATAATCTTTGAATCTATTTAATAATAATATTTAATTATATAAAATTACTTTTCTTTTAAATACTTTTTAATGGAATGTTTATCTTAGCAAATTTCAAGGGATGGATCATAATTAAAAAGTATGATGTCTCTTTGATTTTACCATTCCTGTGGGATTCTAAGTAGATATTAAAATGATAAACTTTTCATATTTTCCTGTTTTTGTTGGTTCCAAAATCCGAATTTCATAGCAATTAGAATTAAGAACAGAATTGCATATTTCACGAATTGATAATTTAGTACCAATGAATTCTATTTTAGCTTAATATTGATCATCATCACAAGGACTAGAATCACCAGAGGAAAATTCACACATCGCTTTCGATGGTGATGGTGGTTGACTAGGAGACCAAACTACACGCAGCTCTTTCTCATGAGTATTCAGATGTTTCCAATCGTAAGTTGAGAGTTTTTACCTATTATAAACAATCGCCTGACATGTTATAGTATAAAGTATATAATCAATATTTTTCAATATATCCGTATAATTCAAACCTGTTAATTGTTTTCCAATCATGAAAATTTAAACGCTTTATCAAATACATGCTCAATTCTAAACTTGTTACTCCCTTTTCTTTAATCTCAATCATTTTAATTATATTTAAATATTTATATATATACAAAATTGGATATTAAATATTTTACTAATATTTCCTTCATAAAATTATTTGTATAATATCATTTTATTTAATATACTGTTCTTCTATCTCCCTATACTAACATTAATTAAGTCTTCAAAGATTCAATTTCAGATGTGTATTAATTTAATTTCTCTTTAAAAGCTTACTGCAATCCTTTTAAATGAGTTATTTCTTCATCCCTCATCTAACATACAGATTTCCACTTATCAATCTATAAAATATAGTCTTATATATTTGATTCAAAGTTGTATTCATTTTCAATCTAATATCTAATATCTTATTCTATTGATATCCTCAACTCCTTTTCTAATCTCATTCTAATATCCTATTCAAATTATAATTTCTATTCATTAAATCTTTATTCCAATTAAACTCTTAAATGATATTGTTCTTTTTTCATCTATTCAATTTATTAATCTTTTGTAACAGCTTATTTTTTTAACTCAAAAATCTCATACATCAAAGCATCTACATCTACAGATGGTTTAATTTATTGTTATAGTTGTATAATCTACTATTCATATTTAATTCTCATTTCTGATTCTATCTTTAATTTCTCTTGTTTTTCAATTTATATCTATCTTCTTAATTCATTCAATTCAATATTAAATTTCTCATTTAAAATTCTCACTTCCTGTTCTACTCTTATTTTTACATTCTTTTCAAATTAAAACTTTTGTTCATTAATTTCTTGTCTCTCATATTCATACTGTTTATCTTTTTATGCTAATTATTTCTTCAATTCATATATTTCATACATTAAAGCATCTACATCTATACTTTTTTGTTTACTTTATAAGTTTTCATACTCTTTCATAATTTCCTAATATTTAAATTAATATTCTTAAATTTATTATTATTAGTTTAATTGATCTTTCTTAAAAACATCAATTTATTTAATAAGCATTTCTATTTCTCTCTTCATTACTAGTTCTTAAGATTAATATTGATTAATTTATGAACTCATTTATTCCATCTATATTTTATAGCCATTAAAATTACTTTGACTACTTTGATATTGCATTCTTAATTAGTTTTTTTCCTTTTCACTTTCTTCAAATTTTAATCTAATGAAATCATATTCTTTTCTAAATTAATCTAATTCATTTTTTTAATTGTTTCCCATTTATACTTATTATTTTAAACCTTATTTTTCTCTTTCTGATTCTTCAAAACTCATTTTCAATTACTAATATTCTGATTTCAATCTTTCTAATTCTAATTTTTGATTACTTGCCATAGTAAGTTGCTGCCTCAAATTAGAAATCTCTCTATCACTTGATTCCATTTTCATTCTAAGCATTTCATACTCTCTCCTTATACTTTCAGATTCAACTTTTATATTATTTGTACCTGAAATCTATTATTTTAATAATTGTCTTTCCCTATCAAATTCTTCAATTTTATATTACAATTATGATTTCTCCTGTTCAATTAATATTAATTATTATTTCATTTATTAAAATGAAATCAATTATTATCTTAGATTTTCAATTTCATTACGCAATAATAAATTTTCTTTTTCAGATTCTTATAATTTGAATCCTATAGAATCATAATCCTTTTTAATTTAATCATTCTAAACTCTTTATTATTATACAACAATTAATTATTATCTTAAATTATCTCTTTCTTTTTCAGAATTTTCAATTTTTAATTTTGAATTTTATATTTCTCTTTCAAGTTCTGTAATTCTGTATCTAAATTTCTCATACTCTTAAATATTTTATCTTAATTAAATTCTTTCTCTATCTGCTTCAGCAAATTTAATTTACCATTTTTCTAAATCTTATTTTAACATATCTGATTCCTACTCTATATCCTAATAATCATTAATAGTTGATCTTAAAAAACTAATTTCACTTTCATATGTTTTACATTTGATAATCCAAGTTTGCATTTCTGATTTCAATGTTTCTAATTCACTATTAATTTATATATTAATCTACTTTTTAGATTATATATATTAAGTGTTTATTTCATCATATTTATATCTTAATATCTCATAATCCTTTCTTAAACTTTCATATTCTTAACCCAAACTATTATATTTACTTTATAAATCCAAAAATTATGTTTTGTATATATTTAATTCAGCTAATTATTTCTCTAATTATATTATTCGATATTCAAAATCTTTTTTCTCTTTTTCAATCAATATAAATGAATCTCTTTATTTACCAAATTAATCCAAATTAATTTATAAATCTTAAATTAGGTTATCTTTTTTGTTTAATTCCATTTCTAAATATTAAATTTAATCTAAAAGTTCTTTTATCTTAATTCTTAATTGATTACTTTCATTCAAAGAATATTATTATTTTTCTGTTAATGCTTAATGTGCTTATAAATCATTTTAAGCTTGATTTAACATAACAATTTATTATTATAGTTTTCCTTCTAATTATTTATATCTATTTTTATATTCATTTAATTCATCAATTAATTATTGATTTTATTATCTTAATTTTTCAATTTCATAATTAGCTTATTAACTTTGTTTATTCTCAATTATTATCAATTACTATTTATATTTATCTAAGTCTTGCTTATTTTTCATATCTAATTATTTATAATATTCCAATTCTTATAATAAAGCATCCAATTCCTATCTTAATTCATCTGCTTCTGATAATTATTTTTATGAATTCTTGAATGTAATTTACAAAGCTGTATAATTTTCATTCATTTAATGTAATTACTATCTTAATCTCTACATATCAGCTAATTAATCTTATAATTCTCTAACTTATCTTTCTAAATTCATAATCTTTTACTTTTCATTATCTTAATTTGCATTTAATTACCCATTCAATTATTCAATCTAATACTTCTTCTATTCATATTGATTCAATAAATTATTATATTTATTTGTCAAATCATTTAATTATCTTTATAATTATTCAACTTACAATTATAATTCATCAATTTTTCTCAAATATTAATCAGTTCTCATTTTTTCCTTCTCAGATTATTGTAATTGCATTTACAAATCTCTTAATTTATTAGTAAGTTAACTATTTGCTTATTCCAATTCTACAATAAATTACTAATTCTTATTTGATTCATCTTCCAATAACTATCTTTTTCTTGTAACTTATAATTCATTTTAAGCTAATTGTTATTTCAATAACTAAATTTCATGAAGTAAGGCCTCTCTCTCATCCATCCATTTTTATTAATCTCTTATTAATTAATCCTTTATTTAAATATTTATTGTATTTTTTTAATCAGCTATCATTCTATCATGATCCAATCTTACATCATCCAATTATTTTTAATATTACTTTTGCATCATATGTAATTATTAATTTAATTAAGCTATTTGATCTTTCAATAGTTAATTTTCTGAATTTATTCCTTGATTTGCTCTAGTTATTTGGAGTTGATAGTTTTCTTCTTTAGACATTAAGTCCCTGATCTACATCTCCAATTATCGAATTCTAGCTAGATTTGCTTAATTTTCTTATAAATAACGGTTTGATTCATCTTATATATATCTAGATTTATCATTAATTGATTTTAATCTATAAATTTCTTATTACAAACTTCTTAGATCATTATTCAGAGAGTCTATTGTAGATTTCATCCTTTGATTATCTTGGAGGAGTGATTGTTCTTATGACAAACCTCTTTATTTGATATCATTCAAAGCTTAAAGTAACTATTCATTATCTCTCTTTTATTTATCTAAATCAAAATTTAATCTATCTATAACTTGTTTTTATCTCTAAATTTCTTCTTCATATTCTTTTATCTATTAATTCATTTGATCTAAAGTCTTTTTCATCTATTAATTATCTCTAAGCAATTACTGGAATTCAGGGACTATAGTTTTATAAGAAATTTTATGTTACCTTTAGAATTAGCAAAAGATTAAAGCTTTGCAATCTCAGCTTTCAAAATTTCATTTTCTCTTTCAACTTAATTACAATCATGGGCAGATGGTTATTGCTGATCTTTTTTATTCTTACAGTATGTGCATGGACATGCAAATTAACTTAAGTAAATTATGATTATGTTTACTGCTACATCTAAGTTGTTATGATTATTCGTAAATAAATTATATTTATTAAGAATCGAATTAAAAACTAAGTTAAAGGATATTCAACTTTAAGATGATTAATAAGATATCAAATTTTAAGCCTTATAAATTAATATAAGAGGAACCTTCAATCAATAAGAAAATTAAGATTGAAGACTAATCAATCACATTACCTTTGAATATTTTCTAATAATTAGTAGAAAAGGCAAAAGAAGAAAATTAGAAAAAGGAAGATACAAAAAATCTCTTGAGAAACTTTGGTAATGCTTTAAATAGATTTATATTAAATAATGAATAAGCATGTAAAATAATAACACAATACATTCCAGAAAATAATGTGCCTCATTTCAAGAAGTGGGTTACAAAATAAAAATTAGAAAACTTTGAATAATTTAAACGTATATGGACTGTTGATGATGATGTTTACAAAAAAATATTTTCAGAATTATCATTTGAGTTCTATTCTAAATATGCATATTCCTATGTAATGCATTCATAAATGAGATCAGAATCTACAAAATTAACACATTTAAAGTATATTACTAGATTTTTGGAAGGAATTGTCTCTCCAGATACCTTTTATTATTTTAAAAAGTGAATATTATTTATGCTAAAATCATTTTATATTATTTTTATCAAAATGTTTAACAACAATTACTAAAGTAAAATATTCTTATAGCCAAAACCAAATGAATTTAGCATATTTGATGATTTTGTGTAAAAAGCAAGAAAAATTTGTCGAACTTCATAAAAATCAGTTTCTAAATATAAGGAGAGTTCACTTAGTATCTCAAAATAACTTAAAACTGAAATTAATTATGATACAATAGAGACAATAAGAAAATCTATATAAAACCCTTAAGTTAAAATGGATAGTTATTTGGATTAATAAATCCATATATCTCCATTTCGATTTTAATTACCATTAAGATTAGAAAAAACTTAACATTTTTTGTTAGAAAAAAAAAGAATACCAGCTTGTTTAACTTCAAGAAAACTTAAATCTAATTTAGAAGGATAAATCCATAAATCTTTATAACTTTCCCAATTTAGAACTATTAAAAATTAAAAATCAGAAACTCCTAATCCTATTTAATAACAATAAACCAAATTTTTAATAACAAAGTATTTTTTATCTAAACCTTTGGTATGTATAAAGTCTAATAAAAAGAAAACAGAAAAACCTATTCAAGTAGAACTATTATGAAATTTATTTATATATTGAATCAAAAGTAATATGCAATCTTTTGTATATATTAATTAATAGTGTATTAAATTAAAAATACTGCTAGAATCATGAATTGTCCAATACTAATTAAATGCTTCCAAATTTTATTTAAAATTAATCTATTTTATGTAAATTTAGTATAATATATTAAAATATCAAATTAATTAAAAACTATTTAATATAGATACATTCAATCATAATTAGAATTGTGTATAAAATATTCTAATATTTCTTTCAAAATTGTCATCTAATAAGACAGTCGAGGAGGGTAATAACAACATATATCTTCTCACTAATTAATATTCATGTGAATAATATCTATGAAGTATAAAAAATTGTATCAGGAATATTAAAATTTAAAATACTAAAAGGAATACACTTAAACCTATAATTTAATTCATATGTGAATTTGTGGCTTGAAGTAATGCATCTTTTAATGAGCTTACTAATTCAATCAATCCCTTAACCATTATATACATTCCTTCTGCTTCATATTTAAAATATTAGACAATTGATGTGAAATTGTTTAATTCATATGCAACTGTAAAGGCATTTCCTACATATATTAGTGCCTATGTGATTCCCATTGTCAAAGCACCTTCAAATGATCGATTACAGTAAAAAGAGTAATCCTTTTATATTGTTTGATTAAAAAAGTCACAAACTGGCTTTTTTGTTAAATTGGTTAAGGAATCAACAAAAGCTTGAGTTGTTAAATAAGTTTCTTAATCAAAATATTACATCATCATATCAAATTTCTTACAACTTTCAATTCCATCAAAAAGTCTATTCTACATTCTAGGTTTGTCATTAACATCTAGATAATAAATTGCCCACCAATATAGAAATTACCTCTATGAAAATAACCCTGGTATTTTATAACATAAATCTCCAATATATTTATAGATATCTGCTGTACGACCATATTTATCGAGATAATCATTTGTAGACAATTAAATCAATAATGATGAGATGAAGAATACTGAAAATAAAGCTGATAGAGAAATTAATCCAATTAATGTAGGCATTTAATTGTGTTCTTTATATGATTTCTTTTTCTTACTTTCATGAATTCCTTAATTTTCTAATTTATATCTTTCAGCCATCATAAATTTTTCTTTTTATTCCAAATCAAATTAATATTTAAACATAACATCAGAATTCTTAGTTAAAATGTTGATTAAAATTTTATACCTCTCCATATCTCTATTGATCCAAATAGTTTCAGCATATTTGAATAAGTTTAAAAAGCTATCATATATTTATAGATAACTTTTATAAAGATAATAGCAACCTACAATTAATAAAAAATCAACAATAAGAAATGGTATCCAAATTCTAGTCCAATTTTCTTAAACTATTTATTTCCTTTATTTCGTATATTCAAGAATACTGGATGTTAAATTATCAAACTTATCATGTAAATTTAAATAGTTTGCATATGGATAGGCAGTAAAAGCTTGAGACAATAAAGGAGTTTTCTGTTGATATGCAATCTTAAATTAGTATTAATATTATAATAAAACATTTAAAGATTCTCTAAAAGAAATTGTTTTCTTTTCCATATTTGAAGAATTAGTTTTCATAAAAAGTACATCAAAATTTTCATCTGTAAAAAACTCTAAGATATATGGATTGGAGAATTATTCTAAGAAATTTTCTTTCATTACATCATAACCTTCTCCTAAATGATTTGCTAACCAATCTCCTAATTAGGTATTTTCACTAGCTGAAATTCTGCCTGTAAACATCTATATAGAATAATAAACAGTTGAAAATCTCAAAGCTAAGAATATATCAAAAGGAGTCATAAAACTATAACTAAATAAAAGCATATCTACTTCTTAGATAAATCTATTAAAATCTTAGTTGAGATTTGTTAATATGATTATACAATATATAATAACTATTATTTAAGATAGAAATAGCAATAAGTTACAATATCTATAAGAACTGGGTCTTAAATTACTTTCCATTAATCTATTTATAAGCTCATATTTTTTATAAAATAGTGATTTTTTCAATCCTATTAGAGATGATACTTGAGAAGCAGCATCATCCATTTACTAATTGGCTTAATTTTTTTGATCAAGTTCAAGTTATAATTATAGTCTAATATTTTCTCTCATTTCTTTATCAATTTTATTAAGATCTACATCATACATTTAATTAACATCTTTCATTTAATTTTAAACAGCATCACTTATTTTACTATTTGATTAATCCAAATCTTATATGTCTTAATTAAAAAACCTTTATTAAGTAAAAGATTTGCTAGTATCTATTAGTTTTCTAATGCTTTGATTTGGATTGACATCACCAATATTCTATTTTTCATCATTTTTATTGATATTTTAAATATCATAAGTCTAATATTAGTAATTTTAATTTAATTAAAGTAACTTTGATACAACAACATCTCTATCTTATATGATTTATTATCCATGAAGAATAGCCTATAATTATTAATTAGAATATGAATTATCCTGATCTTTCTCTGATATTGATGATGATAATGCAAAAATGTTTAAAGATTATGGTTTGTTTACTCCAGCCTCAGTACAAGAAACAACTAAATCACTAACTTCGATTTCATTAGCTGTATTNTTGATATGCAATCTTAAATTAGTATTAATATTATAATAAAACATTTAAAGATTCTCTAAAAGAAATTGTTTTCTTTTCCATATTTGAAGAATTAGTTTTCATAAAAAGTACATCAAAATTTTCATCTGTAAAAAACTCTAAGATATATGGATTGGAGAATTATTCTAAGAAATTTTCTTTCATTACATCATAACCTTCTCCTAAATGATTTGCTAACCAATCTCCTAATTAGGTATTTTCACTAGCTGAAATTCTGCCTGTAAACATCTATATAGAATAATAAACAGTTGAAAATCTCAAAGCTAAGAATATATCAAAAGGAGTCATAAAACTATAACTAAATAAAAGCATATCTACTTCTTAGATAAATCTATTAAAATCTTAGTTGAGATTTGTTAATATGATTATACAATATATAATAACTATTATTTAAGATAGAAATAGCAATAAGTTACAATATCTATAAGAACTGGGTCTTAAATTACTTTCCATTAATCTATTTATAAGCTCATATTTTTTATAAAATAGTGATTTTTTCAATCCTATTAGAGATGATACTTGAGAAGCAGCATCATCCATTTACTAATTGGCTTAATTTTTTTGATCAAGTTCAAGTTATAATTATAGTCTAATATTTTCTCTCATTTCTTTATCAATTTTATTAAGATCTACATCATACATTTAATTAACATCTTTCATTTAATTTTAAACAGCATCACTTATTTTACTATTTGATTAATCCAAATCTTATATGTCTTAATTAAAAAACCTTTATTAAGTAAAAGATTTGCTAGTATCTATTAGTTTTCTAATGCTTTGATTTGGATTGACATCACCAATATTCTATTTTTCATCATTTTTATTGATATTTTAAATATCATAAGTCTAATATTAGTAATTTTAATTTAATTAAAGTAACTTTGATACAACAACATCTCTATCTTATATGATTTATTATCCATGAAGAATAGCCTATAATTATTAATTAGAATATGAATTATCCTGATCTTTCTCTGATATTGATGATGATAATGCAAAAATGTTTAAAGATTATGGTTTGTTTACTCCAGCCTCAGTACAAGAAACAACTAAATCACTAACTTCGATTTCATTAGCTGTATTATCAATCTCATTCAATTAAATAGTAAAACCCTTTCCTTCAGTGTTCATCATATGAGAAAATGTTTAAGCTAATCTAATATCCTCTATTTCAATTATATAATAAAAGTATCCATATAATTCTCTCTATTGTATTATGATAGTTCCAATTAAATTGATTACATTTCCAATATTTTTCCAACTATCATGAATGGATAAGAATGACTTCTATTGAAAAGTTGTAATAGATTTTTTTGTTAAAAGATTAATTGGAGTATTATAAAATTTTTATTCTTTTAAGGAAACTTTTAAATCATTAAAGTTAGGAATTATTTAATTAATGTTAACTTAATAAGCATGATTGATTTATTTAGAATATTATTTAATTTCATTTTGTTTCCATCCTATTTTTTCAAATAAATTGAAACTAATACCTCCACATTATTCATTTACATCAATTAATATATAACAATTAGTTATAGAAACCTCTTCAAAAAATGCAACAAAAGATAAATTGTTAGACTAATTCAAAATTATGTCTATAATCAAATTAAATGGTTTAACAAGTCCATTTAATAATTAAAGAAAACTTAATTCAATATTTCTAAAATATTTACTAGTTCCTTCAATAATAAATCTTTATACTAATAGATGATGTTCATTTAATATAGCTTAAGGTAATAAATTATCAATTGTCTTATACTCTCTCATGCAATCTTCATAACTGATTTACAAAAAATCATAGGCATTATTGCTAAATTAATAAATATTCATTGTTTATAAGCCTTCATTTAAATTCATCAACATGTGTACTACATTTTTACCAAATAAATTAATTTTTATGTTTTTTCTCATATTTAATAATTTTTCATCAGCTATTGTGCTAAAATTGGCTAATTTAAATGCAGTTAAATAATTATTAAGTAATTCTGATTGGAAGAAACAATTTATTGATTATATTTTTTAACTAGGAAATTATGAGTATTATTATAATAATTTTTTTTCTAATTTAAAAAATGAATTAGATAAGATTTTTGCATTATTAAATAATTCTAAAGAGTTTTAACTTTTTTTGTTTATTATAAAATTATAAAACTATAATTTTTATTACAAACATTTCAATACTTAATGTTTAACAGCTTAATTTTATTATTCACTTAATAAATATAATTAAATTGCTTCTGCAATCTCTTCCTATTATTTAGTCTATAATTTTAAAAAATTGTTTTATAATTCTATTCTTATATCTTTGCTTATAATTTCTAATTTCATCAATGATAACAATGAAAGCATTTAATTTCTAATGTTTAATTTTAGATTTGACTTTAATTCAAGTGAATTCACTGATAATTTTGCTTATACTTTTCTATGTTATTATGATCCACTCTATTAAGATGGTAAACTTGGCTGATGATTTTAAGATTAAGAATTTAGATCATTGTGACTTAGAAATCCACGATTGATTGAATTTTATAAAGATAATAATCGATTACATTCTTGAAATGCAGTAGTTGTGAGACCATAATGATTTAAAGTACTAATATAATAAATCCAATGTTAATCAGATAGATCTATTCTTTTCTTGCTCAACTCTTTATTCCATTGTTTTATTTTACTAATTACAAATTTCTTTTGAATAAGATCTGATACATAAAGAACTTTATATGGTTCATCTGTTTTTTCAGCAATAGTATTACAATAGCAATTAATATCATTACATTTCCTTCTATGATAATTTAATAAAATTGATTATGAGATTTAATTAATAGTTGATTTTTAATTTTAATGATTATTAATTTGATATGAAATGTATTCAATAATTTTTTTAATACATTTAACTTCAGAGATATTTGTATTTAATTTAAAAAGCTCTTAATTTCTATAACTTTATCCCACAAAAATAAGAATGGGAATCAATAATAGGCCTAATTGCCAAAATTCTAAGAGGGATGTTGAGATTAATGATAACAAACTAATTTGTGTAATTAAGGTTAATGTTATATAACCTTCAACAACAATAGTTTTATCCATAAATATATTTATTAATAATGATAGACTAACTATTATAGATAATATTCCTTAAGCTATTTAAGCCCTTTCATTATCTTCAATAATACTATATAAAATGACTTATATTAATATAATAATTTCTCTAAAGCAATCTATTTTAGTAAAATATAATCTTTCATAACCAGTTATACATAAATCCATAGTTGTATTACTGACTGTTAACTTCAATATCTAAAAAAAAATGTTAGCTATTACTGTTATAATACTTAATATAACTATCTCAATATCTTTGATGGTATCTGAAGAGGCAAATGATGTAAAAGATAATACTTGAGCAGGTATATATAAATAAACAATAAACAATTGAGAGTATAAAGACTTGAAATTTAATATCAACTATTATAAGGAGCTTTAAATAATTATTTGCTGATGTTGATGTGTAGGATGCTTTTTAAACTAATATTCAATTAAGACCTACCCTTGTAAAATCATTAAATCAAAAATGATTATGCTAATAAGTGGGATTAGAAATAGGTATATGTTTTAAATATCAATCATAACATTATCAATTAAAAGTAAATCAGGTCTAATGAGATAAATCAGTATGAATTTATTATACATTTTAAGAGAAGAGATGTAGCATGGAAACAGATAGAAAAAAGCACTTTGCAATTATCCTAAAAAAAGGAAAATATATTTCAGCATTGAGTATATTTTTACACGTTTTTGATGAATGACTAAAAGAATTCTCAAATTAGTTAGGATGTATTTTCTTAATTAGTTTTGATTTGTTTGATCTTTCATTCTCAATTATTGGCTATATAAATTTGAAATTGAATTATTTTTTAAAAGAATAAAGGATTAATTATAAATATATCAAGGTTTGCAGGCCATTAAAAACAACTAAAAAAATATTGAGATGACAAAATACATTATAATATATAAGTAAAATATTTTTCAGTTATTAATTTGAAATCAATGTATTCGAAATAAAAGAATCAAACAGGAAAGCCTGAATGGATTTCATCATTTGTGGATTAAGATCGTTATAAGTTATCTTAAGCTGAATTGATGTAAAAGAAAATTAGTTTAATGTCAAAACATCGTATGGAAGCCAAAGATTAATGGTAATAAGTATAGGAAAAGTTGAAAAATAATGTTATGGATGATGATACTTAAAAAGTTTTGATTTATCAATAAAATAGATTTATCTTACAGCTTTGCATTCTAAGGGTTTAAATAATTCAACTTCAAAAAGAAAAAATTTAACATAAATGATTGAATGGGAAAAATCAGAAAGAGCTCATTCATAATGTTAATTTAAACCAGATATTCTTGAATAAGCTAAGATGTTACTAATGGAAAGTGAAAGAGGACAATAAAATTAAGATCCAAACTTTCTAAATAAAATCAAGTAAGATTTGGAAGAAACAAAATCATTCGTTGCAAAAGTATAATATCTTTATTTATTATTCCAAGGCTTAAAGATTGAAGAAACCTGAAAAAATTTTAAAAGCCTAATAGGAAAAATCAGTTGATAAAATCAAATAAGAAATTAAAAAGTCAACTACTAAATAAAATTAGATTAATGAAGAAAAATGTTAAACCTAAGAAAATTATGGGTTTAATGGAATGAAAAATTTAGATAATGTTATTTCATTCTTAGAAAACACTTTAAATTCATAGGAAGTGTAGATTTCATCATTGAAGGAAGAAAACCCTTTTCGTAATGCAGCTTTGACTGATACAAAAACAATTTATTCAGAAATTCCTAATCTTTCTGCTAATAATACTTAAAATAAATTTTATTAAAAAGAATAAAATTGTTTTGCTTAATAAAGTATTTTAAATTAAGATGTGAAACAATAAAATATTTAATATTAAAATAAAGAGAATGATATTATGAATTATAGGATTTCAAAAGATGATTTTAGTAATTTAAATTAATCAGAAATACCCAAAAATGATATTCCTAAATATGAATAATTTAAAAAAGAAATAATGAAAATAGAAGAATAATAACCTACTCATTCTGTATAACAACGATTGAATTTCGATAAAGTTCACTTTACTACAAAAAATGAATAATCTTTTGATGATAATATTGATTAATTGAGATAATTGCTTGAATAAACAAGATAAGAATTAAATTAGATGAATTTATAAGACTCTAGTATTATGGAATATGATAATAGTCAAAAAGAGATTAATATTTAATTAAATTAAATAGAACCTTTGCAGCAATAACATTTTAATTATTAAAAGATTCATAGAAAGTATAAGAATTGTGATACTTTTGACATTAATGACCATTTAATGTGAATAATTAATGTATAATTTATAATTGTTTAATTTAATAAACAAAATTTTATTAAACAGAAATAAAAATTTATTATTAATTTAATGTCAGAGAATATCTAAAATAGAGTATCATCCATCTTTGAAAAGCTAAATAACATCTCTACTAGTGTTTAGGATGAGTAAGTTACAAATAATACAAAAATAGGAAAAATAATCGTTTTCATACTATAAGTTAATTGATTATGGCCTTTGAAGCTTAATTATAACATTAATCTGATTAAAAGGAAGAAAAATTTGCTTATATTGCTTAAAAGGTTAGACAAGTTACAGAATTTTTAGAATAGGAATAAGAAGAGTATAAGTTTCATAGATAATTGATAGTCGTGAAAGATAGGAGAGTGAAACTTTTAAATTGATAACTGATTTAGAAAGACATGCAAGAAGATTGATAGAGCAAAATTCTAAGGATAGAGTAGAATAAGAAAAAAAAATAGTATATTCAATTGGACAGTAAATTGAAGGTTTATAATAAGAAGTTATAAAAGAAGGACTTGTAAGAATTTAATTTATAAGTAGGCTTAATCTACATCTCATGAATATATTGATTCTTATTTAAATGAAGATTTACCAAAAATAGCTGATGAATTATAGAATGAAATTTCAGAAAGAAAAGATGTTGAGGAGAAGATATATCATTAATTTGTAGAATAATTAAATGATCTAAGAGAATTATTTGAAAGGTTTTATATTGATTTAATAATTTAGAGAAAAGAAAGAAAGAGAAGCAAAAGAAGAAGAAATAGTTGAAAGTTTGAGGGAGATTTCAGGAAGAATTTAAGAATAATTAAGAAAAACTAGAGGAGAAAGAGAAAAAACAGAAGAAACATTAGTATAATTGGTTGAGAAAGTCATAGAAAAATTAAAGAGAGAAATGCTAGAAATGAATTTATGATATTCATAGATATAAATAATTATAATTAATTTTAAGATCCTTTAATGAATTAAGCATAAATAGCCTTTGAAAAAAAAGATGCTGATTTGTCTAAGAAAGCACATTCAATAGAAGAATAATAATAATTGAATGAAGGTCATGAAGAAAAACATTAGAGTGGTGGAGAGCATATTAAAAGTGCGGTTTATGGAGGTTTAGATGGAATGGTTACTACATTTTCAGTTGTGGCTGGAGTGGCAGGAGTAAATATTGTAATTAAATATAGGCTGGATTATCTACAGGAGTTATATTGGGAATGGGAATTGCTAATTTGATTGGTGACGGAATATCAATGGCCTTAGGAGATTACATATCAACAAGGAGTGAAGCAGAATTTACAATAAATGAAAGAAATAGAGAATAATGGGAAGTTGAAACTAATCCTGAGGCTGAGAAAAAAGAAATGGTTGACATTTATAAAGTAAATTCTTAGAAATATTCTTAAGTCCAAAGGTATAGATCATGATGAAGCAGTAATTATTGCAGATACTTTAGCAAAAAATAAAAAGGTTTGGGTTGATGTTATGATGGTTGAAGAACTTGGATTAATGAGTGTAGATGAGCATCCTATTAAAGATGCTATTGTAACTTTCTTTTCGTTCGGATTATTCGGATTAATGCCATGTAAATTATTTTTATATATTAAATAATAGTATTGCCATTTATTGTTGGAAGTATTGCTGGATTATCAGAAAATTTATTTGAAACTTCAATTGCATTAACAGGCTTTTTCTTATTTATTCTTGGTGTTTCTAAATCAATGTTTTCTTATCAAAAATGGTATTGGGCTGGATTAGAAACATTAATTATTGGAAGTGCAGCAGCAAGTGCAAGTTTTATAATTGGTTTAGCATTTGAAGATGTTTAAGTTTGACATTAATAATTTTATATATCAATATATTGATTAATAATAAAATAGATATGTAGTTATTCTTTTTTATATAATACTTGACTTAATTAAAAAAAATATAAAATAAAATCAATATTTTAGATTATCAATTTTAGTATCATTTTAAGCATAGATTTCATAATAATTAAAGCTTATAACTAATAGATTTTAATCGCAATTCTAAACTGTCACTTTATAATAAGGAATCAAATGGGATCAAATGAACTGATCTTTTAAGTACTTTAAAAAGTTTCTATAAATAAGGACGATAAATTAATTGCATCAGTAATAATACTAATATTATATAAACTATAAAACTTATAGATAATATCTAATATGAAATAAATATAATACTTTAATTAACTAGATACAAAATTCTGCTTTTTAACCAGCACTTCTACTAAATTGATCGGAAAGAGAGAAAAAGACTCTTGTCACTATTTGTGATCCTTCCTATTCATACAGGCTGGCTTCGGCTCTTTTAGTAAAATTATTGACTGCCTTTTGAGTTTAGATTGAATGTTATAAGTAATTTAAAGTAGAAATCATTCCTGACTTTAAGGATCCTTCAAAGGATAAATTACAATATTTTGTAGTTAGATTTTAAAATTTCTACTTTTTAATTATTAAATTACTTGATCAATGAATTAACATAAATTTTCTTGACTAACTTAACTATATAATTAATCAAATTCTTCATCAATTATTTATGAATTTGCATAAAAGGAATTAGTGTTTTCTAAATAACTATTGATTGATTATTCTGCTTTATTAACTAGAGAATGCAACTATAATTTATTTTCCTCTGTTAAAAATGTGAAATTTGACCATCTAAAAAAGATTTCTCTATATAAAAATAGACTACCAGGTCTTAATTTTAAATCTTACAAATTTTTATAGAATTTTAAGTTTTCTTCATATTTTTATAAATAAGTATGTGTATTACTGAAAACCAGAATAAAATAAATAGATAGTAATATACATAATAAAATGAGCATAGAATAATTTATTAATTTGGATTTATTTTATGTCTTAATTTTTATTTTAATATATTTCTATCCCAATTTTCTTTGATAATTTTCTATTTAATAACAATATCTATCTAATGGATTATAATCAAGTAAAATATATCTATCTAATTTGTAATTATTAATGTAATCTTAAAATTTATCAATCTCTTTTTAAACAATATCAAAAGTTAATGAATTAATCAACTCATACATTTAATCTAATTAAACAAAAAAATAAATTTAATAACATTAAATTATTAAATAAAATAGAATTAGAGATGAAAATCCTATAACAGTAATAATCAACCATTTTCTATTAATTTGATTTTTATTTTCAATAGAGTAGATAGCTATTTCATTTGATAATTATTCACATTTAGAATGAAGTAGAAAATAATTGGCAAACAATGAAATTTAAAAAGGTTTACCAGATGTACTTTGACGATAATAAAAAGTCATCATTTAAGAATATTGATATTATAATATGACAAATAAAGCATCTCTGAAAGTAAGATTTATTGGATATATTGATTTTTCATCATTCTTCATAAAATACATTGTTAAATTAATGTCATTCAAAAATTCCTATAAATATTTATTATTAAGTTAGACATAAAAACTATCTCTTAATTCAGTAAATCCTAATTCAATATGATCATAATAAGGATTAGTTAATTCTATTACTTTGTTCTAAGTAAGGAATCCTTCTCTTTACATTTATTAATAAGCAGTTATGGTAACTCTCAGAGAAAAGAAAAGATCATGAGGTGCCATGATTGCTGCATAAAAAGTTACCATTTCCAAATTTGATTTCACTTAATAAATATCTTATTACAAAGAGACATAGAATATTATGACAAAAAAGATAAAAATGGAATGCCAAGTTAACATTAAAATCACAAATTTCTATAGATATTTAGGAGTTTTCACTGATAAAATAGATTAAATTAAAGAATACATTTTATCTATCTAAATATTGTCGAAATTTGATTCTGTATGAATATTCTAAATTCTATTTTTCTTATGAAATTCAAGATCTTCTCCTTTTAAAGATTAAAGCTATACACCTAATTTATCTTCACTAGTTTAGTTATCAGGAAAATTGTCTTAGTTATTTTATCCATTTTCTACACTTATAGATTATGATTCATAGGATTTTGGATTAATAACTGACATGGTTTAAGCTTATACTATTTTTACAACATTTATTAAATAATAATCATAGTTTTCAATAGATTATTTGACTATGATTAGATCGCATTAGGTTTTAATATAATTTAAGAATATTAATGAGTTTTCAGAAAATAAGGATTTCTAAGTTTAAAGATTTTCTTAAATTTTTGGCAATATTAAATTACATTAATTTACTTTAAATAATTTCTCTTAATTTGATTTAACAATTCTATCAAAGTTTGGAAATATTTTATTAATATTAAATTCATTTGAGTTTTCTTATTTACTTAAATATTATATTTCACTTTCGGTCCATCCAATTAATATTAATAAATTTTATGTAAATGTACATTTTTAACTGGTACTATCTATTAGAATATAAGCTTAATCATATAATGTATCTTATAAGAAAGTAGCAAAAGTAATATTTTAATTAAGAAATTTATTTGTAATTGAAAGACACATATTTATAGGTGTTAACAGCATATTTGTGTTTCTAATAAAACTAAGATCAAATTATTAGTAATATTTTGATATTCCTGTCTCAAAAAATCTTTTAACATAAGAACCATGATGTTTTATTAAATATTATGGGAGTAAATCATTAAATTAATGAATTTAGGTAGTATTTTTAGTGGTTCCAAAATTTTGATAAAATTTATTAGAATATGATTATATTGTAAAAGATTCCATATCATCTTTTGCTTCTAATATTAAATAATGAACATGTTTAGAATTGATATTAAAATTCTTAATTTATTTAAATTATAATATCTGAGTTTCAAAGAATTCTGAATTTTTATAAAAGTTTATTGATCTTCTATATTCACCCAGAACTTCTCCTAAGAAAAAACAAATGATTCTATGCAAATGAAAACAAGGATTTTACTAATAGGCTTTTTTTAATTATTTATCTATAGCATAAAAATAATGACATAATTTATTAACTTGATTATGAAAATGATGAATGCTTTATTTAATTTGTGATGTTGAAACTAATTATTAATAAAGAACAACTTTGGCTTCAATCACATTAAATACACTTTATTCTTAAACATTTATTTAAAGATCTTTTTCAATAACTTATTCTGTATAATCATTAATGTAATTTTGTTATATAGCTTCACTTGAAGTACCTAAAAATGAATTAATATTAGCTTTGGCACAATCAAATATAAATTTTAATTTTAATTTATCTATCATAGAATATTTTTTAGATTATTATTATTAAAGAACTTAAATAAGTTTTGAATCTTATAAAGTCTTTGTTAAATTACACAACAAATCTTAATTTTCTTAAGAATTTTTGGGTTTTAAAGTAATCAATTCAAGATGACTTATTTAATAATTATCATCTTGAGTTTGGGAAAATGATTAAAGTTTAGAGTTGTCTTAATTTTAATGATATTCTTTTAAAAAACAAAGTATTTTTATGGATTTCATAATCATTCCAAAATCATATAAAACAAATGCATATGATAAGAGTCCTTAATTATGAGAAGACTTTGAAAAAAGAGTGTATTATGTAAGAAATTATTTTAATTTCTCTAACAAAAATTCATTAAATATATGTTTTGTTATACCACCAGTTTAAGTTGGATTAATAATATTTTAATGTGAACAAAATAAACATTGTAATTAAAAGCAAGTTTATCTATGTTAAGATGCAATCAAAGATTTAAAAATGATTTCTTAACCAAAAGTAGGAGTATCATTATTTAATAATTTGATTAACCAATACTTTAATTGCCAATAGGCTTATACTTTTGAATTAAATAGTATTTTTAATGTAGATTAATCAACACGGTTAGAATAATTTCGAATTATTTAATATATCAACATTTAATTTATAAACAAAGGTAAAAGATATGATTTATAGGAAATGTTGACATGAATTAATGCAATTATATGAAATGAAATATTAAATGATACTGCTAAAGCTATTGATTTTTGTTGATAATCCAAAGAGTAGACTAAATTAAAAAATTGATCAATTAACAAAGTTATTTATGAAAATATTGCTATAAATGATTAAATTTATAGATAATATTACATATTCCCTAAAAATATCATGGAAACTTAAATTATTATTAAAAATTAATAGAGTGCTCTCATATAAGTAAATCTAGTTCTTTCTATATCTCTTTATTGATGAGTTATTGATGATTCATAACAATATATTGTGAATGATGATTCTATGAAAAATAAGAGAATTGTGATTATATTGATAATAATATGAAATTAAAACTAGGTATCTTATTTCTACTATTTAAATTATATTTTAAAGCTGACAATACAAAGCAAACTATATATTATTAGTAAAAATGTACTAATTAATTTTTAGTACAAAGTAAAAAATATCCCTAACACTTTCAAAAATATTTTTTTAGAAATTTATCTAATAAATCTATCCTATGTTTTTGATATTAAATAATAATATAGTAATATGATGGCACTTAATTTATGAAGTAAAAATAAAGTCAAAGGGATGAGGTAAAGAAAAGAGCTAATATTAGAAATTTTATATTGTACCTTTAATATAGTAAATCAGGTCGAAAGCTAAAAAGTAATATGGAATACATTGAGTTTTACTTTAGAGAATCAAAGGTTGATTATTCTAAAGTAATAAATATAGGATAAATTGTAGTAACAAATAATATAATAGACGAAATGTCCTTAGGAATTTATAAGTTGAATTTTAATATGTATAAAAGTGTTAAATAACGCTGAAAGAGCTATATTATTTCTTTTCTATCTGCTGGTCTCGACAATTTTGGAAAATTAAAATCCATATTAATATAAATAATTATCATACGGCTGAAGATTGAACTTTAATCATTAAATTTAATTAAAATGAAAATTTATTCATTAAATAAAAATAATACTTAATTTCTAATTGTCATATATATTATGTTTCCATATATTTATAATAAAATAAATTTGTTCTTAATCTCAAAAATATGATTTTTTATATTCATAAATATTGATCAATGCAATAAATTTATCATATATTTGTAAAGTTTAAGTATAGCATTTAATTGAAAGAAACTATTATGAAATTCTATATATTTGGCAAATTTTAAATTTAGCTGATATATTTATGAACATATTTAAAAAATGAAATATTGTTTTTTTAATTTCAATATAGGTTGTTTATAGATTCTTATTTCGTCTCATTTTGATTATTTATTTGAATTTATAATTACTTTAATATATTTACCTAATTAAAATTATATTAATATCATAGCATAACATTATTAAATATTGCATTCTTTAAATACAATTTATCTTGTTGATTTAAAAATTGATATTATATTGAAGGGCATTTTTGGCAATAATGGTTTAAATCTTGAAATTCAATTTTTATTTAGATCATTTAATTTCAAAGAATTAAATAAGTAAAATAAATAAATCAATTATGTTTTTAATTTTAATGATGTTTGCCAAAATTAGTTCTCAATAATACAATCAGTAAGAGGAGCTTAATTATTTAAACTTTCCTAAGATAAATATATAAAAAGAATAAGTTATTGGATGTATTTCCAAATATTCGCCTTTAAGCAATGTTGTTTATCCAGAAAATTTAGAGAAAAAAGATTAAAATAGTTATTTAATATACATAGCAAAACAAGTACAAACCAAAGAGCTACGGTTTGTGTACTATGTTGAATTTCTTGTTTCTCTTTAGAAAATTGTTCATTTTTTTATTATTTAAGCTTGTTCAAATTATATAGAAGTATAATTTGATATGGATAACTTAAACTATGAAGGAAATTGGTGTTTTCATTATTTGTACTTTAAAGATGAAACAGAATTAATAGTGGGATTAGATTGTGGAAATTAAAATCAATTTAAAACTTTTTAAAGTGATCCTAATTGTTTTTAAGACCTGATCCTTATGTATGGATAAAGTTTTTAAGTATTATTTTGAATTGATAATAGATTATGAAGGATAGCTCTAAACAAAACTTGATGTTGATTAACTTTCCTGGGGAGGTGAAATTATATTAAATAAGTAATATTATGTTTTTGAGAGAATATCAAGATAATTTTTTTTAAGGAATAGACTAATATCTCAATATTAATCCATTAATTTCATATTTACAATACTCATCTTTAAATAAAAAGAATTTTATTAGTTAATTTAATTATAATAGAAGTTATGATATTTAGTTTTGGTCTAAAATAAACATTTAAGAAGTTAATTAATAATAAATATGTATTCTAAAAATTAAACCTCATAATTTCTAATAAGACTTAAATTTATTTTTATTAACCTATATAAAGATATAAGAATAATGGTCTTACTTTATTGAATATCTTTCTTATAATTATCCTTTTGTATATAACATAGATTTAATAAAAGAATTTAAATAAAGTTACTCTTAAAACATTGAATAAGATGTAATTACATAATGGCATTTTATAGAAATAAAATATGTAATGAATATATTTGTATTTAAAATAAATAGTTTTATAAAAAATTTAAGATACTAAATAAAATTCAAATAAGTTTATTAATTTTCAGATATACTATTAGAATTTTAATTTGGAGCTAATAACACTTAAAAAATAAGTTTAGATGGAGAAATAGCATTATTTAATTATTTCAATTATGTAAGCCTTATTAGTAAATAAAATGATTAAGAGAGGCAATAAAATTGTCATTATTCTTGTTTTAATTGTTGGGGACCTTTTAATAATCAGTGTCTATCTTGTTTAGATTCAGATAATCGAATTTATGATCAATTAACCAATACATGTTAATGTAAATTATGGTATGTAGAGGAGAAATAATCAAAATGTTATGGATCTACTGACATGAATATGAAAGAGACTTTCAATTACTTACCTATAGACAACAGATATGAATCTGAAGATTAAGATATAATTTGTGCTTTTGGGTATTTTAAATATAAAGATATTTGCATATAATGGTAATAATTTGTTAATTTAGCTTAGTCCTTCTGCTTCTTAAAAGGGAATGTTAAATTGTTTAGAATGCTTATAAAATCCTGAGAAATGGTTGATTAAAGGTATTTGTGAAGAATAGTATATAAAATTTTATGGTTCTATAAATAATGTGTATTTTCATACTTACAATTAAAAAAGGTAGACAGCTTTATTTATTGTTGTTGATGAGGAATTAGTTGGTTGTGATGGATGTGATCGTTGTACAGATCAAGATGTTTAAGAAAGAAATATTATTTGTATTAAATATGATGATTAACGTCCAGATTTGGATGTATATATTACTTGTTATTATGGTGAATATTAGAAAGATGTAAAAAAGTGTCTTGAAGAATAAGATTAAGATGATTATCGAGGTAACTCTTAATGTTAACAGGCTTGTGGATATTGTATGTTTAAATAATGTTTGTATTGTATAGATCCTTCAAAATATTTTATGGATGTTTTAGGTATTTGTAGAACATGTGATATAAAAAATTGCAAATATTGTTTCTAATATAATAAGTTTGACAAAAATTAAGTTTCAATTTAATTAGGAGAAATTTCATAAAATTAAGAAGATTATGTTGTTGCTTGTTCATTATGTTTTCCAGGATATGTTTTTAATTTTTGGATAAATTAATGTGTTGAATATACTCCAAGTAATTAATGTGTAGATGGTTTCATTTAAGAAGATGGTTAATTTATTTGTACTTATACTCTTTTATCTAAGAATTAAATTTAAAGGAACATTGCTATTCAATTTAATGATTGTTAGAATTATTATTCTAATTGTTCAAAATGTCTTTAAGACTTTAATGGAATGATATAATGTGTTGAATGTGATTATGGATACTTCTTAAATTTCTTAAATGGAATCTGTTAATTATGTTCTGCTAAATTCATCAAATCAGAATTATGTTAAATGACAACTTCTAAATAAGATAATTGGAAATATCAAGTCTAAAGTTTTTATTTAAATTTCAAACCAAATAAAGTACCAATCCTTGTATAAGGTATGTATTTTATTGAATGGTATGAAATCTTGAAATGTGAGGATGGTTATTTACATTTTGGTTTGGATTGTTATAAATTAAAAAATTAAGATTGTCTTGAATATGATTTAGTAAGCCAAATTTGCAAGATTTGTAAAAATAGTATTGATGATCTTCCTGTTTTATCTTATTTTGATAATTAATGTTAATAATGTCCATATCCATGTTAAGTATGTTAAAAAATCTCTTTAGATTAAATATAAATTATTAATCCTTACTTTATTGTAAATGAGTAATCAATTAAATAGACTTACTTTTGTGTTTTTAATTTTAAAGAAGATTAAACATATGTTGAATCATATACAGGATAAATTAAAGGGAAAGATTAATCTAAAAGAAGATATAATTTATAATTAGAACCTGAAAGTTTTCCATCTCTTCAAAATCCAATTAAACAATTTAATGTCATAAAAAACTATTTACAACGAGTCAAACCTGATGTTTATATTTATAAATATAACAGTCAAAGTAATTCCAATCCTATTAATATAAGAGAATAAATATTTTCTTTGAGAAATTAAACATTACTTTATGATGGATATAATGATAGTTACCATGAAAAGTAATTTGTAATTTCAAATTAATCTACTGTTAATTTAAAGAATATTAGAATATATTATTAATCAAATAATTTTTTTGTACATTCCACATTTGGTGTTTCATTATTTATTAGTAATATCTCTATTTCCAATTTAGATTTAGAATAAACCATTTTTTAAATTACATAAACTACTAATGTTTATATTAATACAATTTCATTGTTTAATGTTACAATATTAAATTAACCTTTATTTTCAATTAAACATTATCAAAAATAATTAACCCAAAAATTTAATATTCATGTAGAAAATATCATATTGATGGATTGTAATTTAACAAATTCTTCAATTATATCATTTTCTACATAATCTGAATCAGAATTTTCATCATTAGAACTAAACTAGATAACAGTAATTAATAGTTATCTCTAAAATTCTTCAATTATAACAATTCATTATATAACTTTTAATAAATACTATTTAGCTGAAATGATTTTATTTAAAAATTCTTTAGTTTTAAATAGTTTTATTTTTAGAATACCAAATTCAAATATTGTCTTTATTTCAAAATTAGATATTATTGAATGTAAAATTTCTAATAGTACTTTAATTAATGTGGTTTCCTCATTTTCAATAGAATATGTATTAATTAATTAAAGTTTTTTTTTAAAGAGCAGTTTAATCATATTCACACAATAATTAAATAAAAATGGATATAATCATTTAATTACAAATTTAACATTAAATAACTTAGATTTTTGTGGAGAAGATTTAATTTCAATTAAGAATGATAAAGATCATAATGGATATATTAAATTGTAAAATTTTGATGCAAAAAACTTATCTTCTTCATGCTAAAATTCATGTAATACAAATTAATTTATATTTACTTATAGCAGTCATACAATTTTAATTGAAAATGTTTTAATAAAAAATACAAATAACTAATGGAATTTTTGTCTTTAAAAATTTACTTTAATAACAATTAATAATGTAATCATATAAGGAAATTATTTATATTCTTATTCTTTAACTTCATTTTAGATTAATTAATTTAAATCATCTATAAATTAGAGGCTAGAAAGTTGTGGAGTATTCTATATTCAAGAATTTGTGAATATTGAATTCAATAATATATAAATAGAAAATCATTTAATTTAAAATTCAGCATTAATATTATTGATTTCAAAAGGGTAAGCCTTAAATTATTAGAAAATAATAATAAACTATTTATAATTTCATAATAATTATTTGATTAAAACAGAAAGTACATAATTTGCCAGTCTATTATATATATATTCTGAGTATTTTTGTGAGACTGTTATTAATTAATCTACATTTAAAAATAATTTAATTCTTCATTTTTTAGAAGATTATTCCTTTATTTCTCCTGGACTCATTTATGTTTAAGTTTATTAGTAAAATATATTAATGAACAAGAACATTTTTAATTAAAATACAATTTTAAATACTTCTAATTCTCTAATTTATTTAGATTCTAAACAAGTAAAGATAAAGGAAATGAGAGTATAAAATATAAATTATGATCCTAATTAAATCATTTAAGATATTTTTAGTAAATCTATTGGAGGTGTAATATTTGCTAAAACTGAATTATTTTAAATTGATAATTCAATTTTTTTAAATATGTTTGCTTATTAAGCATCTTGTTTTTAATTAGAATTGATTAAATTAGGAAGTGTAGAATTGAATGATATTTATATTGAAAATGCCACAAGTTGGTCAAAAGATTAAGAATATGCAGTTGGTGGATGTTTGGGTATAAATTCAATTAACTCAAAACTAAATTTAAATTTAAAATCTATTTAAATAATAAATTGTAAAAGCAAGAATTAAAATGGCTTTCTTTATTTGATTCCATCAACAATTAGTAATTAAGTCTCATTCAATGATATAATATTTACAAATGTTTATTCTTAGAGTAAAATAATATTGGATTTTGATTTCTAAGGTAATAATTAATTGAACAGTGTAAAATTATAAAATATTATTATTAATCTTGATGAGATTCAGTATTATTAGAGTTTTAGTAAACTTTTATAATAGACTAATTAAACAAGAAATGGGATTATATCAATTTTTAATAGGTAACACATTATTATTCCTATATTAGCAATATTTAAATTAAAAATCTATATTTTGAGGGGATAGCTACTTAAAATATCTTAACTCTTCAATTTTCCAATTCATTATTATTAAGCAATATGTACTTAAATTAAGTAAATGCATTTAGTAATGACCTTATTACTATATAATATAAGGGACTCATTTTTTCTGAAAATTCTTTCTAAAAAGAAATAATAAATATAGCTATAACTAATATAACTATTTTTTAATCTTAGTTTTCAGAGAGAAATATTGATAATTTTTTAAGTAATTCTTTTTTTAGCATTATTATTGCAAATATCAATAAAAATTAATAGATAAAATTATATTTAACTAAAATATAATTAATTAATAATTCATGTCAATCATGTTTGAAAGGTTTAATATATTTAAAATTAGATTAAAATGTTTAAAAATGTAAAATATCAGACCTTTTTTTATATAATAATTATTGTGGATAATCTAATTGTTTATTTGTAAATTAAAGTTTACATGTTGAAATGAGTAAGAGTATTTTCATTTCAAATATTGGTAAAAGCAATGGTGCAATGAATTTATAGATTGATTAAATTACTGGTAAGAATTTATTCTATTTAAATAATGTTGGTACAATAGGTGGAGGTCTTTTTTATAAATCCATTAATGAATTAAAAAATTTAAAAAATATCTATTTCATAAATAATTCTGCAGATATTGGAGGAGCTGTGTACATTGAAAATACTAGTATATCTCCTGAAACTTTATTATAAATCTTATTTATTGACAATAAAGCAAATGATCAAATCCCAAATGTTAGAGAATAACCTAGTCATTTATAATTATCTGTATTTGGATAGAGAATCATGACAAATAGAGATGTAAATTTAGGAAAACCAAACTTTGCAAAATATAATATGGATAATTTTATTTTGATTCCTAGTGGATAGAAAATTGGATATTATGAACAATAGATTTTAAATTAAGTAATTCTTAATAAAGTCTATAATATATAACTCAAGATTTTACCAATAAACACTTTAAATGAAGTTTAACTTGAAAAAGAAAATTCTGTATGTATACTTGATTTGTCAGATTAGATTAACTAAGACAATATAATTATTAATAAAATTAATTAATAAGAACAGAAAATAACATACAATATTAGTAGTTAATCTTATGATCTAACAAATTATTCTATAGTATTGGATCCTTATTCAAATGAAATATAATTTTAGAGATTTAAATTCAAATGTAATTGTATAAGAAATCTAAATTATACTTTTTAATTCAATGCAAAAAGTTTTGCATGTAAGATGGGAGAATATTATTTTGAATCTTAGTGTTTATTATGTGATTATAAGAAAGGTTTCTATTCAGTAGAACCAAAAGCATATAATTGTTAGAAGGTAGATCCAAAGACTATCAAATCTAATACAATAAATAATATTGAATTATATCCTGGATATTGGAGACCAAACATCAGAAGTCATTATATATCAAAATGTTAGAAAAAAACTAATAATTGTTAAGGAGGTTGGTAGATTGGAGATGAATCTTGTGAAGAAGGATCTATTGGAGCTCTATGCGAAGAATGTGATATATATAATTTTAGAGGATTTGGATAATATTTTAAAAATTAGAATTATTAATGTGAAATCTGCATTGGATTTGCTGGAGATATTTTGTTTTCACTCTTCATAAATTTAATGTAATAAATATATATTAATTTTAGAGCCATTATCTCTATATATTTAACAGTCATTAGTGTAAATAGTGTCTTTAAGAGTTTTAAATTACTCAAACAAACTACTAAATATTATAAAATAATCTTCTGCAGTAATTTAGGTAAATTGTTATTAAAATTTATTAATAGATTAATCTGCGGCACTTATTAAAATGATCGTTAACTATTGTTAAATACTAGTTAGTATTAAATCATTTCAATTAGATATGTATTTAAATATTATTGATATTTTAATGCCAATAAGTAATCCTATAGGAAGTTCTACTTTTTCTTTTGAATGCTATTTTGCTAGCTCTTCTAAAATAAAAATAATTTATCTTACTTAAATCATGTACATAATATTACCAGCCATATATTATCTATTCTTTTTAACAAGTTATTTAATATTAGTCATTTACCAAAAGATGATTCTAACTTCAACCATATATTTTACAGCCTTGATCTATTTGTTTTTTTACACTTAACCTAATATAATAAAGTAATTTGGAGGATTGATTGCATATAGAACAATATCTATGATTGATTACATCAATATAAATACATCATATTTATATTATACTTAAGAGCATTAAAATTGGATAAAATTTTTTGTTGGGCCAATTTTAGTAATATTTGGAGGAATAATACCTTTGCTTCTATTAGTGATACTCTACAAGATCAGGTATTATTTTCATTTTGAACGAACTCGAAAAATATGGGGTTATTTATTTAATGATTACAAAGAGAATAGTTATTATTGGGAAATAATAAAGATATTTTAAAGAGAAGTAATTATGTTATCATTAATAATTAATGAGGAAAGAGTAATATTCAAAAGTGTTATCACTCTACTAGTTTTGATCCTATATTTCTTTATTTTCCTTTATTTTTAACCATACAATCTTTAAGTCTTAAATTAATTTGAATAAGAAAGTATTCTTTTATGTGGAATCATTATTATTTTAAGTTCTCTTCATTATTAAACTAAGATTATGGGATAGGAAAATCTTGATAATCTCTTTCAGATTCTATAAATTATTTTATCATTGTACTTTATTTACACCATAATAAAAAAAGTAGTTCAAGTATATTACACTAAATATAATGAAAGACTTGATTAAATAAGAAAGAAGATATTATACAAATACCCAAAAATAATATATATATGTCCATGGTTGAAAAATATTTTAACTTTGAGAAGTGAGAAAAAGAAAATTGCACTTTCTCGATTTCAAATGATTAAAAAAGCGTTAATTTAGTAAAAAATAAATACAAGATCAAAAATAATTCATTATAAAAAAGTCTCTTATGGAAGTCCCTTATCTATTGATTTAGGTGAATAAACATTCATGATGAAATTGCCATCTATTTAATGAATTCATATACTATTTACAATAAAGATAGAAATATATATATATATATAGTAAAAATTATATAAAATATATATATATTTATAATTATTCATAAAAATAGATAATTTATTAGAATATATATTATGCTTATAAGATATCATTTATATAAATATCAATATCTATTCAGAGGATAACCAGATTGATAATTTCATTCGATATTCTGATTCGGATGATGATGAGGAATATTAATTTTATTTATAATTAATTAGGCTTAGAATTGTAGCAATATATTTAAACATATGGCGTCAAATCAAGGATAGTCATTTTCATCTTCTTATAAGTAATTAGTTTTTAATAGTTCTTTGAACTCTCCAAACTCTATTACTCCTGATCCATCAGTATCAACTTCTTTAATTAATCCTTCAATATCGATCGTTAATTCAAATTCATTCTTAATTATTCGAATCAACTTTTCTGCATCAACATTTCCTGTTGTGTCTTCATTACCTCCCATTGCTACAAATGCATCAATCATATCTTAATCATCATCTTATAACCCAGCATATTTAAGTTTGGCATAGAGACCCAAAAACTCTTTAAATTTAATACGTCCACGATTGCCATCATCAATTTCACTTATTAATTTGTGAACTTTATGAGGTTTCTACTTCAATCCTACCATTTCTAAGGCAATCTCCAAATCATCAGCCATTATTTCTCCTTCTCCTCTCTATCAAAATCTATAAAACAAACAAAGTTACATCATCTAAATCATTAAACGCTCTTTAACATTGTTCAATATCTTCTTCAGATAAATTCATTATATATTATTTAATATTTTTATATTTTTGGATTCAATTCAATTTATACATTAAAATGCAGTAAAGAAATACAACTTTAGCTTTAATTATTTAGAAATTTATGAACTTATCATATAATATTTTAAATACATAAATAACTTATTGAAATATGTTGAAATCATTTATAATAAACTATCATATATTTAAAACTACAAAATATTAAACATTTTTTAAAAATCAAAGATTTCTTATAATTCAATAATAAATTCAGTATAAAATCTATATATTAATTTCATTAAAATTTTTATCTATGTTAAGGAACATCGCTATCTGAAAGATCTTAATTTAAGTCTTTAAATATATCTTTGGTAACTTAACCTCTCTAATAATTATTAAATTATATATTACCTTATTTCCTTTCCCTTCATTTATAGATACTTATCCTTCACTTTTATGACCATATGAATCATCTAATTTAAATATACTACCTGCGTAAGAAGAACCACTTTTATTTTAAGTAAGTTAAGAGTTATCACTTAAAGCAAATTAATTTAGATAATTTTTCATATCATTTACACCTTTTTATCCTACTTCTTTAGGTTGTTATTATAATTATTATTAATTTTATTATTATTAAGAGAAAGTTGATGCAAAAGTATATTATTATAAAACTTATGTATTTTAAAAAGGAGCTGGTCTATTTGGTTTTTATTTAGATCCTTAAATCTAATTATCTAATAATTTCTCTTGTTTTTAATGGTATTCTTAATTTTATCTTGCTTCTTCTTCTTCAGTATCTGTGTATTCACTTGATTCAAGTTGTTATTAGATCTTTATTAATTATCTTGCTTATTAAGCAGCATTTCCTGAAATTCCGTCATTAACTTAATTTAAAGTTTAATTAAATGCAGTCAAAAGACCTTAGAAAAATGCTTAGGCTCCCATAGCTATTTAATCTTATAAGTTTGGTTAATCTGGTTAAATTTGAATAGATTGATTTTTTAGAATTTTCTCTTTATTAATCATATCTTATGCTTAAACATTTAATTATTTTTATTAAACTAATTTATCTTTAACAATATCTCTAGATAAGAGTTCTATCAATTCAAATTCATTTTTTGGATTTTCTTATTTCATTCCTAGTCTCTCTAATAAAGCTCCACTTTTTTATTCTTAAGAAGTAAAGTTATTTGTTTATTATACTTAATTGATTAAATCGTCATAATTAATAAATTTAGGATCATTTATTTAATCTTAGTAATTATATTTAACTTCTTGATAATTATAAATATCTTTATAATCTTGAGGTTTATTTATTTAAACATTATTTTCTTGAATTCTTTCAGCTTCTTCAACTTAATATTTTAATGGAGAAATTAACTATTAATTTTATTTTTATCTTGTTTTATTATCATAATTATTATTGATCTCTTAATTTTCTTTCTTTTTATAAGAAATTTCATATTTAGGTTCATCAAAAGACTAATCATTTTACAAATATTCAATCACTCCATATTTTTTGGATTCATCTTCAATCTACTACTTTGGTTTTTATCTGTATTCAGCTTTCTCAATATTAAAAGGTTTTTATTTTTAATTTTTCTAACCAGATTACTATTATTATTATTTTGGAGGTTCTTTAAATATAGGTTTATAATCTTATGGAGTTTATTATTTTTCAAATTTTATATCTTTAGGAGGTTCAATTGGTTTAGTTGATAAATTAACTAAATGATTAGGTTTTACTGTTTTCTTTTACATTTCTCCTAAAGGTTGAATAGGTTAAACTACAGGTACTTGTTATATTTATTTTGGTTTTGGTGGAGGTGGTTTATTAGTAATTCCTAAAGCTGCTTTCATTTCATCAAGAATAGAACTTGGTTTATTATTAAGAGCCTCTAAATCAGTAGAATCAAATTAATATTCTGGAATATACATTTCATAATCTAATCCTTTATCTATAAATTAGGAATATACAACAGATGCTTCAGTAGTTAAATCTGTAATGTCTTATGAAAATTAATCATAATCAAAATGTCCACCTAATTTTTAGTTGATATATTGTTAAGATTTTTCAAAATTAATAGAATTAATTTATTTTTCTAATTATTAGATTGTTTCTTCTTCATATTAAGATACTTTTTAAATTTTTCTAACCATATGTGCATCATTTAATTATTTATACTTAACATGTAATTCTTGTTCACTTGTTTGTGTTTCATTTTATAAGGCATATATTTAATTTTATAAATTATTAATTGTATCCTAATATAATTATAAATTAAAGTTTGTGAAATTTTATAATGTCTATAAATTTTCTGGTCTTAAAAATTATAAATTATGTTGAGTTGTATCTAATAGTTATTTTAATTGATTATTTTGTGAATCATATTATTAAAAATTAATATTACTATTTTATTATTACATTTATTATCTAATTTCAGATTAAGATTATTATGTCTATTAATATAATTATTTTATTTCTTATAATTATTGATTAATTGGTGTTAGGAGATTCATCATCATTTATTATTCTCCTTAATTATTTGAATTCTACTTATTATTATTATTATTATTAGTATTATTTTACTATGTAAATTATTGCATTTATTATTGATTACGAATTAAGATTTCTTATTATTATTTCATCAACTCTTGTTAACTTACCAACATTCCCATTGTTACTTACTCTATTTAATTAATATAGTAATATTACTTTAAGCAACTTATTTAAAATCATTCTCCAAATTCTTATAAAATTAATCTATTTATTCATTTGATGGTGCATTATAAGCAGCCTCAAAACCATCCTTTTATTATTATTATGGAACTTATAACTTTTATTAATTTGATTGAGATGGTCTCTTTTATTCTTTTTAAGGTTTGTCTTTTGTACTAATATATGTCATAAAACTTACGGAGGAGATGATTATTATGGTGGTAATCCATAAAATCTATTTTTTGCTTCTTATTCTTTTTAGGATAATGATGATCTTTTGAATGCAATTGCCATAATTGGTTGTTAATTAAAAAATTAATCAAATTTTATATTAAAACTCATTTTAATCCTACAAAGTCTTTATAGTTTTTATACAAAATTTTTGTTATTGAATAGAAAAATTTCTTGCTTACAGAGATAATTTAAGATTCCATCATTTATCATTATTATAATTGTTATAATACAGGATTTCTATCGAAAAAAGTTTATTCTTAGATTTTATATTTTTCAGCTTTCCTGTTAGATCTTTCCAAATTATATTGAGTAAAATCAATAATTTATTACCAAAGGTGATTATGAAGTTTAATATTCATTTTGACATATATTCATCTTTCATACTACAATTATTTATCCTCTTTTTACTTCTTTGTCTCTTCAGATTAAGATCGCTTTCTAATATTTTTAAATCTCATGTGATATTTAGTAATTGGATTTGATATCTCTTTATTAAAACTGGCATTTGAATTCTTAAGTTATTCACATTCAATAATTATATTTTAAATTTTTGATTTAAATTTTTATTACATATAATAAGTAAAATCTTTAATTAATAATGGACATCGACCGACATATTTCATCACTGCTATCAGGAGGATGTCTTCCAGAAAGAGATCTTAAACTTATATGTGAACGAGCAAAAGAAATCTTCTTAGAAGAATCTAATGTATAACCTGTTAGAGCTCCTGTTAATGTTTGTGGTGATATTCATGGTAAAGATATTATTAAATGACATAGGCCAATTTTATGATTTGTAGGCTCTGATGAAGGAAGGTGGTGATATTCCTGATCATAATTACATTTTTATAGGAGATTTTGTTGATAGAGGATATAATAGTGTAGAAACTTTGGAATATTTGCTATGTTTAAAAGGTAAGAGAAGATTATATTTATAAATAGTAAAATATCCAGGAAATATTGTATTATTAAGAGGAAATCATGAATCAAGATAATGCACTTAAGTTTATGGATTTTATGAAGAGATTTTGAGAAAATATGGAAATAGTAGTCCATGGAGATTATTTATGGATGTTTTCGATTGTTTACCATTAGCTGCTTTAATAGAAGGCTAAATATTATGTGTTCATGGAGGATTGTCACCTGATATGAGAACTGTTGATTAAATAAGAACTATTGATAGAAAAGTAAAAAAAAATTATGAAAATTTAAGGTTGAAATTCCTCATGAAGGTCCATTTTGTGATTTAATGTGGTCAGATCCAGAAGATGTTGAATATTGGGCTGTTAATTCAAGAGGAGCTGGATATTTATTTGGTGCTAAAGTTACAAAAGAGTTTTGTAGATTGAATGATCTTAGTTTAATTTGTAGAGCTCATTAATTAGTAATGGAAGGATATAAATATTGGTTCCCTGTAATATTAATTAAATAATTTAGGATTAAAATTTGGTTACAGTATGGTCAGCTCCAAATTATTGTTATAGATGTGGAAATATTGCTTCCATTCTTTGTTTAGATAATTCTTTGTAATCTACCTGGAAAACATTCAGAGAGGTTCCTGAAAGTGGTAAAAGCATTAATCCAAAGAATGTTCTTCCTTATTTCTTATGAAATATTGTATTTATATCAATACATAAATATTTTTTTGATTTAATAATTATTGTATCCATTTTATTTTCTTGTTAATTATCTTAAAGGTTTAATAGATCTTTTAAATAATGTAATCTAAAAGTTATTTGATAAGTGAAATTAGAAATATAGTAAGAAGAGAATTATTTGACAGGATTATGATATAATTAAATATGAAAAGAATAAATAATTTTTATGAATTCCATTATTTTAATTTATTAGTATAAAATAAATGAATAAAGACCAACCAGTCATAATTGATAATCGATATTTACTTGCATCCTTACATTATTAAGGCCGACATTCTAATTTTTACAATGCTGTAGACATCTAATAAGAACAAAAATAGATCTTAATTTAAATAGTATAATGATGTGTTTATCATAATTAGATAACTGATTAAATATGTATTTGTAAATTATTTAAACGATTGGAGTAATGTAATATATGTTTATTATAAAGGATAGCTATTGATTATAGAGATAAATCTAATGATCATCTTAATAGAATGTCTAGATTTATACCAATACCAAGGATTTATAGAATGGGAACATTGGTAGTTTAAGATATTACTTATCATTATATTGCATGGTAAAAGAGTGGACCTTCTTTGAAATTATGCTTTAAATTGATGAAATATAAATTTTCTCTTAAAACTATTACTTTGGTTGCATTAAAAATGGTAATTATATAATAATAATTAGTATAAAGATTTCTAATTTATAGTAAATTCATAATTAAAATATTTTACATAGAAGTCTAAAATTATCATGTATTATGACCACAAATCATTCAAATTTATTATTAACTAATTTTGATGATTATGTAGAATTTCTCAACAAAGATGGTAAAATTTCTAACAAATCTAAATAAATTCATATAAAAACAAATAAGTTCAGTAGTATTGGATAACATCTACAATAATGTAAATTTAATAATTAAATTAGTACCTTCTCCTCGAGATGATTTAGAATCTCTTGGTTATCTCTTATTATATTTACTATCTTAAGGCAAATTACCAACTAAATGTTAATCAAAGGATTAAAACATAAGAGATAAATTTTATATGGAATTCAAAAGATAATTTCTACCAGAGAAGGAATTGAAATAATTTCCTGAAGCATTTTTATATTTCTTTTAAAATGTATTTAAATTAGGGATAAAAGAGATTCCTAATTATGAAATACTTAAATAGCCCTTTATTTAATATTTAGGAAGATAAGAATAAGACTATAATTTTGATTGGTCAGAAGTCTTTAAACCTCTTATTGAATTAACAGCAACATCAGAAATATCTGTTAGAGATAAAGCATGTTCTTTTGAAGCTTTAATGATGAATAATATTAAAAAGGAATATCATAAAGATAATTAATCTGCTCCAACAAGTCCAACTAGCTAATAACATAAAAAAAAACCAATAAAATCCTAAAGGTTCACTCTAGCACCTATTTTAGAAAAAAATGAATCTTTAATGACAACATTTAATAATTGTGATTCAAATGCAGCATCTCCTAGATTTAATCATTAATTAGTGAATTTACTATTTGATAATTGTCAATAAGATTCTTCATCAGGTGAGATTAGTCCAAGTGATGAACCTACTGTTGATTAACTTCCAACTTTTGAACAGCATCAACATGATACTATGTGAATATTGTATATATATATATATATGTATTTATTTTATAATTATAATATTTTAATTTTTATTTTGTTACAAATACTTTAACAGTTCATAATGGATACTAATAAAAAGGTTTCTTTTAATACTACAATGATAACATAATCATTATATACAACTACTAATTCAATGCAAGATGATAATAAATTAGTAAAAGATATTTAAAATAAAATTCATTAAATTTTAAAAGGAGGAAATGCAGATAATGAATATTCACATAAATTAAAATGTAAGGTTCCCCTATTATAAACTGTTGATTGCTAAAAATTATGTAACAAATTAGTCAAATTTAATGAGCAGTATAAAATTGATGAAAATTAAAAGAATTCAATCACAATTAATAATAGAGTCTTAAAGTCATATAAATTCAATTCTGTTTTATCTAAAAGAAGATTAACAAAAAGTTTATAATAAAAACAAACATCTCAAATTAGCAACTCTATCCATAAAAGAGGAGATAAATACAATAAAATATTCGATACAGAATGGTCAGAATATCAGAATATATATGATTTACATAATCTCTTATCTCCTAATTCTTTAGATATGAGTCCTGCTTATGCTGAAGTTGAATTCATTAAATCCAAAATTAAGAAAGATAAAAAAAATGACATCATCATTCCTAAAGCTAAGATTATATCAAATAATTAAACCAAAAATTATATTGACCCAGATTAGATTTATTTTATATAACCAAATAAAATATTGACTAGTAGAATCATTTTAAAACCTAATCATAATAGAGAATCACTAAGTTAACGAAAACATTACTCATTTTAAAATTGAAATAATACATTTGTGAATAGAATTAATATAATTTATGAATAAAAATATCATTTTACTTTAAATTAATCTATTTCAAAATAATCTATCCTATTTCCATCTTTATTAATTGCATAAACATATTATTTCCCATTATCATAATTATATACCCAAAAATGAGCTTATCTACTTGATTTTTCTATTATTGCATGTTCAACTTTATTAGCAGACTATATTCCCATTGCTCCATTTCCTACATAATAAGTATTCCCAGGATAAACTTTTAATTTACTATCAGATTTAAGAACTTAAATTCTTTTAGTTCTTTTAAAATTATGTTTATGATGTTCAAAAACTAAAACAACTTTATTTAATTCATCTCCTAAATTCCATAAAAACTTTTCATCCTCTACTTATAGAGGAACAACTGGTACATGATAACTAACTAAATTAACTTTATTTTTCTCTATACAATTTTATAAAAACTCTTTTTGGCTCTCAGAACTAAATATATATTTTAATATACTTTGTCATATATCCACTATCAATTGTAATAAAATTAATGGGTCCGATTCTATGAACAAAATATGAAGTTCTATCTTAAACCAAAGGAATTTATTTATTAATCAACTATTATGGAAACATTTAAATTATATTGGGTACTTTTTAATTTTATTAATTATTGTATAACAATTAAGGATCAGTAACTCTTCCAACATCATGATTACCAATTGAAAATATTAAGGGTATCAATTTCCCTTTTTATTTACATAAATTTTCATATAAATCTAAGAATTTATCCCAACATGTTGTGCATTAAATAAATCCATTATCATATGCCACATCTCCTCCTATATTGATTGCATCAATTTGAGGTACAGATTCCATAGCTTTCCATATTTGAATAGAAGTTTCAGTGTAACCTGAATCACCTCCATCTATTATTACTATATTAGTAGAATTAAAATCATAGTAATAATATTCACCTAACAATTTTGAACCATCAAAAATTTGTATTTTATTTTATTTCTTATCTACCTGAATAACACTATGATAAACATATCTATCATATAATTTTGTATTTGTGATACGTTATTAAACAGAATTACAATAGACTACATAATTAGACTAATCTTGAATTTAGAAGTTGAATATGATTGCATTATGATATTATGTCAATGTTATATATGAATGAAATTTCTAATTATCTAAAAACAATCTAGTGAATTAAGTACTGAAAGCAGCACCATCTAAACTAAAAATGAAACCTTGATCGATATTATGCATTGCAAAACAAACATCATATGTGAGTAAATAGAGTATTACAACAATAATTATCCTAGAGAGTGAATTTCTATTGTAAATAATTAGAATAATCAATGATAGGTATTTAAAATCTCCAAACCAAGAGAAAGACAAAATTGCTAAATTAATAGTAATGGATACAAGGTTCTTGAATTTTTTTTACTTATAGAAAATCAATCCAAAAATTAACAAATTGACTAAAACTAATATTTGTAAATATTATTCAGCTGTGAAATACTTTCCTTTTAGAATAGGCATCCATTCAAACATTTATCAATAATATATATTAATATATATATATATTAAATAATATTATTTCATTCGGTTAACTTCTGAACTCTAAATATTCAAATCTTTTTTATTATTTAATTTCTGAATGTAATACTTAAATCTATCAGAGAAATGAAAACGTTGACCTAGTATCACAGTTATTAAATTCAACTATTTTTTTTGGACTTAAAATTATTAATTTTATATCTTAAATCACCTACATACAATAACTTTTAGAGATTTTTGTTGCTGTATTTCCAAAATAAATACAAATTCATATTATTTCATTTTGTGAATATTAATATTATGTATTTAACAAATTTTTAACTATTTTTGAAAGTTATTAGTTTCTGCTTAAATATAAAATAACTCTGTTTTTTTTTTATAGTGATGATAAAATTGAATCATTATAAGATTAATTTATCTTAAACATATTTTTGATTATAAAGTAATTATTTTATACATACTTCTATAATTTTAGAAACAAAAAAAAGTAGAATAATAGAAATAAATTAAAATTACATTCATATTCCTAGTTATTTTTTTGGCTTGAATAAACAATATTTTTTAATTTAACCATACATTTCTTTTGGTTAGGCATCTAAACTTATAAACTAATGATCAAATTTATTTGATTTATTAAATTGAATTAAGGATTCCATCAACCTGCTTTAAACCATTCCAAATTTATTATTCTAATAAAACTAAATTTTTTATTTGTTATATTTTACTTCTTATAATTCATTCAATTCAACCCACTTAAAATTCTTAATTTCTTATTCTTAAATTTTAATGGATTAATTATTATTTTGTAATCTCATTAAAATAACAAAATATAAATCTGCTTAATACTAATTAGCAATGGGTAGATCCCTAATTAAAAANATTTAAAATCTCCAAACCAAGAGAAAGACAAAATTGCTAAATTAATAGTAATGGATACAAGGTTCTTGAATTTTTTTTACTTATAGAAAATCAATCCAAAAATTAACAAATTGACTAAAACTAATATTTGTAAATATTATTCAGCTGTGAAATACTTTCCTTTTAGAATAGGCATCCATTCAAACATTTATCAATAATATATATTAATATATATATATATTAAATAATATTATTTCATTCGGTTAACTTCTGAACTCTAAATATTCAAATCTTTTTTATTATTTAATTTCTGAATGTAATACTTAAATCTATCAGAGAAATGAAAACGTTGACCTAGTATCACAGTTATTAAATTCAACTATTTTTTTTGGACTTAAAATTATTAATTTTATATCTTAAATCACCTACATACAATAACTTTTAGAGATTTTTGTTGCTGTATTTCCAAAATAAATACAAATTCATATTATTTCATTTTGTGAATATTAATATTATGTATTTAACAAATTTTTAACTATTTTTGAAAGTTATTAGTTTCTGCTTAAATATAAAATAACTCTGTTTTTTTTTTATAGTGATGATAAAATTGAATCATTATAAGATTAATTTATCTTAAACATATTTTTGATTATAAAGTAATTATTTTATACATACTTCTATAATTTTAGAAACAAAAAAAAGTAGAATAATAGAAATAAATTAAAATTACATTCATATTCCTAGTTATTTTTTTGGCTTGAATAAACAATATTTTTTAATTTAACCATACATTTCTTTTGGTTAGGCATCTAAACTTATAAACTAATGATCAAATTTATTTGATTTATTAAATTGAATTAAGGATTCCATCAACCTGCTTTAAACCATTCCAAATTTATTATTCTAATAAAACTAAATTTTTTATTTGTTATATTTTACTTCTTATAATTCATTCAATTCAACCCACTTAAAATTCTTAATTTCTTATTCTTAAATTTTAATGGATTAATTATTATTTTGTAATCTCATTAAAATAACAAAATATAAATCTGCTTAATACTAATTAGCAATGGGTAGATCCCTAATTAAAAAACAATCATAAGGTTCAACATCTAAACCTGCTTCTTCTTTAACTTCTCTTATGGCTGCTTCTATAATTAATTCTTCATCATTTACTAATCCTCCAGGTATTGTCCATTCATCTTTATACAATCCATTTTTTTCTTGAATTAATAAAATTTAATTATTATGAAGAATTAAACCTCCAGCACCAATTGAATGAGTAGTATAATTTGGTAATTGGTTTTTCTCATCTTCAACAATCCATTAAGAAAATAATAAATAATTTTATGTACAATGATGCATATAAAATCCTTATTCAATTAATTTTTCAGCAAGTGTTAATTAACATTAATCTAATTGAATCCAAATTGCTTTCATTTATTTTGATTTACAATCATTTATTGTTTGGATTAAATTTTTTGTAAATAACTCAAGGTCTTAAGTAAATGAGTCTAGATACTTTCCTTTTTAGATATGATAACATTAATAGACATCTTCATTCCCCAATAATGCTTAAGATCTAAAATTCTTTGTATTATGTAAATTTTAGGAGAAATTATAGATAATTGAACGAATAATTTTCATGATAAAATATTTATTCAAATTCTCTATTCATGTATAAAATAAATGATATTGAGAATATTTATATTGATAATAAATATATCTAGGATATAAATATGCAAATTAAATAATAATTTATAATGTATGTAGTTCCATAGCAAGAATTAATATTAATAATAATAATATATTGATAATATATATATAATAAAGATAAAAACTCTTGTACTTTGAATTTAAATGTTATTTTATTCATTATTATATTGGATTCACACCCAATGCTTTACATGCTTTTTAATATGCTAATTCTGCTATTTCTATTTTACGATTTGTATTTCTTATCTTATATACTAATTCTTCTTCTTTTCTTTTTTACAATACGTATGTCATGGCCTATTAAATTATATAAATATTTACTTTAGGAATATCTTCATTAGTTGCATTATTTACTTATTCTAATTAGATTGCAAATTTTTTCTTTTTTTCTGTTAATGATGCTATTTATGTTTTGACTTTTTTTGTTTATTCTTAAGTTTTAGCTATTTTTTTATTTTTATCATCAATTTCTTAAATAAGTTTATTACATTAATCTATTTCATTTTAGAGTTGATTTCTTTCCTCTATCAAAACAGAGGATATTTTACCAGTAGCAATTTTTAATCCAAGCAATTTCTTATTTTTCTCATCAATTTACTTAACATACTTTTTATTCTCAATTTATAATTAATGAAAATCAATAAATTTTAAATCATCACCCATTTCTTCTTTCTTTTAAATTTAATTGCTAGTTTTAGTAATTTATTATTCTATATTAGCTTTTTTTTATTTGTATTTTTCAATTTATGCATCCTTAATAAAATAATTATTCTTTATACTTTTTATGCTAATTTCTCTTTAAAATACTTTTCTATTCTTTCTGCTTCTATTTTACCAGTTCTTGTATTTTCACCTGCAAATAATATTTCTCTTTAAAAATCAAAAGCATCCTTTCTAATTTCTGTTATAGCTTTATCTGTTTCTTCTAAAATTGCCTAATAATTTTAATAATTTTAATACTCTTAATGTTTCTAATATTTAATCTGATCTAATTCTGCCTTCTTCAATATTCTTTTTTAGTGTATCACTCTCAAATTAAGCAATCTCATATTTCTCTTCATTTGTCAATTACATTGTCTAATACAATCTAAAAATATATTACTTTTTTATCAACTGGTTAATTTTTCTTTTTAGTTTTCTACTTTTTATCTTCTGCTTCATCTTCTCTCTACAAATCTTTGGAGTTTCGCATAATATATGATTCAAATAATAGATTCTCTCTCCTTATTTATTCCATGTCCTTATACAAACCTTCTAATTTTTATGATAATTCTTCAATAAGAATGAGTTCTTTCTCTTCCTCTGTTATTCCCTATTATTATTCAGGAATCATTTTAATTAAAATAATTATATTTGATTTTAACGATGAAGAAAGATGGTCCAAATATATCTAAAGTAGCTTCAGATTTAATTCTGGCTTATAAATAATTGACTGGCTAATAGAATGAAATAGTCATATCTCCCAGATATGAGAAAACTGCATTATATTTTCCATAATCACGTAAATTTTTATATTAAAACTCTATAGCAATAGAAGAATAAATAGAGGAAGAAAATTAACTTGATAGTCCAAGAAAAACATATACTGAGAATGAAGATGATTATTTGAAAGAAATTAGTGAATTAAGATAAATTGTAGATTAAAGTAAAATTTTTGAATAATAAAGTGAGAATGAAATACATGAACATACCCGAAAGGTATTTAACATAACCATTAAATTCAAATAATCAAAGTAATTAGAATTATAATACAAATACACTCAAAAAGAAAACTAAAAAACATATAGTAATTACTAAATACTAAACAGATTTCCTTAGGCAATAGTATGGGAAAATTTAATGACTAGGTTTTGTTACTTTTTTTTATTTCTTATTTTTGTTACTTTATATATCATTTTTATAAAAAAATTATTATTATGAGTTCTCTGTTAACAGAATCAATAGCAAGTGCAATATCTGGAATCATAGGAAAATTTTTATGTTATCCCTTAGATACAGTTAAAGCCTAGTTTTATGTAATTTTGTTATATTCATTAATATCAGGTTGAAAGAAAGCCAATTTAAATGAATTTAAGAGATGTTCAAAAAACATTCAAAAATGTATACTAATAAGGTGGAATAAAACAATTTTATAAAGGAGGCTTGATTGCTATAGTAAGAATAAGATTAATAAAGATAGGAAGTGGACCTGCATTTTCTTTATATTTGACTTCTTATCAATATTTTAAGATAGAAATAGGTCATAAAATAGAATCAAAACTTTTATTACATCTATGTTGTGGATTATTGGCTGAAACTGTTAGTGGTGTTCTATGGCTACCTATTGATGTAGTAAAAGAAAGATTGCAGGTATAAAAGAGATTTGGACATCATAATTACAGTGGATCAATTGATGCAGTCTTATAAATTGTTAAATAGGAGGGAATATTAGGCTTATACAGAGGTTATATTAATTTGTAAATTAATAGGGTTTGGAGCCACCTTAGGATTTTTTGGCCCCTATAGTGCTTTATATTTTGCCAGTTTTGAATATTTAAAGGGTATTAATATGGTATTGAATTAAAGAGTAGACTAATAATCATGCTCTACTGTCTTCTTTGGGAGCATTCTTTTTTTCCTCTATTTTGACATAGCCTCTTTCAGTTAGTAAAATGAGGATATAAATTTAATCTCGTAAGATGTAGCAAAATCAAACTGGGGAGGGTTTATTTAATTACAAGAATTAATTACATGGAATTTGGAGAATACTAATAGATGAAGGGATTTAAGCATTATTTAGAGGCTATGTTATGAGATGCTTGTATGCAGGTTCTTTAACCACTTTTAATATGACTTGTGCAGAATTATTAAAAAACTATGCAAATAATAAGATTTGAGGAATGTTCTAAATTCTTATAAAATAAATATTTATGTTATATGCTTTCATACATATTGCATTATTATTTTAATATCTATATATCACTATGAGTAATACACTAACATTTTACTACAATCCCGTATCTATGCCTTCTAGAGCAGTGCTTACTTTGTTAACTTTAGGAAATGTTCCTCACACAGCTAAGGTTGTGGATTTACAAAAATAAGAAAACCTTACACCAGAATACACAGCTATTAATCCATGCTAAAGTGTACCAGCTTTGGATGATGATGGATTTAAATTATTTGAGAGTCATGCTATTCTTAGATACATTGTTAATAAATATCAGTTGCATGATTTTTATCCTAAAGTAACTCTATATTATGATTATCATATTAGGACCCATAAGAAATTGCCAAAGTAGAATGTTATTTAGATTGGCATCATACAGGCACAAAATTAGTTTCAAAATTTGTGTTTGAACACATAATTGGACCAAAAATGATGGGAAGACCAGCTCCTCCAGATTTTGAAGCAAAAGAGAAGGAGATGGAATCAATCCTTTAATTTATAGAATATGTATTTTTAGGTTAAGGCAAATTTAAATATGTGTAAAATTAACCAAAAATGACAATTGCCGATTTAAGGTATCTAAATTATTTTTATTTTAGTTTAATATTTGATATCTAAATGCTTTTTGGTTTCAATTATTCATTTGATAAATTCCCAGGATTAAAGAATTACGTATAACATATGTCTTAATTACCTTAAATTAAGTAGGTCAATCAACCATTTTATGGTATGATTAAAAATGCTCCATTGAATGACTTCATCAAAGGATTGATATAATGATCTATTTTTAAATAAAACATTAACCAAATTTATACAATTTGATATTTATCCCAAAAATATATAAAATAATTATAAAAGAGTTCTTTAAACAGAAAAGAATAAAATTTTGGATTATATTATTATTAATTCTATTTCTTATCAAATGTTTTAAGAATATATTTTTAGATTTAAATTGCCATCTTTTGTATTTATTCATATTTTTATTAACAACTTTATGAATATAGTTATATTGGAGGATTTAGAATTAGAACAATTTTTTTTCTTTTAGTTGAAAAAGTAATCACTTATAGAAACTAAAAATATAAATAATATATTTTGTTTCAATAAATGGAAAATAGAGCATAAAGAATATTTTATTTGATTTTAGTATAAAAATATAATTAAAAAATTTACATTGTAATTTATTAATATTTTCGTTATCAGTCAATTATAAAGTTAATTGAGACAATTTTTATCAAGTTTCTTAATTTATAAAATATTTTACCAATATTTTAATGTTACTTTTATTTATTGATTAATTTTAAATCTTTAAAAAAAAATAGAAATATTACTTTAGTTATTAAATTTGATATTAATACTCTAATCCTATAGATTTGTAATCCATTTTAATTGAATAAATTTTACATAATTTGTATATAATCATAATTTCGATTTACTAATATTTAATAGATATGATAAAATTAACATAATGAAGTTATATCAAATTAGAATAATTTACAAACAATTGGGTGAATAATTTCAAAGAATTAAATTTTTGATTTTAATATATATAAATGCAATAAATTATGTAAAAAAAATATAAAGAAGAATAAATTATTATTTTTGATTTTAATTTATATTTTACTAATTATCTATTCAATAATTTATACTAAAAGTATTTACTCCATATCCTTATCCTGGATCTTAGTATTGCTATTATTGTTAATTTGCATTTCCATGCTCTAAATCCCCTCCTGTTATTTGAAATGGGAATTTCCTCAATTCAAATTATTAAGTATTTCTAAACTCATCATCTTCATCTTTTTCTTATTAACTATGTTCGTTTTCACTACTAGATTCTAAAGTAGTAATTGTATTCTCCTTAGCCTGATTCTCTTATTAATCTTACTTATATAATTATTTTTTTTTTATTTAATACCTTTTTCTCTTATCAAATCCTTTAGTTTATTTTTACATTTATTTTAATAGATCTTCCAAATCATCTACTTCATTCAAGTCATCAAATTAATCTAATAACTTTTACCTTTCCTTTTCAATCNGATTATATTATTATTAATTCTATTTCTTATCAAATGTTTTAAGAATATATTTTTAGATTTAAATTGCCATCTTTTGTATTTATTCATATTTTTATTAACAACTTTATGAATATAGTTATATTGGAGGATTTAGAATTAGAACAATTTTTTTTCTTTTAGTTGAAAAAGTAATCACTTATAGAAACTAAAAATATAAATAATATATTTTGTTTCAATAAATGGAAAATAGAGCATAAAGAATATTTTATTTGATTTTAGTATAAAAATATAATTAAAAAATTTACATTGTAATTTATTAATATTTTCGTTATCAGTCAATTATAAAGTTAATTGAGACAATTTTTATCAAGTTTCTTAATTTATAAAATATTTTACCAATATTTTAATGTTACTTTTATTTATTGATTAATTTTAAATCTTTAAAAAAAAATAGAAATATTACTTTAGTTATTAAATTTGATATTAATACTCTAATCCTATAGATTTGTAATCCATTTTAATTGAATAAATTTTACATAATTTGTATATAATCATAATTTCGATTTACTAATATTTAATAGATATGATAAAATTAACATAATGAAGTTATATCAAATTAGAATAATTTACAAACAATTGGGTGAATAATTTCAAAGAATTAAATTTTTGATTTTAATATATATAAATGCAATAAATTATGTAAAAAAAATATAAAGAAGAATAAATTATTATTTTTGATTTTAATTTATATTTTACTAATTATCTATTCAATAATTTATACTAAAAGTATTTACTCCATATCCTTATCCTGGATCTTAGTATTGCTATTATTGTTAATTTGCATTTCCATGCTCTAAATCCCCTCCTGTTATTTGAAATGGGAATTTCCTCAATTCAAATTATTAAGTATTTCTAAACTCATCATCTTCATCTTTTTCTTATTAACTATGTTCGTTTTCACTACTAGATTCTAAAGTAGTAATTGTATTCTCCTTAGCCTGATTCTCTTATTAATCTTACTTATATAATTATTTTTTTTTTATTTAATACCTTTTTCTCTTATCAAATCCTTTAGTTTATTTTTACATTTATTTTAATAGATCTTCCAAATCATCTACTTCATTCAAGTCATCAAATTAATCTAATAACTTTTACCTTTCCTTTTCAATCACATGTTAATCAAACTAAGTCCTTCTTAAATAATATCTATTCAACAACATTTCAGTAACTAAACTATTAAATTCTTAATATCTGTATTCATATTATTCAAATTTAGTTAACCCTTTTAAATTACTTTCTTAAAAAGAAACCCCAGATGGATTTTTAGAATGTTTTGCCTTTAAATTTGAATTAACACTAGATTAGTTTTTTCTGTGAGCAATATTTTCTCTAACTAAATCTTCTTCTTCTAAAATTATTTCTTCTCTTGGAGAGTCATCAGAAGTATATTCCATTCCATCTTTGGATCTACGAAATAAATGATTTGATCCACGAACCTATGATTATATAAAAAGCTATGATTATGGTTTAAAACTTGTATTGCTTGGGACTCTCACATCTTTTTTAGTAACCTATATTGATCTTTAACTTTTGAAAACATTTGATTATGCTTATTAAGACTCAATTTAAGTTTTTAATAATTTTTCCTATTCACTTTTTAAATTCAATTATTCCTTAATTCCTTCTTCTAGATTATCCAACCAATCATTTTTATATTAAAATTTCTCTGTCTCTAAATTTAAACGATTCAATATAGACTACAAATTATTGATTTTTTCAATATAAACCTTTTCAATCTAATCCATTTTTTCATTTGAAACAAGTTCTTAATTTCTTTCTAAAAATATTATTTTTTAATCATACCAGCAGCTGCCAACATTCCACATTTTAAATCCTCTTTCTAGTATTCCAATTATTTTCTTTGTTATTTTGCTTAGTACATATATACTAATTATTATTGTAATTCTTTTTGTATTGCTAAAATTTATGGAGTTATATTAGGTGGCTCTTTGTGTATCTCCATATGTCTATCTAAGAGTAGAGTATTGCTGAATTCAATGTTGCAATACAAACACCCATAAACCTTTTATGGTTTTAATTTTAATAGTTTTTTTAATTCCTCTTTATATACTTTACATTTTTCATAATGTCTTTTGCTCTTTAATAATTTTTACTCTTTTTCCTTTATTTATTAATCTATTTCATCAATATCAGAATCTAATTTATATGAAGTTTCTTTAATTGAAAAATTGCAGTACTCATTATAAAATATAATCATTTACAACAGGTTAACCAACTTTAGATAATTCTTGCGATTACTTTCTGTTAATTAGACTTAATAGATATTATTCATTTGAAATTAAAGTTCATCAAAATTGACCCTTTTTATATCAAAAGATTATATATATTCCCATTTTATATTTATCATTAAATGATAATTTAATTATTATAAAACAAGAAAACCGTCATCATATTATAATAAATGATTGTCTCAACTTTAAATTAAAGTTCTATTTTAAACATCCTTTTTTTAAATTTTGAGAAACTATTATCATAAGATTAGGTCAATTCATAAATCATATCAAATTATTAATCTTAGAGAAATTAATAACAAAATAAAGTAAAATTTATATGTTAAAATGAATAGATTAAATTATAATTCATTTTAAGGTACTTTCTTAGAGTGAGTTGAATGATAATTTATATATTTAAGGAATAATAATTGATTTAAGTATTTATCTGACTTAAATAACAAAAATTTTAGCCAAATAATTATCTAATGCAAAGAATATTTTTTTTGATTTTAATATAAATTAATTCTTTTTATTCAAAATTATATTGATGAAATTTCTTTGAATACTAAAAACAATCCAATTTTAGAATATGACCATAAATTTAAATATATATACTAAATTATTTAGCATATTATTATAGAATAATTAAAGAATATTTATTACGTACCATTTTAATTAAATTCTTCATCTATAAATCTATTTTAGGATATAAGAAATTCCAACGTATATATAAGTTGAAATAATTATTAGATGATTTATTAAATAAAATGTCAATTTAATTATATTTTAATCCGCTCTCCCAACCATCAAGAGCAGTCCATGCATTATTAGTAATTGGTAAAATTCCACATGATTTGCATAACATTGATTTTATGAAATAAGAGCAAAATACTCCAGAATACAAAAAGATTTCTCCAACTGGTAATGTGCCTTCAATCGTTGATGGAGATGTTGTCTTATTTGAATCACATACAATTTTGAAATATTTAGCAAAAAAATTTAAACTTGAAAAGTTATATCCATCTGATATTGTTAAATAAGCCAAACTTGATTAATATTTGGATTGGCATCATACAGGAACAAGATAAATTACACTAACAGCAAGAGATTTTGTTTTTTATCCTAAATTTGTTGGAAAACCAGCTCCAGAAAATAAAGACGAAAGATTCAAAGAATTAGAATGGTATCTAAAAGCCTTTGAAGAAATCTTTTTAGGAAATGGAAAACATTAATACATCTTTGGATTTCCTGAACCAACTATAGCTGATTTAAGGTAAATATTTAATATAAATTATATAGTGCTATCTGTGAATTATCAACATTATTTATGTTAAATATTGATCTAGTTCCTCATCCACATCTTCATCAATACATAAAACATATGCTTTCAATTCCTGAAGTAAATTAAATTCATCAATAAACTTTTGGATTTACGTAAAAATTCGCAGAAAATTTAAGATAAGAGTACATTGATCTTATGAAATGAGTTATGTAGAAAAAAGTTTATAAGCTAATTGCATATTCAAATTAAATATAACAATTATTGATAAATATTACTTCTTTATTCAATTTATTTCAATTTTTAATTTCTTTAGTTCCAATTAGTTTGGAATCTATAGCTAAACTCTATAACTAATACTATGATAAATTAGTATTTATTATATATATGATTATTTTATATATTATAGATATTTAAATCATCCTATTTCTTATATTATAAATAATTTTGTTTATTTTTATATTTGCTTTGAATTTTCCTAAATTTGTTTTAAATTTATGAGTTTGTTGTTATTTTTTAATCTTAAAGATTTAATGGTTTTATTTATCCATAATGAATCTATGAGATATTTAAACACTAAATCATTAATTTAATTAATGGTTCAGAAATACTTAGATTCCCTTATCTGTTAAGCTTCTAGATTTTGAAATTAATGGTATCAAAATATTCATTCTTTTTTTTTAATGGCTATACTGAATGAATGTAAAATTGTTTAAAGTGTGATGATTTTAAACTATTTGTATCAATAGAATTTTTATAAGAAATTATTCCTTTAATTAAGGATTATTTAGTTTTGATATCACTATAATTGTATTTTTGATATAATAAATATCATAATACATTTTGGTTATTCTATTATATTTTTTATTAATCATCATATAAATAATATCATTAATGTATTTTAATGATTAATTACTTACTATATATTTATTTTTACAATTAATTGATTATTTTAATTACTAATAATACTTTATTAAGATATCATTCTTATTTTTATATATATATTGTAATTAGAATTTATAACTTTTTTAATTATTTTTAGGGTTTGTAAATGATTTAATACATTTTTTTACAAAAATTAGATTTAAGTTAAATAAATATAACAGTAAAAATAAATTAAAATAAATATTCAAAATTAAAAAGAAATGAATGATGAAAGAATTTAGTTTTTAGAGTGGAAAAATGAAAAAGCCATTTTGCAATAGAAAATTTAAATTTAGGAGATGTATATATAGGAAGCTAAGGAAAGAGAAGAAAATTTAAGAAAGATGAATGATATCTTCATAAATACATTGAATTAATAATAAAATGGGAATGTTGTTCAAAAATTTTAAAAGAATTATGAATAGCATGAGATAGTAAAATAATAAGATATTATAAATGCTTAATAAATAGAAATAAAATTGCTAGAAACTAAATTAGCTGAAAAAGAAAATGAAATTAAATTAATTTAAAAAAGCAATGAGAAAGAGATTGAGAAACTATAAAAAAGGATAGTTGAATTAGAATATTTATCTTGCAATAAGGAAAACATTAATTATTAAAATATAATTGAATATTAGGTAAATTAATAATATGATAATGATAAATCTATACAAAATCAAAAAAGAAATTAAAGTCCATCTTATCCTACAACTAGAATTAGAGTGAATCAATAATAATAATAAACAATTTTGAATAATAAATTTGATGAATTTACTTGTACAAATCAAGATTCAAATGACATTACTAGTTTCTTAAATAAAATCAATCCTAATTTATAACGACAAATGAAAGATATTTAAAATAAACTATTAAATACAAAAAAGAAATTGACAACAACAACAGAACAAGAAAGTTCTTTTATACGTTAGTCAATTTAAAAAATAAAAAATGTATATTATACAATTTATATTAAGAGATCTAGGAACCATTCAATTTCTATAAATGAGAATACAAATTATGAATAAAGATCAACATGGGATGATTAAGTTGAGTATAGAACAAATCAAACAAATTAAACAAATTAATCTTTAATATGTAATGGATTCAGATTTTCTTGATTAAACTTATAATTAATATGATATAAATAATAATCTTTATGATTATAGATAGATTTTAATTCAAGATTATTAATATGATCAAATGATTACAATAATTCAGACTTTGTATTATTGTTATATAATATTAATCATAATTCATATTCAATGTACTAAACTGAAACTAAGTCATCCCTTTATGCATCGAAATTAATCTAATAAACAAATTATTCAGCTCTATCATCATTACCCAAAACATATATTAGATAAGTATAAGCAGAAGGTAAGATAGATTTAGCTAATCGTTTAGGGGAAATATTTATGGCAGCTCCATAAAAATGTGCAAATATATGGAAAGAGTTTAGAAGAAATGATTTTACATAAGTTTAAATACCATATAAGACAGCTATTTAAGTTTTTGATGCTTGTAAAGAAGACTTTTAAATGATGTTAAAGATTTCTAGTGGAAAGGATTTCTTTGATTTGTTTGATTAAGACAATGATGGGTAATGGGATCATGTTATATTTTAGGTTTCTGAATGAAGATGAGTAAATATTAGTATTTAGCATCATAAAAGAAAAAATGCAATAAGTTGCAAATCTATTGTTATAAATATAATAATATGTTCCTTTCAAATAATTGATGAAAGCCATAAGAACATTAGAATAAAATATTCGTGAATATTAAGATATTCTTAGATAAAAGATTTATAAATCTGAAGTTTCAACATATAAAGAGATAGGATTAGAAAAATTGGATNTACAAATCAAGATTCAAATGACATTACTAGTTTCTTAAATAAAATCAATCCTAATTTATAACGACAAATGAAAGATATTTAAAATAAACTATTAAATACAAAAAAGAAATTGACAACAACAACAGAACAAGAAAGTTCTTTTATACGTTAGTCAATTTAAAAAATAAAAAATGTATATTATACAATTTATATTAAGAGATCTAGGAACCATTCAATTTCTATAAATGAGAATACAAATTATGAATAAAGATCAACATGGGATGATTAAGTTGAGTATAGAACAAATCAAACAAATTAAACAAATTAATCTTTAATATGTAATGGATTCAGATTTTCTTGATTAAACTTATAATTAATATGATATAAATAATAATCTTTATGATTATAGATAGATTTTAATTCAAGATTATTAATATGATCAAATGATTACAATAATTCAGACTTTGTATTATTGTTATATAATATTAATCATAATTCATATTCAATGTACTAAACTGAAACTAAGTCATCCCTTTATGCATCGAAATTAATCTAATAAACAAATTATTCAGCTCTATCATCATTACCCAAAACATATATTAGATAAGTATAAGCAGAAGGTAAGATAGATTTAGCTAATCGTTTAGGGGAAATATTTATGGCAGCTCCATAAAAATGTGCAAATATATGGAAAGAGTTTAGAAGAAATGATTTTACATAAGTTTAAATACCATATAAGACAGCTATTTAAGTTTTTGATGCTTGTAAAGAAGACTTTTAAATGATGTTAAAGATTTCTAGTGGAAAGGATTTCTTTGATTTGTTTGATTAAGACAATGATGGGTAATGGGATCATGTTATATTTTAGGTTTCTGAATGAAGATGAGTAAATATTAGTATTTAGCATCATAAAAGAAAAAATGCAATAAGTTGCAAATCTATTGTTATAAATATAATAATATGTTCCTTTCAAATAATTGATGAAAGCCATAAGAACATTAGAATAAAATATTCGTGAATATTAAGATATTCTTAGATAAAAGATTTATAAATCTGAAGTTTCAACATATAAAGAGATAGGATTAGAAAAATTGGATGATTTTTATGAGAAATACTATAATTATTTCTAATAATTTGAGAATCAGAAAAAAATAAAAATGTATAGAATACAGTCATCATTTTGTTTAGATAAATACAGATATAGAAATAATAGGAAGAAATGGGTTAATTGGAAGATAAATTGTCAAAAAACACAGAGTTTTTAAAAGTAAAACCTAAAAGAAAACTAAAAGATTTATAAACATAAGAAAAACTAGTATCATTAGATGAGAGAGTAGAAGAAGCTATGGATTTTCGTAGAGAATTAAAAAACATGGAAAAAAAAGAATAAGAAAGAGTAGCTTCAGAGTAAGAAAAAAGAATAGAAAGTTAAAAAGATGAATTATAACGTAAACATTAAAAGTAAATGGAATAACTTAAAGCTAAATTAATAGAATAAGAACATAAACTAATCATATAATTAAAAAAGGATTATAATGTTCTATTAAAGTAAATAGGTTTACATAGTAATGAGATAGAAAGAATATAATCTTCTGCAACTCAAAATGCTATTAAGAAAGGAGAAAAAGAAGGAGAACTTAAAAGAATGAAAGAGAGAGCTAGAATATAAAACTTTATTATTGGAGAGACTAAAAGAACTATGACACCTAAAATTTAATAATAAAATACTTCAACTTATGAAGAATCCATTAGTTAATCTCCAAGATCTCCAGCAGTAGTTACTAAAAATGATAGAGCTGCTCATGAAATTAAGCTCTTAATCCATAAATAAAATTACACTTAATTTTACATTAAAAAAAAATATGGAGCTGTATTAATGTTAAGATGACATTAATTTAGGATCTACCAGTAAACTATAAACCAGAGCCATATAAAGTATAAGGTGATAATCATGATAGAATTGAAAAGATTTTATCAGTAAAAAAAAAGAATCCTCATGATATATTACCCTCATTAACTGAATTGTATGATGAAAATCTTAAAGAATAAGTATTTATAAAATTGATGTAAAAAAATAGGATAAAGGCAGTACTTAAAAATCAGAATAAGAATTAACATAAGAAAGATTAAAAAAGAAATAATTTATTTTAGAAAAACTAGAAGAATCAACTCATTGAATCTATATATAAATACATCATATTGCTTTCAATAACCATTCTTCTAATTCTGTTGAAAGTTCATTTAATTATGGGAATAACATTCTCATTTCATTAAATATTTGTTTAATCCCATCAAAATCATATTTCTTATTAAGAATAACTTAATTCAATTAAGTTATATAATCTGGGTAAAGACAATCAGTAAAAACTCTACCATCTTATATAATACTTGATTCAACTTAAAGATAAAAATCGAACATTCCAAATTTAAGTTTCTCTTCTAAATTAACTGTGAATTAAGGTGTATATTAATATAACCATTCCCAAGATGATAATCTTTCTGATTCCTTCCTAATTTCTTCAATATTCAATAACTAATCAGAATTGTATTCCTTAAATTCTACATCATTATATTTTTTTATGAATTCATTTATTAATTATTCTTCATATTGTTAAACTGTGATTGTGTTTTTTATTTCTTTAAGATTAGAAACTCTAGATTTAACAGAATCAATGCCTTTACTTTCTAATTTCTTCTTTGAAGGTGTTAAATATTGTGCTAAGGCATTTTAATCAACATCAATCAACATAGTTCCATGATGCAATGCAATCTTATTTGGATTTATCTTTGTTCCTAAAGATAACTAATATGCAGATCCTGAAACCTTCTTTTCTCCCACTACTATATCATTTCTTCCAGAAGCTTAGGCTTCTATACCTAAATTTAGTAATGCATTTATGAGTATATCATTATTAATTGTTTTAGGATCCTAAGTAGTGAATGTATTCAAAAAGGTAAAGCAATGATTTCCTAAATCTTAATATACAGCTCCACCTCCACTTGATCTTCTTTATAACCAAACAGAGTTTTTTTACATTAATTATAAATTACATTCTTTCCAAGGATTCTAATGTCTGCCAATTACTATAGTTTTATCATTTTACCATAAATAGAGAATTGGTGACTATATATAGGAATTAGAGAATAAATATGATTCTAAACCTAAATTGAGATGAATTTTGTGGCAATTTGATTTTATTATGGTTGGTTTAAGAATTTACATAAATAATTTTAATAATATATTAACTTATACTTTATTATATAAATATATGAGTTTCAATATTCTTATCCTGCAATTAGGATTCTAACATGTCTATCAAATTGATCATCCAAGAATAGCACAGTTGATGGTATTAGCAAAATAAATCTTCTGGCTAAATTCAACTCAATCCTTAATTTTTGCATCAAAATAAATAGAAAATAAGACATCAATAATAATGAATAAACAATAAAGATGATTGAGATTGTGTTACATATTATAATTTATTCTTCTGTTACATTGACCATTCCTAATTTAAATTATTTACTCATTAATTAAAATGCTCTCAGCACTATAAGACTACCTTCATTCTCATATTTATTAAATTCTACTCTTTTTGTAAAATTATTAATCTACATTTGAATGGAAATAGAATTTGATATAAATTTTAATGTAGGAAATAATCCTAATAATAAAGTACCTTACAAAGACTTTTCACAATATTATTTTAAAAAACCTAAATTTTAATCTCCTAATACTATACAAATATTGTTTTCCTACAAAGATTAAAAGAAGTTAAAGAAATCTTCAGAAGTTTAATATTAACTGGAATCAAAAGTATAAGAAAATTATAAGAATTTAGATATTGTTTCTAATCCAGTATTGATTGTGAAATAAAACTTTTCTGTATCAAAAGGTCTCAAATAAGGATAATTTGCAAAAGCCAATCCAAAATCTCTATTTCGATAAAGTGTACCTGCATATAAAGACATATCTTGAATTAATTTATAGGCATCTGCTGTAGCTGAATATTTATTCAAATATTCTCCTATTTGAATATTAGATACTAAACTCAATGCAAAAAACACCATCCAACCAATAATTACAAAAATGAATTTGATACCAAAAGATATTTTTTTAAACTATTATTAAATTTTGATATCCTTAACTTTTTATTATTCATGCTCTAACCTTGATTTAAATATATCATCTTCCTTTTATTCTATATTAAATTAGTAATTAAATAATAAATCACTATTTTTATTTAATACTTTTAAAATGTACTTTAATCTTTCTAATTCTAATTCCATTCTATAAGATGAACAATATTTAAATAGACTTACAAATTAATCAAATTTTGAATTAAATATCCTATAATAAAATAAACTAGCAAATAATGGACAAATATTCACCATTAAATAAATGATCCAAATCATATTCCATTTGTTGCTTACATCTATACTTCGATTCTTTGAGTATTCATAAACTTCCATAGTCAAATCCTCTAACCAAAAATGAAAATTATAAATATTTGCAAATTAATAAACTTAATAAGTTTGATTAGCTGTACTCAATCTTGCCTCAAATCTTAATTTAAAATCATAATAATATGACAATGTAGCCATCAATGCTTCTCGTATATTTTGAGTTATTGGATATGTTTAAGACCCATTATGTAACATATAATATACAGTTATATTCTAATCCTTTAAAAATGGAGTTAAGTATTCATTGCCTAACCAATAGATAAAACCCTCTTTGAATTCATAATATCCAATACCAACATTTTCATATAAGGGATCAGTAAGCTCTTTAAATTCTGCTTTTGTAATTTTACCTGCAACTAAAAATGAATTATATGTAATAATTGGTTGTCTTATTTACAAATACAAATCATGAGGATTCATTATTCCTGCATGTAATTAAATCATATCTATTTCTCCTATGAATCTATTCAAATCTACTTATGCACTTGCAAGTATAATAATAAAATAAGTTAATGCAATTATGTAAGTTAGTATTTAAAACATTATGAATAGTTTCAGAGTTGTTGGAGTAATTGGTTCAATTAATTGAAAAATGGTTTCATATTTTTTATAAAATATTGATTTCTTTATACCCTTAAATGCATTATTAGATGAAGATTATTCTTTTTCTCCTTCCATATTTTTATTTTATCTAGTAGTAACCTTTTACTTTGCACTACGACTTTTAAATTCATCTTCTATTTCTTCTAATTTGATATTTTTTGATTAGTAAACTGAAAATGATTTATCATTATCATTGTCTTTATGAAAATAGTCCTATTACATACTATTATGTTGTATTTGTAATGGTATTTGAGATTAATCTTACCAAGGAGCATTACTAAAATTAGGACTTAGAATATTCTATTAAAAAGATATATTTTATATCTATTATGATTATTCTAATTTTTATTATTATTCTATTGTTTATTATTATTCTGCTTTTTATTTCTCTTCCAATTCTTATAAAATCTTTTACATTATTTTATTCTCTTCTAAATTTTCATCATAACAAATTTTAAACTTATTCTATTATTTTGAAATTTTAGGAGATTATGCTATAGCTTCAACTTCAGATAATTCTGATAATTCAAAAAATTCTTCTAATCCTTCTTATTTTCTATTTCTACTTGAAACTTATGATCTTTTAGAATTAATTAATTATCTAACATCTTTTATTTCTATAATGAAATAATTATAACCAAAAATATCATGATATTAAATACATATTTCAGCTTCAAATATGTAAGTTTATTCTAGATTAGACCAATAAGTTGAAGTTAATGATTATTATCTAGTTTAATTTCTGATTTTCTCTCCATAACTTTCTAATAGATATGCTTCCTTTAAAAATCTTATTTCAGTAATTGTATTTTATTATTTAGTTTCAATTAGTTTTTTAAAATTTGGGATTAGATAATCAATTTATAATTGTGTTTATTCCTATTTATTAAATTACATATAATAATCTTCATTTAATCCTAATTTTTCAAAGAAACTCTCTGTTATTCCTCCTACTTTTTGATTTATATCAACCAATAAATAAGCAGATTAATTAATGCTCTCTGAAAAAAATGCTGAAAATTTATAATGATTAATGTTATCAAAATGAATATCAAATAAAAGTTAACATGGTTTTATTAATAAGTTATTTAATTTAAAAAATGTTTAACTTGAATTCAAATAAAATTTTGATTTACTTGTTTATGTAAATCTTTATACTAATAAACTATGTTCATTTTTTATAGCCAAAGGAAGGAGATAATCAACATTATTAAAATGTTTTGATTCTTCTTGTGATATTTAAAAAAATCTCAATGAATTTTCAGATTTGCTTGTAATTAATAAATTTTAATTATATTCCAATTATATATTTAAATAAACAACTTTCTTTGAAAAAAATGCTGTTTTAATATTAACATCCATGTTAATTAATTATTCTTCTGGCATTGAAGTTAAATTTTTATATTTATATGCTTCAATATAATTATTTAAGATCTCTCCTTAATAAAATACTAAGATTGATTATATTTTTAAACTTGGAAATTATTAATATCTTATAAATAACTTCTCCTCTAAACTTTATTATATTTTACTAAGCTTTATTGCTCTATTATATAATTAATCTGCATCAATGGCTTTTTTGGTTGTGAATTATAAAGTAAAAGATACTTTCTCATTAATCAATTAAATCATTGTATTTTTTAATCCTTAATTTCTTTTTTCATTCTTCAAAAATAATTCTACTCCCTACTTCATTTCATTTAACTAGGTTTTAGTATTATTATTCTCATAAAATTTAAATTACAAATTCTCTTTTATTTAACTTTTTAAATATAATGCTCTTGCAGTATTTAGCTATGTCAATTAATAGTTACCAACCAATATTAATTTACTCTTTTTAAATTATGCTCTTTTAGCTATATCATTAATTTCATCAGTATTAGATCTGAATGATTTGCTAGAAACTGATTAATGAGCTGTATATTTTTAGGAACTATCTAAAACACTACTTGGAGCATCAACATCTCCCAAAAACCCTTTATATTTTGATTAAGTTAATTATTTATTAATTAATGAATTTATCTAAATTAATGCTAGATTTGAAAATCCAAAGTTGTATAATAGGGCTACATAATGCAAATCAAATCCTTTAGTTTTTGAGATACTTTTTACATATTATTTTAATTTTTTTTAAATAAATACATCTAAATTTTATGATGTTAAAATATTTAAATAAGATGATTTTGTTTATGTATCATTTGAATGTTATTCAAATATTTTGCTCATTTAATGTAATAATATTGAATTATTAATTTTTTTTTCAACTTTTGTAAGATCATCATTAATTAGTCTTGATAAATAATACTTAATTATCTTATGTTACTTTATTTATAAAATATTGTTTTGTATGTTCTCTTCCCTCTAATTATAAAATATTAACATTAATTTGCTTAAAGATATAAAAATCATAATTATTCCAGTATTTGTAAATTTATAAATCAAATCTTATTTTAGATTTTAAATTAAACTATATATTGATGCAACACATCCAAATGATGAAGTAATTAAACTAATTTTGGTTCTAATAATGTCTGTATATTCATATTAGGATACCTATATTATGTTAATAAATGAAATTGTAAGCACTAAGACACTTTATAAAGTTTATCCATTAATTTCACTTTTTATGATGCCATAAACAAAAATTTATAATATCTATAGTATTATTTATAGATAATCAAGAAACGTTTAATTAAATTTTTAGAATCTATTTACTTTTAAATCTAGTGTTTCTCTATTAAGTAATAGGTTGATCATTAGAATTATAAATGTTAATATAAGAGAAAAGATGGCAAAAATTACATGGAAAAGTGATTAGTTTTAGTTGAATGTTATAATTAATGATTGAGTACACAATATTATAAATGGTACATATAAATAAGTTATAAATGTTTGAAAAAATATTGAACTTATCTTTATGTAATAGTTAATTATTGTAAGTTTATGTATTTTTTCTTTCTTTTATTGATAAATTAATATGAGTAAGGGTATATAAAACAACAAAATTTGAATCAAAAGTGGAATCAAATAATATTGTAATGATTAATTAAATTGAAAATTAATCAACTCATCAATTCTGCTTAAGTATATGATAAATGACTCATAATTAATTTTATTTTAAAAAAATGTTAATTTTTAGGATTCAAAGATAGGAACCCATAAAAATGTAATGCCTTGTAAATCACCTAAAATGCTAATGAAATAAAACATTATCTTTTAAAGACTTACAAAATAATATAAATGAAGTAATCTTTCCAGTATGAACACCTTCAAATTGATTTAGCCTTTCTTGTTAAGTTGTGTAATCATTTTTGATAATTATATTTAATATAATTCATATCAAATATAAAATTTGAAAAAAATACAATTTATTGTACAATTTTATGAATATATATAAATATTAATATTAAATATAATCATATGTAACATTTAGAAATAAAATCTATATATAAATAAAGTATTAAATTCTCTATTATTAAATATTAAAGCTATATGAATATCATATTTAATGGGATAATGATTGTTGTAAATTAATTCTAATATAAAATGAATATAATAATAATAAGACAATTCAGAAATCATCATCACGATTTTGTTTCAAATAATCTGCTACAAATTTAATGGGATTTTGAGGTCTAAATTATATTTGTTAAATTACTTTTATTTTGTTACAAGCAATAAGGCTTTTTATAAAAGCTAAAATAGTTTAGGATCATATGAAAACATAGTTGATTAACTCTCTTAACTTTATTGACTTTGATCAACTTAATTCATTATAATTTATATAATATGATTAAATGATGGAATTATAACTAATCGATTATGTCATAATTAATTTTATGAAAAAGAGCTATCAATTTAGAGCTCTATTTTATAAGAATGCCTCTATTCAATCAAGATAAATAGGAACTAATATTTGTTAGATTTTGACACCATTAATCTGTTTGGTGCTTGTTTATATAATATAAGAAATAATTTTTGATAAATTTTCAGGATGGACATTTTAATTAGATTTTCCTTATATATTGAATATTCCATTTATATATTCACAAATACCTATGTTTAGCAATGTTTCGTGTCTTTAATGGTAATAAATTGTTGAAATTAGGTATTTTTATGATGTTTCCAAATTAAGTCATAATGAATAAAACTTTATTGGTTGGAATCATGGTTAAATTGGAAAAAACATGTAATATTAATTAATAAATGATGTTATTAGGTCATCTGGACTTTTGTAAAATATTCTTTAAAGGCCAGGATGTAAATCAAATAACTAAAGTGAATTGAGAAATATCCCATTTTTAGAATAACCTGAAATATCTATAAATGAAGATATTTATTAAAGAATATAATATCTCAATACATAACCATTTTATAGAGGAAGAGATCTAGATGATATTTGGATGATACCAGATGGAGCATTTACATTTCATAATGCTAATGAAGAATACTTAAATGTTACAATTTAAGTGAATGATTTACGTATTCCAGAATATCATAGAGCCAATGGAATCACTAAAGTATTTTTTAAAGTAGCAGAAAATAAAACTAATAATTTGATGTTAGTAGCAGAAGCTTAGGTTGGATTAATTGATTTAATTACAAGAGCCTATTTACATAAATTAAATCCAAAGATTTGGTTGATTTCAGGAATCTAATATATGCCATTAATAGGAGAAGATAGAAATTTAGTATAAAAAGCAATTAATTTAATGGGTGCTTTATTATTCCCTCTATCTTTGTCACTATTATTACCAGTGTTTCTTTATTCAATAGTATTAGATAAAGAAGAAAGATTATTATAAATGATGAAAATGAATGGGATGAGAATGGTTGATTATTGGATAGTATAATATTTATTTAGTTCAATCCTTACATTTGTAACTTACATATTGTTTTATTTTGTTGCCATGTATGGAATTGAAATATAAGTGTTTAAATATACAGATTCTAATTTAATTGTACAAATTTCTTAACAATTTAGTTACTAATATTAATTGGATGGGGATTAACATAAATTTCATTATCATTCTTCTTTTAAGTATTCTTAAATAAATCAAGAACAGCAACTATCATAGGATATTTAATTTCTGTATGGGGTACTATAATGGCATCGACAATAAATTTGGCCATATATCCTGATCCTTTGGAATTGCCTTGGTATCTTTAAATAGTACCATAGATAGCATTTGGTCGATTGTTCTATAATTTATCATTTGGTATATTATTAATTTATTAAAATTAGCATGTGTATCTTAACATGGATGTTATACATCATTAGAACTAATAAGTCCAGAAATATAAGGATGTTTATTATCACTATATTATAATACTGTTTTTTATGCAATAATGGGAATTTATCTTCATGAAATTATACCTTAAGAGTATGGTGTTGCATCTGAACCATGGATTTGCAAATTCTTCAAAAAAACTGAATATTTAGAATTTTATGAAGAAGATCAATTAGGATTAAATGTTAATTAATTAGAAGAAGATTCAGATGTATTGGAAGAGAGAGAGAAAGTTTATAAATTAAAAAATCTTGAAGATTATCCATTAGTTTGTAAGGATATAAGGAAAATGTATGAAAATACAGTAGCTGTTAAGAGTTTTAGTTTGTGTGTAGAAAAAGGAGAGATATTTGGTTTATTGGGTCCAAATGGAGCTGGAAAGACATCTATAATATCAACTATTACAGGATTATATGGATGTTCTGATGGAACAGCATTTGTAGGTGGATATTCTATTAAATAACAAATGAAAGAAGTTTAAATGAGAATTGGAGTTTGCCCTTAATTTGATTTATTATGGCCTGAATTAACAGTAGAAGAACATCTACTCTTTTATGCAAGATTGAAAGGAGTTCATAGAGAAATGGAGAGAGTAAGAGTTTAATAGAGTATGGCTGAAGTGAAATTAGAACCTTATTTTAATTATTAAACCTAATAACTTTCAGGAGGAATGAAAAGACGATTATCTATAGCTATTGCATTAGTTGGAGAACCTTTAATTGTATTTTTAGATGAACCATCTACAGGTTTAGATCCTGATAATCGAAGATAATTATGGGAAATCATTTAGTAATGTAGAGAAAGAAGAGCCATGGTGTTAACCACACATTCTATGGAGGAAGCAGATGTTTTATGTAATAGAATAGGTATGATAAATAATCATTTTAATAGGTATAATGAGTCAAGGTGTTCTTAAGTGTCTTGGAACACCTTAAAGATTAAAGAATATTTATGGTGGTGGATATCATTTATCTATTTAAATTCATAGAGACAAATATTTATAATCTATTCATAATTAATAATAGTATTTTTTGATTATTTAATTAGATCATAATTCTATATAAATAAAGTTAAAGATTTCATTAGAGATATTCTACCTTAATCAATTATGTTATCAGAATTTAATGGAAATTTGATTTATTAAATATCAGAAAAGAGTTGTAAGGTTTCTGATATATTTTGGCAAATTGAAAAATAAAAAGAATATTTATAAATTTCTGGTAATTCTTTATTTTTATTATTAGATTGGGGAATAAGTCAAACTAATTTGGAAGATGTGTTTATGAAAATAGTAGGTTAATTTTGATTATATTTAAATTTATTTAACAATTTCATTCCAGTAATTTTTATTTTATATTTTTCATATTATCGTATGCTTTTTAAAGATATGGATCACTTTTATCTAATTTCTTTTCGAATATTCTAATTGCCTCTTAAACTTTCTCCAAAGCCTTTTAATATTATTTTAATTCTGATAAAACAGTTCCTATATTATTGATTGTCTAAGCTACTATCTGAGAATCTTATCCATAGACTTGTTTCTAACCATCCAAGACTTCCTCAAAAATTTTCAAAGATTCTTCAAATTAGTTTTTTTAAAATAATGCTGATGCCAATTAAATTGCTGTATGCTGTGTTGATTTATGGAATATTTTCAATTCTTATGCTTTGTATTTATATGCATCTCTAAAATATTAGATACATAAATCCAAATTATGTAATGCTCTATAACATTCAGCAATACTATGCATTGTATTACTCTTTTATAAAGCAGCATCTCCAGCATTAGGATCACTAAAAACACCTGGCTCATTATACATTTATAAAGCTTATTTGAAATAATCAATTGCTTCATCATATGATTATTTATTTTGCAAAGTCATACCTATATTATTTATAGTACTAGCTAAACTTTTTGAAGGTTGTACTTGAAGTTCGGCTTTCTTTATACTTAATGCTTTATTGAACATTTCCAAAGCTTTATCATATTGTTTATCACTTCTATATGCTTCACCTAAATTATTTAAACGATTTCCAACACTTATATGACCTTTCCCATAAATACTCTCATAAACTTCTATAGTTTTTTAAAAATTTTAAATAGCTTTCTTTACTTCTCCTTTTTAATAGTATATCATCCCTACATTATTTAATAAATGTCCTAATAATTATTTTGATTATTATTCTAATTTCTCTTATTCATTCTATTATTCTAATATACTGATTGCTGAATCCCAATATGAAGTTGCTTTATTATTTTATTTTTTGTCATAATAAATTTATCCAACAGTATTATACATGTAAATTAATTCATTTTAGAACTATTATTATTATGATTAACTTTATATGTATTTAATAGACTTTTCCCATACATTTAAAGCATCATCATATTATTTTAAAGAATGATAGGCATTTCCTAATTGTATCTAGATTTCATTAAATTTTTACATTTAACTATATAGTTGTATCTTTTTCTTCATAATAATTATTTAATTCTTAAGCTTTCTAATACAATGCCAAAGCTTCTTTAAAATTTTATTGATTTGCTTCCTATTGTCCATTTTCTATAAGTTATTTAATTTTTTCTTTTAAAAATTAAGAAAATTATGATGTAAATTATTTTCTTATTTTCTCATCTACTTTACATAATAATTCAATAGCTTTATCTTAAGCATCAGGTTATTTGGCATTTGCAAGTTCAATCTAAGTTTAATTACAATCTTTTACATATAATTAAATCAAAATAGTTTGATTCTTAACTCCTTTCTAGTTATAAATTTATAGTAATTCTTAAACTTCACTCAACCGAGTTTATGGATCTTGACTTAATTACTTAATTTTTTATTAAATCATAGTCACTATATCTACAGTTACTTATGGTATTAATTCTTGTCTCTAACATTTCTTAACTAACAATGTAACTGTCTGTTTTGCTTTCAATTAAGCCTTAATCCATTCAACACATAATTAGATTTCATCATCTGTTGATGTATGTGTTAATTAAAAGACATCGATTTAAGATGGCATTTTAATTTATAGTTATATAATTATAAATTTATTATCATTCATTCATCTTTAAATTTAACAGGAGCCTTAAATAAACTTGCTGGTTCAAAAGAGGATTACTTATTCTATTATTCCTTCTCTTTATTTATCATTAATTCATCATCATCAACTTTATCTAAATCTAAATCATTAAAGTCTGATAATAGTTATTATCTATAATAATAATAATAATATGATTATTACCTTTAAACTTTTAATTGTTAGACTTTTTATTCATATTAAGCAATTTAAGAATTTAATTTTTGAATTGCAGACTTTTTGCTTCTTACAATATTCTACAAATGCTATCCAAATGGATATTCAGTCATTAAAGGAGTGGCAGAAGCCTTTTGATTTTATACACTAATAAGTTTTTAAACAAATTAACTAGCACCTTGTTTGTCATGGAATCTATATTTTCTAGTATTATTCAACACTTATAATTAGACAACTATATGAAATTCAAATACTATATACCATTTTCATCTCTACTGAATGCCAAATATTCTTTTTTTAAAGGGATCACTTAAATAATTTATCGTAAATCTTCATCTCTCGATACAAGCATTTATGATTTTCCAATAGTGAAATGAACTGTTTTTGATTATCCTAAACTTGCTAATTTTGAAGCAGATGTTTTAAGTAAGGAATGTGGAGGAATATATGAATCATTCCATAAGAAATAATTTTTTGTTGATACTTAATCAAAAAATAAGTTGGTTACTTTTGAACTTACAGTTTTACTATTTTCACCGATTGAATAATGTTGTACTTTAAATAAATTCAAATCTTATTTTGTATTTGGATTATGAAATTCAAGAGTAGGTTTTGTTTCTTCAAATATTTCTTTGGCAAAAATAGCTAATTTAACAAGTTAATCTCTTTGATTTTGAAATTTAGCTTTATAATTTTAGGAAAGTATTTTCCCATTCTCAATAAAATTAATTATGAATTCATCATCTTTTTTAGAATACAAGGCTGACTTAAAATAATTAATAACTTTTATACTGAAATGTTAGAAAACATATAACTTTTTGTTCTTACATCCTTCTTTTACTCTGTTAAGGTTTGGGCTGAAAAATTGAATTACATAATTTCACTAGTTGATTTTCCTTCTTTAATAACTTCAAAAATAAAAAAAGGCCACAATTTATCACCTAATCAAATGGGTAATTATACTTTATTTGTTTGGCAAGATTAAATCAAAAGGTTGACTTAAATAGCATCTAATCATCAATTTATGCATATAGGATTCTCTAGCCTTTTATATATTAATAATTCAATTTACCTTCTCGTCCTTGATTATTTTATAAGCTTCATTAGTTTTATTCAGATTTTCCTAACTATCTCCTTATTGATATTCTTTGTCAGTGTAAAACTTTATTAGAGTGTTATAATTTCTTAAGTTAATATCAATGTCAACCTATCTATTTATTGTTCAGACGATGTAAACTTAACAGCTAAAATTGTAAAATATCCATATGATCCTTCATTTTCCATTTTCTTCTATTCATCTCCATCAATCATTTTTATTTAAAATATATTTAATATAAATTTCATAATGAATATAATCTAATATTATATCATGGTCCGATCATATTTAAGATTCTATCAACTGCTGCCTCAACATTTCCTCCAGTGGCAATCAAGGCCTCCAAATTCACTTATTTATTAGTAAATCCTAATTCTTGCAATTATTATAATTAAGTAGCATATTTCTACTCTGCAGCTTCATGTGTTAATGGGGCACCGCCAAGGCCTCCAGCTCCTCCAACACCTCCTAATTTGATTTAATTCAATAATCATACCTCCCATCATATTCATTAAACCTTATAAATCAAAACCGCCAAGGGGATTTTAAGCATTTTAATTAATTGGAGGGGGTACTTAAGCAGTATTAGGATTTGGTGGATTAGGTTGATCTCCAACTCCACCTAAGCCTCCCATACCACCAAGGCCTCCCATTCCGCCCATTCCTCCGAGGCCTCCAAGTCCTCCCATTCCACCCATTCCGCCCATTCCTTATAAGGCCATTTAAATTGCTTATGGATTCATCATCATTTAAAATAGTTAAGGATTATCAAATATTTATTAAAGTTATGGATTTGTTTAAATCATTTAAGCAATCATAGGATGTTGCATTATTTGTTATCTTATTTGTGGATTTTACATCATCTAAAATATTTAGAAAAAGTTAAATACTTATTACATTTATGCTTGGTACATTGGGCTTTAGAGGAGCTACATCATCATTTATGGATCCATTCCCATACCACCCATTCCGCCGAGTCCTCCCATTCCTCCGAGTCCTCCCATTCCACCGAAGCCTCCCATTCCACCAAGGCCTCCCATACCTCCCATGCCACCTGCTCCTCCTAATCCTCCTAAACCTGGAAGTCCACCTTATTATCCTCCAAGGGGTTATTATGGTTATTATTATTATTGACCTGGAGCTTATTAGGGTGGTTATTAGTTTTGTTCTAATTTAGTTTATTTTAATACATTTTGTAACAACTAGATGCATGGTAGAATCAGCCTTTACATTGACATTTGTGAGGACGTCAACGTCTTTAAGAATTTTACCTTAAAAAATAATCTTCATTTAAGAAGGCTCTGAATTAAATTTAGGTGTGAGTTTCTCCTTTAATTCTTTCACTGTGGCATTAGGGTCTATTTCTATAACTTCAATTTGATCTGCTCCGTGCTTGATTTTGATTGAAATGGTTGTCATGAAATTTAATTAATGATTTAAATCTAGAACAATTCATACTCTTCTATAATTTAAATAGTTTATTTTGATGAATAGATAATAGTAATAAAGACATTCACGTTAAAATTGCTAAATTTGCCATAAGTCAGTCCAAGCAGATCGATTGGTACTAAATAAATCTAGTCAAGGTTGCACATTAAACACAATGTTTAATGTAATAAAGAGAGAGAAGAACATAGCAATAACAATAATAATAATCAAGGCAATAATATTATTAGCAATAAAGATAGCCTTAATAAAGAATAAATAATTCTCATAATCATAATAGAAATTATAATATCCAATACAGTCAAGATAGTTCTGATAGTGATTAAGATGGAATGGTTCAATTTCCAAATTTTAATTGTAATTCAATTTAAAAAGTATAGAAATTTTTGGGCCAAATTCTTAATTTCAGAGATCAATGGACAATATGAGACATTAAATGAATGAGGCTTTCAATATTAAGTAAAAATAAACAATTATTCTAGTTTAAATTTTGGTTCTGATTCATTTTAATTTAATCTACAAACTAATGGAGGTTAGAGATAACATATTTAAATACGAAATATAGGGCCAGGAATTCAAGTCTAATAAGTTTTTAATATGCCTAATGTATAATTCTATTATGGTGATGATGACGATGATGATGAAGATGAAAACTATTAAGAAAATTAATTTTATTAAGATTAAGAGCCAGAAGTTGAGGAAAGAAGATAAGCATAACCCATGAGATCGAGTGAAATTAAATAGATACCAACATAAAAATATATACCTAACTAGAAAAATTTAAATTGTGTTGTTTGCATGATTGATTTTAAAAAATCTGATAATGTCAAGTAAACAGTTATATTAATAAAACAATAGAATATTGGAATGTTTTCACTAGTTTCATGCAAAGTGTATTGATTAATGGTTGAAATAGAAAGGAGAATGCCCTGTATGTAGACACTAATTAAATTGAATAATTTGCACTATATATGACATTACATCAATTAATCAAGTTTATTAGTTCTTCTTAAATGTATATTAAAATATCACATAATTAATGTTTTATTCAAATATACAAAGTTTATTATCATTTATTAAATGATAATATGAAATATCTATATGACTATAACTAAATAAAATGTGTTTATTGAATTAATTATTTTGCTTTCTTCAATATAGAATATAATAAGTAATTCAAAGCATCAATTATCTACAAAAAGTATTAAAGATTCATCATTTTTTTTGATTTATTAAATAAGTAAAAATTTATTCTATTTCTACTTCCAATATTTTATCGGTTTAAAAGAATTACCCATTTACATAAATAAAGTCTCAAATAAAATTCCATTCCAAACTATGTTCATTTTTAGGTTATTAAGGATTTCTTCATTCAAAACAAGTAAGAATAAACTTCAACATTTTTAATATATGAAATTATATAAAGTCATTTTTCAATATTAATTTGAAATTTTTATATAAGACTTGTTTTAATTATTGATTATTTCGTAATATAAGATCTTTTTAATATATTGTTCTACTATTTTCAAGGTTAATTTAACATATTCATAATAATAATGATCAAAATATAGAGATTATTATAATTAATAATTTAATTGAAGTTTTTTTCATATTGAATTGCTTAACATTATTAGATCTAAATTGTATAATCATTTTCAGTGAATATATAATATACTATTGAGTAGATAGTATTTCTTATATTCATATTATTCCTATAATTGCCTGAAAATAAAAATGAATCATATTAAACTAATATTAATTGTGTATTTTTTCATAATTGAACATATTCTCTATTAAAGATTATAAATTTAAACATATGATCATAGAGAATTGACCAACCATATAAAATAAGTGTCTTATTCCATTGCAGTAATTATAAATTATCTTTATCAATTCAGTATAAACATTAAATGAACAAATAATTTATTTTTTTACTCCTGCCCACATTTTTGAAATTGTAATAAAATTTGTAAATTTTTTGTTTATCAACCTATAGAAGAATACATTAGATTTTGCTTTTTTTAAAAGATGGAACTGATATATAGTCTAACTTATGAAATCCATACATCCAAATTTCATTTAATTCAAAATTCAATAAATTATCTATAATAATACTTAAATTTCTTCATCTATATTGTTACTCAATAATATGTAAGATTGTTGATAGTTAATGTTAAATTATATTCTGTTACAAATTATATAGAAATTCATTTCTAAAATTGACAGTTCTTGCAGCAAATATCGATCTTTTCTTGATTAATAAATCCACATTATTGGCAAATCCAATTATAGTGATTTTTATCATTACCCATTTTAATTCCTTTTCCTTCAAAAGGTTTAAATGTTTTTTTTTAAGTTTAGGTTTGCTTTGGTTACTTTGTTTACTTAGTTTATTTTTTTTAAGCTTTTTCTAAGACATAATAGCCTCCTTTATTTTAAAGTTTGTTGTTCATTATAAAGTGAATGATCTTTATTATTATTTTAATATAATAATATAATTAATAAAGATCATATATTATAAAATAATCTGATAAATAATGATATATATATATATATAATATATTTCGTGGTATTTATTTAAATGTAATTAGAATGGATTTTGTCAGATTCTATATTATAAATTAATGAATAACTTCTATATCTTCAAGGCTTATTTTGAAGTAGTATTCAAGTTTTTTCATTAAATAAGCTAAAATAATGTAATTAATTTTAGAAATAATTTCTAAAATATAATAATAAAATTATGGAAAATATTTGATTCTGTATTGATCTATGAATGAATAAAAGAAATATCTTAAAATATTAGATAAAATTGTTTAAATGAAACATTTCAATCATCATTTTATTAATTAAAAGGTTTTTTGCTGTTGCAATAACTTATATCTAATAATATCACAATTATTTTAACACTAATAAATTTTAAAATATGCAACATAATCATAATTATAAAATTGAATGTTCTAATTCTATTGTATTCTTAGTATCGAATCCATATTAAAATATTATAATACACAATTTAAAAGTCATTCAAAATGCTTCTAATATGAAGTGAAAATTGATCAAGAATAAAGTATAATAAATTGAATTAATTTTTTTACAACAATATACAATTACTATATACAACAATTTTTTCTTTTTCAAAGACTTTCAGAAGTCTTTCTGGTCCATGCTGTGATTTCATATTACTAAATACTCATTTTTCTGGTTTTAATATTACTGAAATCAATAGATTTATTTTTTTGTGAATGTCTGTCTAATGAATTAAGACGATCTCTTGAAATTAATTTCATAAAATTGAGTGAATTTGGTTGAGTAGTAATTTTATAATGTTGAATTCTTAGGAAATATGGAAACTATTCCTAAAAATTTTCTCTACATTTCTATTAATTATTTTTATTAGAATTAGGTCTGTTGAATTAATTTAATATTACTCTCTTCATTCTCATCAAATTGGCTGGATTTTTCATATTTTTTGATGGTTATTATTTTTAAACAACCTCTTGTTCAATTTTATTATTTATTCTATAATTCTTCAAAATTTACTCTATATCTATTTCATTAGGAAGTAAATTGATTATTCTTCTTTATTTATTTAAGACAAGTGGACTATTAAAATTGAATAATTAAGAATCACACATATTAATAATATTATTAAATTTAATTGATACTATTTAATTTCAATTTGTAATTATTCACTTATGTATATTTTTAATTTTTCTATATTGGATAATTCATATTTGATTTATTTACAAATATTATATATATATTTATCATAATTATTATCAATTCTAAAGTTGAATACATATTAAAACAATTAAACAATAATAATAATACATAAATTGGAATAAATTAATTAATATTTTTTTAAATAAATTGATTTCTATTATAATAATTTCTCATTTTAACTGATAAATAATAGCTACTGTTTAATTCTATTTTTGAGTTAGATCTTAAGTATAGAAGTAAAAATTGATAATAATTTGAACTTAATATGTGGGTTTTCTTTTAAAAATGAAATGATCATTTACAATCTTTAATTTAGTGTTATTTAATACTTTAAGATAATTATTATTTAGGGTACTAAGATTATGTATTTGATTGAAATAAGAAATACTAATCAAACTGAAATTATGATTTACACAATTATGTTAAAGATTTCATTAAGTATATACTATATACACAAATCAATCAAATTTAAATCTCATCTGAACTCTCAACAGTCCATTTTTTAGGAGTACAATTTCTATAAAATTATCGAAGGTGTAGATTTTCAATCTTTTCTTGTTTTTTTGATTATTCTGGTATTGTTGTTGGAATTTTAAGAGATATTCTTTTATTAATATTGTGATGTTAGGTTTGTAAAGGTTATAATAAATAAGGTAAAACATCTGGTTCCATTTCATCGAAAGTTTTTAAATTATTTGGGTTTGATTTAGGTTTAACATGCTTTGGTTTTATTGAAACATCTAAAAAGTGATTAGGTCTTAAATCAATTGTTCTTGCTGGTTATGGTGATTTATGAACAATTTTGTGAATAAGTGCCTTTTCAATTTATAAATATTCTTTTTCTTTTAATCTTATTTGTTCTCTTATTTTTTCAATAAATCTTTGGATGCCAATTTCATAATTATTCATTTCTATATTAATTGATTAATATAAAATAAATTAAGATCATAAATATTAAATTCAACAAATATTGCATCACTGTAATATAATCATAAATTCTTGATTATTAATTACATCATCCAAACATTTATAACAAAAATAAAATTTATATTAAATAATTTTTGGTCATTAAAATTTTTTAAGCAAATAAACTATATTCTTCAAAATCCTATAGAATTTAATACATAGATTTATAATGGGAAAATATAATCAAATACTACAACCTATATTAATAATAATCGTAATATTTATTTTTATTATATGTGAAATTCAAATATTATCTAAACTATAATCCATTCAAACTCTACTTTTTGCTTTTATAATTGTTTGGAAATAAAGAGTAAAATTTAATATATATTTATATAATAAACATATTACTGATTACTAAAATACTCATTTCTTATTTATTTATTTATAAGAAAAGTATAGTCAAATGATAAATTTTAAGGCAAAAAATAGCATAGATATTACTAATATTCATTTGTAATAAATTTGATAATTTAAATTAAGAAATGAGTAATAATTAAAGCTAATATATAATAAAATCAATTTTTTATTTTTCTTTCATTTTGTTTAGTTGTCTACTTTTGTTTTCCTTATTACTTTTTAACAATTTTTGTTTCAACTATATTTTTCAACTTTAATATTTCTTTCTGAAATTTATCAATTTGTTTATTAAATTTGATATTTTCCTAACCATCTTTAAATACTTAATTGTATAAATCTTAGGTTTCTTATTCATTGTATTAATTTGATTTTAATTTTTAATTTTCCATAAGCAATTTTATTTTCTCTTATTCAGCCAAATCCAATTATTTTTAAAGGAAATCCACTTGCTACTAATATTCATCTTTCATTTTAATATGCATTTACCTATAATTTGAATAAAGTCTTACTTTAATTATTCCAATTCAATTTATATTATCTCAGCCTTTTCTTACTCTAATCTTTTAATTTATTCTTCTCTTTAAATTTCATCATATGATGAAAGCAATTCTTTTAACTCTTATTCTAAGCTGACATTTTTTTATCTCAAAGTTTCCAATTCATTCAATAGACCAGCTTTATCTTAAAATAGAATTGTAGATTGATCAAAAGAACTAAATTACTATGATTTCCTTTTTTCCATATATTAATGAATCCGAGAATCTACATCATCAATATTTTTCATCAATTTATAAATAATGAATTTTGAATTGATAAAAAATTCTAAATTAATTAAATAAATAACGAAATTTAATTTGCATTATTATTCATACAGATAATAATAAAGTCTTTCTGTATTGAATGTATTTTAAAAGATATTATAAGATAATTATAAATAATATTAGATATGAAATATTAGTAAATATATTGATCAAGTAATTTATGATCTCTTTTTATGAGGACTTTCCTATTTAATTTTAAGAGTAGTTAATCTTATTGATGAACTAATAATTTTTTCTGATCTTGCTCTAAATTCATTAAAATACTCCTAAAATAATTCATTCCATTATTCCACATCTAAATTAATATCAAAAATAGGTCTTGAAGATCTCATTAATTATTCTACAACTTTAAAAGTTAATCCTGGATAAGGAAATTGATCTTCATTCAGTTAATTAATTTACTATATTAAACTTTATTTATATTTTAGAATAAACTTTGAAGTTTTTTCTATATTAAATATAATTTTACATTTTTATCTAGCATTTTATTATTTTTATAAATATATTTATTTCTCTTATAAATCTAATTCTTTTAAATATTAAATTTCTTAAGGTGTCAATTTAGAAAAAGTTTTAATCCTTGCAGATCCAATTAGAGCCTTATTCTTCTCTTTAAATTCTAATAAATCAGAAAAGAACTAATTATAAAGTATAAAAATACCTTTTACATTTGTAAAACATACTTTCTTCTTTCTTTTAATAAATGAGAAAATAGAACATCTTTTTTTATTTTACATTCCAATAAAGTCAATTCTTCCATAAGATTTAGTTATTAAATTTATGAGAAATTTAATTTAATCCTATATTAATTAGGCAATTAAATTTTTTCAATATATCTAGTATAAGGTAATAAAACCTAATTTTATAAAATCTAATTTGATGGTTTAAATTATTTTTTTTATTTTCTTTCGTTTTCTTATTTTATGGCAATTTGTTTACTTATATAATCTCGTAACATGCGACCATTAAGCAGAATGTGTTTTGGGAATTTTCTAATTTTAATAAAAATTTATACAATAACTTTGAAATTTAATCTTAATTTAACAATTAATTAGTTAAATATGAAAATTCATCTTAAATAAATTTAGTAAAATGAGATTGACAAGCCTTTAACTCTTCCTTTTCTTAATTAAGATTAACACATTTAAATTATTTTAATAGATGTTCATCCCAATAATAATTAAGTACACTCAATTGGATTGAAATACTATTATTAAACCAAGAACAAAATTATTATGTAATTATTGCAGCCTTATTAATACTTGCCAATCCTATGATTACTTTTAATCTAATTTAATTTCTAAGTTAAAATATATGAAGTTTTCTGATTCTTTATTATTTTCTTTTTATTCTAAGTTAAATTTTATATCTAACTATGAAAGATGTTAGAATTTTTCTGGCAGTTGCATTTAATTAATTCATTATTTTAACTAGAATGTATTTTTTTCTAAAATAATGTTAAATTTTCTTTGCAGAAATATTTTGTAAAAATTCACTTTTTCTATGATCTAAAACATTACGACTAATTTACAAACAAATTTATGTAAAATTTTAAATATTTAGAAAAGTAAGTAATTCTTTAAATAAATTTTATCTTTATTGTTTTTCTATAAATTACTATTTTTATTTCTACTTAAATTCTTATGACTTTTCATATACAACTTAAGTAAAATAATTAGCTCTTTCTATTTAAATTTCTTCTTTTTTAAGATTAACTAATTTTGCTTTTTATTAATTTTCTTATGCTTTGGTTTTTATCGATTCTAATATTTATTCTTTATTTAAAAGTGGCTTGATTGATTATAAACTAATTTAACTTATTCTATCAAACTCCTATTCTCTTTATCTTTTTTTTTATAAAACTTTTTTAGCTCTTTCTTAATGAAGTAACTAAATCTATTCTTTTGTAGTTTATATAATGCTTTTATCAAATTAATCATATTTATCATGATAGATAGGCTTAATTATCTTGAATTTGTTTCTAAATTAATTTATTTAGACTCTCTCTGGCATTTTCAAATGTAAATCTTATTTCTTCTCCTCAACTTAATTCAATATCGATAATAAAAGTCCTTCTTCATCTTTTTCTCTAGCCAATTATATATATTCATATTTTAATTAATCATTATCTGTTTAAATTACACCATCTAATTCAATAAATTCTTATGATGGATCTTTACCCACTCTATCAGTATTTGAATATTGAATTGGTATATATAATTAACTTTCTTATTCCATTTTTTACACTTCTGCATGAACACCATCAAATAATATAGGAAATTTAAGTTAATTATTTAATTTCTAATTTATTGAAGTAGAACTATGAAATATTGATGATTAACTTCCTTTAAGTGATTTATTTTTACGAATTAATTTATTTAAATCTTATGGTTCCTATCTTTAGATAATTGGGGATGTGGCTTCACTTTTTTTCTTTTCATATTCTATAGCATTCTTTTTATTCACATATGTTTAAATTAATGAAGCTTCTTCTGAAATCACCTTATATTACTCAGTTTTGAAGTGTTCAAAATTAAGGAGTGGCAAATTAATCTTATTTTCTCCTTAAATAATTAATCCAGTATTCTAAGGACCCATGTCAAAATCAATAATTTTTAATTTGATTTCTAATGGAGTTGGTTAATAAACTTCTTCAGGGAAGTTAAAAATACTATCTTTTTTATTGCTTCCCCATACATAAAGTTGACCAGAACTATTTAAAGCTCCAAAATGATCAAGACCTGCAGCCACTTTGATAAATGGACTTTTTTTCTTTATTATTTTACTAGGCATAGTAGCCTTTGATAAATCCATCTTAAAAGGTCCTTTTCCCCAAGTATATACATCACCTTTTACATCAAGTGCTATACTGTAATTGGCTCCACAAACACATTAGATTGCCTTGGCTTTAAAATCATAGATTAATTTAGGTTCTTTCTATTCTTATATATCAAATCTCATGTAACCTAACTTTCCATCTTAAAATTCACCCCAACTCCATACATTTCCATTTTCTTCCCAAGCTAAGGTATGAAATGGACCACATGATATTCCACAAAATTGAATTTAGGTGTCTATTTATTTTCCAAATGAATGTAGTATTAAGTTTTTGGTCACTATATAAAGAACATTATTATATGCTGAATAATCTTAGATATCAACAATGAATTTAAAATTAAGTTTAGAATTCCTTCTAGTTGAATGTAATGAGGGAGGATTACTTTTTTCATCAATAATTTATTAATTGAAATATTTTGTTATATTTAAGCCTTTGATTTCAAAAGATTTTCCTTAAATATCCTTAGAATATGAAATCTTTTCTGTTTTTAATAATTATGTAAATTTCAATCCTGGAATATTTCCCCAAATATATAATTACTTTGTTGTAGTATAAGCAATAACAAAATCATTTCCTCCATCTATTTTTAAAAACTAAACATTCATTAACTATGATAAATTGATTGGTGTTTTAATAGATGAAACCCTTTCTGCTAATTGTCCATATAATGATTCTCCAAAGCCCCATAAATTTTGATTGACTAATTTTGTCAGAATATTTACTATCTATCATATATGTATTCTATTAGCAACATTTAATGTAAACAAATTTTATGCTTATTTCTTTATCTTTAATTTTCGGTAACACTACTCGATTTAACCAAATTCCATTGTTATTTATGGCTATAGTCTCTAGATTGAAATCACTTGGTCCACTGACAATTACTAATAATTGGAATGCTTTTTACCATGAGTCATCGTCAATAATATTAATAAAAATTATATATCAGATCTTGCAATAAATTTTTTTATAGAATAATTTAATTGACTCCTGTTCATACTCCTTCTTTCTCATTTCTAAATTTTTAGTATCTGAATTTAGTTTTTTAGTATTTCCATACAAATTATCTAACATCAATTCAGTATGAGAAGCCAATGAAGAATCTAGAATATATAAAATGTTACTATCATCTTCTAAACATATATTGTCTTATGAATTTACTTTTATAGAATTAGGTATGTTTTTAGTTTATAAAAATATTCCATTTCTAGCTAGACTATAATTTTAATAATAACCTTACATTTAACTTGAAACTTTACTTATTTTAAGTAATTTATTATTCATTTTAGTATTAACTTAATCCATTTCTGTTAAGAGAGTATTGATATCAGTTTTTAAGAGAGTATTCATGTTCGATTTCGAATATTGAGAATATGATCTGCTTTATGATTATTTTTTTGACTTACTTTTCTCCAAATCATATTCATTTTATAAAAGTGGATTCTATTTCTTATTATCTTAAAATAAATATTCTAACGTCTTTCTAGGCTTCATAATATCACCTTAAGAAGATTCCTTTGATACATTTAGTTCAGTTACTTTAGTGCCTCCCCTATATTAATATCATTTTTCTTACATTTTGTTATTCTTATTAAAAGTCCTATTTACTATAGGACTGGATTCATCTTCATGTTTTGATTTTTGATTAAGGTTCATTTGAACTTTTTCGGCTAAATTTAATTCTGAAACCATTCTTAACATATTTAAGGGTTTTTAGATTGGCTTAAATTTTAAGAAAAATGTTTCAGGATCTTTGCATCTAATTAAAGAAAGAAATTTCTTTTTGCTTCTATCTAATAAATATGATTTTTATTAGATAACTTATTTTTCATGAATGATTTTATCTAATTCTCTTTAACGTGCAACTTTTTTAATATATACATTTCTTTCTTGTGTTGTTTTTAAATTTCTAATTTACAAATAAAACAATACTTTAAAGAAGAAGAAATTCTATGTAATTATTTAAACCATTTTTCATCTTATTAACTTTAAGTTCTCTACAATCTTTAATTAGGAGTTTTTTCTAATTAATTCATTTATTTTATTATCCTTTATATTGCAAAATAATTCATTCTGTTTTCTCTCTATATATATATATATTTCAATAATATTCTATGTCTGCAAAAATCAATACTAATAAAGAATTCATATATCTTTTTCGAAGACACTATTTACTTTCTTATTCAATTTATAATATAGTAATTTAGAAGATTAATACAATAACTTATTCTGTAATAAGAAATATAATTTTTAATAAAGAGATTAAATATAGAATCGTAAGCAAAAAAGAATGAAATGATAAATATTAGAAACTAATTATTAAATATTATTATTTTTTCAAATTAAGAATAATTTCCATAATTTTAGATGTAACTTGTATAATTATATCATGAAGATCTGTTCATTATGTCTTCTTTTCAAGTTGAATATATTGATTTTTAATTTTTGATCATTTATATACATATTACCAATTTTATTTTTCTTATCATAAATAAAAAAGCCTGTTTAACTATATGAATTCAGAATTAGGATCTTATACAGAGCGTGCTCCACTAAAGACTTAACCTTCAATCCCAAAACAACCTTAAAGACCTGCATTCTTAAAAACAGTTAATTTAAAGACTTTGCAAAATCATAAAATAGTTTCTTTTCAAAATAGAATCTGGAGAGATAAAGCATTACTAGTATTAATATAAGTACTTCGGTTTATTTCTCTAATTACTCGAAGTCCTTTTGCATCTAAGTTTTCATTGTTGGATGGAAACATGTTCAGAATAATAGGTGATAAAGCAGCAGACTTCAATTACTATTTGTTACATGATTACTTTAAATATATGGTAGTATAATTAAATAAATTAAGAAACCTTAACCATCATCTAGATTAAAATACTTTATTTAAAAACATCTTTACAAATGCTGTTATATGAAGGGATTATTAGATTCAATTATCAATTTAAAGATCATTTTAGAACCAGAATCTATATTTCTTATTGTTTGGAATTTAATTCTACTCCTTAACATAAATCTTAACATACTTTATATTACAGTGAGGTTTTCATTTGATTTTGAAAATTATCCACCTGAGAAATTTTAAATTTGCGAAGAATTTCTATTTAAAATTCCATTCTACCTCTATTTATTTGATGTAATAATAAAATTGAATACATGCTATTATGAATTAGGATATCTTGTAAGAGATCGAAATAAAATCATGGCCAACTTCTATAAAAACCGTAATATCCAAATAATTATTAGAATTATTGATTAATCTTCTGATTATTGTACCAGCAATTATATATTTGATTGGTCTAACTGAATTGCCATTATATTTATTTTTGATAATGAAAGGTTTTTCTATCCCAGAGATTATGGAATCTATTATAGATAGAATGGAATTAACTACTAATTATTGGGTAACATATGATCTGTTTCGATTGATTTATGTTATTTTATATTAATCTCATATATGTTGTTGTGGATTGTATTATGTAGGTTTATTAGATTAGGAAACTTCATGGTTAATAACTAATAATTTGATAAATGAAACTTGGATTATTAAATATGTAAAAGTTATAATTTATAAAATAGCTAAGCACATATTATTGGAGTATAGTTACTATGACAACTATAGGATATGGAGATATAACTCCTTAAAATTTAATAGAAAAAGTCTATCTAATTTTTGTTGCTATAGTTTCATGCTGTACTTTTGGATATTCAATTAATAGTATTGGTTAAATACTTGGATAATTATAATCAAAAAATCATTAAATAAGAGTTGATTTAAATGATCTTAAGTAATTTCTAAGAGTAAGAGGTTATAATAATAAATTATAAATTAAAATTTTGAGATTTTTTGAATTTTTATGGAAAGATTAAAGTAATGAAAATAAGTTAGATCTTAATAAATTTAATTAATAACTACCATCTCATCTATATAATGTATTGCAATCCAATTGATTTTCTAGGAAATGATGATAGATCTAAATATGAAAAGTATCTCAAAAATACCTTTTTTTAAAGAGAACTTCAATGAAGACTTTATTTCAGCATTAGCCTCTAAGTTTGTAGAAGAAAAATTAGTTCCATATAATACAATATTTTAAAAAAATGATCCCAGCAATTTTTTATATATATTATGTGATGGTGAAATTGAATATTTTGTTGAGATTCCAGAAGGATCAGCCAATATATTAAGTATCCAAATCATTTCTGGATAAGATTAGATATTTGGATAATAAGAATTTCTATTGGATTAAAATTATGAAATTAATTGTAGATCATTGACATCTTCTAGGATTTTAAAAATATCTAAAAATGATTTCTAAAACATTGCAAAAAAATATGGCTATGTATAAATCATTTGAATTATAGGAAAAATATTGTTAACTAAAAGATCTTGTCAAATTTTCTGGTAGATTTGATGAATTCCATTTACATTGTGTTGGATGCAATAAATCAACTCATATGCTATATCAATGTCCAATGTTAACTGGTTTTCCAAATAAAACAAAAATTATAATTTAATATAGAAAAAATTAAACTCAAGAAAGAAAATATTTTAGTAGAAAAAATATTAATAGAAGATTATCATCTTTAATTTTTGAAGCTTAGATATCAGATACTGTTTTGTATTATTTAATGCAAGATCCAAAATTGTCTTAATAAATTAGTTCAAAGTACTTTATCTCGTCACTAAAATAATAACAGCATTAAAAAGATCAAATTAAAGATATTCAGAAGGATTATCCAAATTTATAAATTGATGGAACCATGAATAATAAAAAATTATCCATTTTGAATATCAAGGCTAGAAAATAATCATCGTATATAAAAAGGTTACCTGGATTTTTAAGTAATTCTCTTTTAAATTTTAAATCTATGCAAGAAGACAAAATTAAAGCTGCTTTGGAATCAATTTCAAAAAATGTTTCTGGTTGTGAATCAGAATAATAAACTCCATAACTTAAAGAATTAAAAAAGTTTAAGACCAATATAGATAAAAATTAAGATGAAATTAATCCAATAGAACATAATAAAATAACTTAGGATGTAGCAAAATCTCTTCTTTTTAAATCAATTAATTAATCTACAAAATAATTCCAATATAATGTTCCACCTACATTAAGTGAGATGCAAAATTCTTCATTTTCTGAAGATAGCTTATCTTCTTCATCAGAATTGAAGGAAATAAGTCCAGCAATTGACTTTATAAATTAATAATATATGGGAACTTACAAAGATATTTATGAAGAATTTGATAAATGCTAGGATTTTTAAAATTACATGACTCATATGAATTCTCATAAAATTTTAGAATAATTAAATCAAAATAAAGATTGTTAGAACTTCACAGATTTCATGATAGTTAATTTTGTTAAAAAACGTAGATCCAAAAGAACAAAATTAATTATTAAAATAGAAGATTGAAAAATACTCTTCATAAACACATTATCGTATAATTTTTCATGTCTATTATCAATTAATATTTATATTAAATCGAAATTTAAATGAAATAAAAATAGATAAATAAGTTAATAGATATCTAAATGAGAAATTTGAATAACATTATATTTCTAGTAGTTTTATTAAATTTCCCATCAATCTATAAACATCTTTGCATCATAATTTTCTTCTATTATATTCCAACCACCAATACCCCAATCATTTTTGTTAAATGTAAATGCAGGTTCTGACTTTTTTGTCTTTTTTTCATAACTAGGTTAACTTTTTAATAATGTATTAATTGATTATTTTGTACTAGTTTAACTTCTACATTAAACAGGAGCCGTTTCAATTCTAAATTATTCATCTGGAACACTTTTTGCTTATTTCAATCCCAATTTTAGTTTAAGCTTCTTAAATGCAGGACATCTGCTATGTATACGATCAGTCTAAAATGAAGCCAATGTTTATGTAGGTAAAATTTTAAATGCACATATAGGAAGTGATATATCTTTCTCTTTTGAAAATTTTCTAGATGAGAATAAAGATTTGATAAGTAAAGGATTCTTTATTTAAACTGGCTATCTAACTCCATATTTGGAGGATTGCACATGATAAAATTGAGATGATGGTTTCTTTGTTAAAATATCATTTTAAGCTTTTCTTGTTTAAGAAAGATGTTATTTGATGAGTTCTTTATTGTAAAGACAATCAATTAATAATTCTTTATCCATAATAAATAATAATAGTTATTTATTGAGTATTTTTGATATTGTTTTATAATAGAACCTAAAAAATAAAAAGGAAGTTCAAATTCTATTAACATATATTATATCAACTAGGATGATAATTTGAAATAGTATGAAAAATATTTATAATTTCTGAATAAATTGGTTTCAAGAGTTTGTAATATAATTTTGTTAAATTATTTTCGGAAATTAATATAGAATTCTGGAATTGAATTGTTTAATATAATAAAAAACTTAGCAATTCAAATCATTAATTAAAATTCTCATAAAATTAGAATCTATGATTAGATTCTGTATAGGAAGAAACATTTGAAACCTTCTCCTTTATATCCTGGTTCAATCTAGTAAATTTTGATTATGTTTCTGTAAATTATTTTGATTAAGTCTAACTCTTATCTTATTGTTGACTTTTATACTATTAATTTTCATACTTTTGATTATTCTATTATTATTAATTAGCCGATTAATTTTCCTTACCTTCTTCTTATGAATTATTATTCACAATGTTCATAATTACAAATCCAAAAAGTAAAATAATTCCAATAGCAAAAATTGAGTTGATACTTAAGAAGCTATCATATTTTTGATTAGAAAATTCACTGTATGTCTGATAAGTTCTTCTAAATGGATCATCTGTAAATGTGTATGTTCTAGTAAATGGTTAAGAATATCGTCTATTGTTGAAAGGCATTTCATCGTCATCTTTATCTGCATTGCCATCAATTATTTCTTAATAAGCATGGGTTATTTTTTTGTACTTTTCATGAGCTCCAGGAGAATCATTTTTATCAGGATGATATTTCAAAGACAATTTCCTAAATTATTTTTTTACACTTTCCAAATCAGCTCCTTTTGTTAATCCTAAGATTTTATAATAATCTTCCTTAGCTAATGATAATGCCAAAAATATGAGAATCAAAATTTTCATTAATTTTAAATATATATAGATATTCATTCAAAACTTTATATATTATTAATGTTGGAGTTTATACATATATTAGAAAGATAAATGAAGTTTTCAATAATTGAGTAATTACTAAAATAATTATATTAAAGTTGAAACAAATATCATTATATGTTTTCATGGTTTTGTGATTATTCAATTTCAGGTTTAATATTATCTATTGTTTTTTTCATTTATTAGTATTTATAAACTAAAATTTATTTTAGAAATATACTTCTTCCTTTTTGGTAAAACTTTGATTTAAGTTCTCTAAATGCTTTAGTCTCTTTGTCCTCTTCTTCATCTGGATGCACAACTACTGGTGCTGCTCTTTTTGGTTTTCCTTAAATAATGGTTTAAATATATTGATCTCTTTTTAAATCCTCCATTTATGCTAACTTTTATGCTTCCTCTCTAATTGATAAATTAAATATATTACTCAAGAGATAAATTCACTTGGATGATACCACCGACGTAAAATGATGGGTCTTTTTCTTCGTTTTTTGATAAAAATTTGGCTTAAGTCTGAAAAGAGATAGAAGCAAATAATATACCTCACGAATTTCTTCTAAGAGTTCAGCATCTCGTTATTATTCATCTTAAACATTCTCAACCTGACCACAGAAAGCTAATGGATCAACACTCTTAATTTTTTCTTAGACATATTTTTCCATGAGCTTATCTGGTTTCTCAGTTTTTTATTTAATATAGTTTATGCTCGTTAATCCTCGAGCTGAATCTTAATTAAGAAAATTTCTTTCTCTTTCATTATTGGTGGCTGACTTTTTTTGACAGATTTATTTTTCTTTTGCTAATTACTAAACATTAATCCCAACTCTTTTTTATTTCTAAATTGATTTTTCTATTTATGGATGCTAATTAACATTTGGATGCTATTGTTAATCATCATCTTTATCGTTGTCAATCAATTTAAGTTCTTATTTCTTAATTTTCTTAGAAAACATAATATACAATAATTATTAAAAAGAATATAAAGAAATATATTATTAATAATATTTTAATATCCTAAATCAAGACAATGTTGCTGTTTCTCTTCTCTTTTATCTACTACTTTTATTTGATTCCAAATAGATAGGAAACTAATAAAATAAATTAATTCATTACCTCTTTTCTTTAATCAACAGGTACATAATTTCTTTTCTCAGGCCCAACATAATTTTATCTTGGTCTGACTATGTTATTTTCTTTGTCATTCAAATATTCCTTCCAATGTGCTAACCATCCAGCAACTCTTGGAATAGTGAATAATACTGGGAACATATCAGTTGGGAATCCCAAAGCTCTATAGATAACTCCACTATAAAAATCAACATTTGGATATAATTTTCTTTAAATGAAATATGGATCTGATAAAGCAATCTTCTCTAATTCAATTGCTATTTCAATCAATGGCTCTTTGCCAGTAATTTCAAAGACTTAATAAGCAATCTATTTGACAATCTTAGCTCTTGGATCATAATTTTTATAAACTCTATGTCCAAAACCCATTAACAATTTTTTTCTATCTTTTACATCTTTTATAAACTATGGGATATTCTTTAGATCCCCAATCTCTTCCAACATTCTGAGGACTGCTTCATTAGCTCCTCCATGTTTAGGTCCATAGAGGGCACCAGCAGCACCAGCTATGGCAGTATAGATATCAACTCCACTTGAACTCAAATGTCGAACAAATGCAGTAGAACAATTTAATTCATGCTCTGCATGTAAAATAAATAAGACTTCTAATGCTCTTGTAATTTTAGGATGTGGTTTGTATTCCTTTTCATTCAATTTATCAAGCATATATAAGAAATTCTCTACATAACTCATATTCTCATGAGGCATATTATGTTCTCTACCTATTCTATTTCTAAAACTATTAGATGCAATAGTAGGTAATGATCCCAAAATACGATAAATTTATTTATTCACGATGTCTTAATTCTTATAAACTCCTTCTCCTGCTAAAGCTGGATTAACTTCAGGATGAAAAGTTGAAATAGCAGCTAGAGTTGAAATTAACATACCCATTGGATGGGCATCATATCTAAAGCTCTTCATCATTTAAGATGCATCTGTATGGATGAATGTATGCTTTCTAAGCTTTTCATCCCATTCCTACAATTAACTCTTGCTTGGTAATTCACCATTAATCAGTAAGTAAGCTACTTCAACAAATGTAGATTTCTCTGCTAATTCCTCTATAGGTATTCCTCTATATTCCAAAATTCCCTTGTCTCCATCAATGTAGGATATTTTAGATGTCTAATAATATTCAGATTTATATTTTACGCAGCATATTGTGTTCATATAACCTGGATCATAAACTCTCAAAGGCTGACCTTGATATTAAAGAGCACCCAATTTTGTCGCATGGATAAAATCGCTTTCTCTGGATGTACTGATTGGAACCTCAATAGTTTTGCCAGTTCTATTATCAGTGATTGTCAAGTGATGAGCCAACTAATTAGCATAGAGAGCCAACCTATTCATTATATTTAATAATATTGACTCATACTTAAAACACTGACGTCTTATATAAATATATATTAAATTATAAATGGAATAATTATATCATCGTGATCCCACATATTAAGAATAGGAAAAAAAAAGAGAGCAACTCTTAAATAAATTGCCACAGCCTAATTTAAGTGCAAATTTAGATGAATTGATTAACAATTCAATCCAGCTTTCTTTGAAAGGAACCTCAGATTTTTTTATTAGTAAAAAACTCAAAAGCGCCAGAGAAAAACCTGACAGTGAAGTATATACCATATAGTTTAACTTAAGGAACTTATGCAAAAATTATTAAAGAAATTTGAAATTGAAGAGTATGGCACAAACTTTACTAAAGATGTTTATGATCCAAAGAAGATAGGTGATGATTCTGTTGTTGATGATAAAAAAGTACTTCGACCTACTGTTCCTAATGTATTTATTATCTCTATATTTAATTTTTAGAGTTTTACACATTCAAATAGATGAATAAGATGTAAATAAATATTAATCAATATTATAATTATCTATAAACTCAATATTAGTTTAAATTTCATCGCTTTACTAATAAGGATTTTGCCAATTAAACTGCTGTATGTTAATCTACCAATAATTCAACCAAGGCTAATGCAAATTCTATAGCTGTTCCTGGAGATCTAGATGTAATAAACTTGTTGCTAACATGTACTCTATCCTCTGAAAATTATCCTTTGTAATCCTAAACATGAGCAGGATGACAGGTTCCTGTTGAATTAATCATAAAACCATTCTTGTCTAAAACCAATTAAGGAGAAGCACAAATGGCAGCTATCCATTTCCCTTCCTCCTACTGTTATCTTAATCGATCCAACTATTATCAAATTAAACATCTATAATACCAATGGTTAATGTGTTCCTAATGATTATGCATTTGATAATCCTCCTGGAAGAGCTATCAGGTCAAATTGCTATTTCAAAACTGTCTCAGTTAAATACGTATCACAAATAAAAGATATTCCAGATCTACCCACAATCAAAGGAGCTTTTTCATCTTCAACAGGTTTAATAGATGCAAAGGTCACATCAATATTTGCTCTACGTAATATATCGATTATTGCCACAGTTTCAATTTCTTCACACCCATCACCAACTGGGACAAGAACTTACTTATTTTAATTTTACATATTAATATTATGATTTTAATTTCAATAAGAATAATTGATATTTATAATAAATCATCAATCGTCTATTCTAATTCCAATATCATAATGCTCATCTGAACAAAGTAAATGTATTTATTTATCATCATCTTATCCATAAATTTGAATGTCTACTGAACCTTTCACTTTATTGATATTATATTAGTGAATTTAACTAAATATTATCAATAAATATACATATTAAGCCTATTTGATAACAAATCAAAAACTTTCTAAGCATCGAGTAAATTATTTTCCCAATACTAAATCTCTTCTGCTTCTTCATTTTCATAAGCATTTTAAGTATTTAATAATTATGATATCAAATTTCTAAAGAAAATAATAGAGAGCCCATAAAAGAGGCTTTGTCTATCATTCATTAATAATTCTAATTAGTCAACTGGCTTCTCCATTTAATAAATTTCTAACATTATCTATAAAAATTAGCTTTGTTGATTCTAAAATATTTTCTCATCAATCAAAAATTACCTACTCTTAATGATTACATTTATTGTTTTAATCCAACTCAATTCATTTTAAAATTAGTTAAAGGTAGGCTAATTTAAAGCATTTTCTAGAAACTAAAAAGAAATGGCGGCAAAAAGACTATTAGGATCATCCTTTACTTTTCTAAATCCGTTTAGCCTTTCCTTTAACTGTATTGAAATTGCCTTATTATTTACTCCTAATTCTTTTTCTAATTAATTTTAGTTTAATATTTTGCTAATAAAAACTTCATCTGGAATATAATTATCGTTGATACTATATAAACCAAGAATCACATTCTTAATGTCATCCTATTAATTTTTAACTTATTTTGGCATAATCGGATTTAAAACTAACTTACTTTCTTCCTATGCTTATGTAAATAGTTAATAATTTTCTTATTTAAATTAGTTTTCAAATACTTTTTTGAATTAAGTTGTTTGTATTTGTATATCCTCAACCAAGAATTTTTCACTCTATTTATTCTTTTTTTATTTTTCTTATTTTGAATTTTTATCGATATTTGGTTGTTCTGATTTGCTTTGATTTAAATTATTTACAGGAGTTGAAATTTTGTTAATCGAAAATATTGTTTTTTATGTATTGTCATAGGAATCATCTTCATCTTAATTAGCATTTTCTTAAATTAATTCCTATTCTTATTGAATCTCTTTAAGATTCTGTCTTTTTTGAAGTTCATTTGCATTAAAAATTTTATAAGTTTAATCCTTACTTTACTCCTAATCCATCATATATGAATCGATGGCATATTTAATAATAATGGCAATGAAAAATGCTATTATTATTAAGACAATCATTGATAATATTTCATTAATCATTATTATTAATTAAACTAATATTCTAGAGGAAAATAATTTTAATTCTTATATTCATAATTTGTTAATTGTGTTAAATTTAAACTTCAAAAAAGGTTTTCATTCCAAAAATCAAAGCAAATGGCATTGAATAACTATTTTCACTTTTGATGTAATTTATTAATGATTAATCTAATAAATTCCAATTATTTAAAACGAAGGGTATTTAAGATCTCAATATTCTGTTTATATAAATAATAATGTTATTTTTATATATATTAATTAATTCTATTTTGAACAGAATTGATAAAGGCTAATATAGGATTATAATTTTTATAATATTGTTTTGATTAATAATATACCTCTATCTCAAGCATTTTACTTGTAATTAACAGTACTAAAAAGAGAATTGATCAAAAATAATTTCATCTCAAGTATTTAAAACTTCTATTATATTTCAAATATTATTTTCATGCAATTGCCATGACATAAAAGTCTGCATCTAGATTTATTTGTTGATATATCTCTTAAATGGTAATTTTTTAGAAATTTACAATTGAGTATAATTTCCTTTAATCAACTTGATGTATTTAATTATTATTTTATATTTAAAATGGAAGCCAATTGGATTACAAAGCAAGTAACAAAATATATTGTTATTAATGAAAAATTGAGTTGTGAAGCATTTGGTTGTTTATATAAAGGTTTCTACAAAGATGATGAAACCAAACTAATCGCTGTAAAGATGGTCAAAATAGCCGTAACTTTATCATAAGCAAGACCTTCTAGGTGTTTGGTGAAAATCCAAAGCTTCTTGAATTGTTTAAATAAGAAATTGCAATCCTTTAAAAAATCAATCATCCAAATATTATAAGAATGATTGATATCATTCGTACCAATAATTATGTGTATATAATCCTTGAATATTGTGCAGATGGAAACCTCAAAAAATACATGGCAAAAAAGAAAGAAAATAGACTTAGCGAAGTTAAACTTTAATTTATGATAGGTTGAAGCAATACTCTTTATCAATCATATTGTTGAAGGCTTTAAAATTTTATATTAGAATAAAATAATACATCGTAATATTAAGCCGGGCAACATCTTACTACATGAGGGAATAGCAAAAATTACTGATTTTAGCATAGCTTGCGTGATAGATTCAGATATGAATGGTTTTCAATTTAGCATTTTAATTCATTAGCTCCAACATAACTTACGAAAATGGGTACACCACTATACATGGCTCCATAAATTCTATAAGGAAAGCCATTTTCTTCAAAATCTGATATATGGTCTTTGGGAGTCACATTTTATGAAATTCTTTATGGTCGCGTCCCATGGGAAGGCTAAGATTTTGAATCATTTTTTGAAAATGTCCAAAAATAAGTATTTTAAATATTTCATTTAGCCAATATTATACCCTAATAAACCTTTCAGATCAAAAGGAGTGAAGGAACTTATAACTAAAATGCTACAAATTGAAGAAAGTGATAGAATATCCTGGTAGGAAGTATTTGAGTGCTAAATTCTAAAAAAATAAGAGCAAATCAATCAGCCAGACTTCATAAATATATTTCAAGAAAAAGGTTTCTTAATAATAATAATATCAAGATGAACTAGGCAAATCAATTTTAATTAATAAGTGTTATCTTGAGCAATATTTAGTGGCTAGATATTTNATAATTTCCTTTAATCAACTTGATGTATTTAATTATTATTTTATATTTAAAATGGAAGCCAATTGGATTACAAAGCAAGTAACAAAATATATTGTTATTAATGAAAAATTGAGTTGTGAAGCATTTGGTTGTTTATATAAAGGTTTCTACAAAGATGATGAAACCAAACTAATCGCTGTAAAGATGGTCAAAATAGCCGTAACTTTATCATAAGCAAGACCTTCTAGGTGTTTGGTGAAAATCCAAAGCTTCTTGAATTGTTTAAATAAGAAATTGCAATCCTTTAAAAAATCAATCATCCAAATATTATAAGAATGATTGATATCATTCGTACCAATAATTATGTGTATATAATCCTTGAATATTGTGCAGATGGAAACCTCAAAAAATACATGGCAAAAAAGAAAGAAAATAGACTTAGCGAAGTTAAACTTTAATTTATGATAGGTTGAAGCAATACTCTTTATCAATCATATTGTTGAAGGCTTTAAAATTTTATATTAGAATAAAATAATACATCGTAATATTAAGCCGGGCAACATCTTACTACATGAGGGAATAGCAAAAATTACTGATTTTAGCATAGCTTGCGTGATAGATTCAGATATGAATGGTTTTCAATTTAGCATTTTAATTCATTAGCTCCAACATAACTTACGAAAATGGGTACACCACTATACATGGCTCCATAAATTCTATAAGGAAAGCCATTTTCTTCAAAATCTGATATATGGTCTTTGGGAGTCACATTTTATGAAATTCTTTATGGTCGCGTCCCATGGGAAGGCTAAGATTTTGAATCATTTTTTGAAAATGTCCAAAAATAAGTATTTTAAATATTTCATTTAGCCAATATTATACCCTAATAAACCTTTCAGATCAAAAGGAGTGAAGGAACTTATAACTAAAATGCTACAAATTGAAGAAAGTGATAGAATATCCTGGTAGGAAGTATTTGAGTGCTAAATTCTAAAAAAATAAGAGCAAATCAATCAGCCAGACTTCATAAATATATTTCAAGAAAAAGGTTTCTTAATAATAATAATATCAAGATGAACTAGGCAAATCAATTTTAATTAATAAGTGTTATCTTGAGCAATATTTAGTGGCTAGATATTTAATATAAGATCATATTGTGGTTCTTGAAAAGCAAAAGGAAATTGCTTTGAAGAGTTTTTGTGAAGTTCGATCAAAATCAATTAATTATGAATAAGATCTAAATGTAAAAGTTTTTTCTTTAAGCAATAGAGTGAAATTCTTCTGCGTAATTAATAAATTGAGACAAAAAGAAAAGCAGCTATGCTAAAATATTATAATTACTTTTTATTTGAAAGAAATGTTTCATTTTTTTTTAATTTTGTTGCTTAAAAAATTATTTTGCTGCAATAACAATAATTGATGCTGCCTAATGAAAGTTATTATGGATTACTTTTTTTTATTGCTAAAAATTAATTAATCCATTTAGAAAGAGTAAATGAATAATTTACAAAGAAGGTTCATGAAAAGTTTAATTAAGAAACATGGAATAGTTTTTTATTATCTGAAGTAATTATAAATTCATTTTCTAGGAATTTAAGAAATTAAAATCATTAATCTAAAAAGATTTGAAGTATTCTTTCGATTTTTTTTAACAAATATCCAACGCCTTCAATAAAACAGTAGATATTGATCTGTTAAAGAGATAAATATCGAAGAAGAAAAAGAATTTTATTTTAGAAATTGAAAATTTTAATAACAATTCATTCAAAATTGATTAAGGTTTTTATCATTTGTATCATGAAATTATTGGAGATAATATTAAAGAACTTATCAATATAAAAAGTTAAGCAATAGATTATAATTTACTCATTTTATATCTATCAATTTGCTTAAAACCCTATGAAGAATTCAAAGAGATTACTTTTGATTTTGACATATTTTATGAATAAACAGAATAACAGAAGCTTAATGATATTTATGAAAGGTTGTTACAAAAAGGATTTTAATTGTAAATTCTAATTTGATTTTGTTTTATTGTAATTTTTATTGAAAGACTTTTATTTATTAACTAAATTCTTTGCCATAAGAAAATTTACGTTCATTCTTATATTTAGTGAATCTACAATTATGTGGATAAAAATACAAATGTGTAATTTTTCATGTCTTCCTAAAATGTCAAAGTAACTTCCTCCAGTTATTAAGAAACATCATTTTAAATCTTTCTCTTCTTTTATATTCCATTTTTATGCTTGAAATCCGTCTGAATGCTACCTTCAAATAATAACTTATTACCACTAAAAGAATATTATTAAAACGCTTAACCTGTAGTCATGATAAATATCAATGTTTTTTTGGAAATCTCTGTAAAAACCTCAACTTTCTCTTTAATTATAATAATTCACTTTAATCTTTTCGCATAAACTTAAGACATTCCTTTTTTTCCTTAATGGGCCATTTACATTTTTTAATATTGATATTCCTTTAAAGATATTTTTTATTTTTATTATAAATTACTAATATTCTTTTCATTAATTAAAAATTTAGTTTTTATTTCAATAAAAATAAGAAAATAATATTTATTTCTTTTTTTGACAATTAAGCCTTGTTTATGTGAAATGTAATGACAGATTTTCATTTTATTAATATAAATGAATATTCACTTTACAACAATTATTATTTCTTCATCATTAAATTATTTAAAAGGGAATTAAGGGTCAAATTTTGGTGGAGTTATGGAGAATTAAATGCGTTTGTGAAGATATATTAATTGATTTCATACTTTTTTTTGAAGTAATGAAAACTGGAAAATGGAAAACACTTCCTTATCCAGAAATATTTACAGAATGATGGTGTGCTTTAGAAAAAAGATGTGTAAGTGTATGGTCCATTATGAAAAAAATGTAGTGACAATTCTCAGTGAAATTTCAAAGATTATGATTGTCTATAAGATTTGGAACTCAAAAAATGTTTTGAACAATCATTACATCCAAATTGCTATGAATAATTATTATCGTTGTGTTTACTTGGAAGCAGGACTATGTGTTGCTAAAATGTGAAATGTTAAGAATTGACAAATTGTGGGGATGAAGATGGGGAAGACGAAAGATGTAGATTAACTAAAATAGCCTGTCATCAAGAAAATTCTTTCATCTATAAATATGATTGGACGATAAAGATACTATGTATACAGTTGTAGCTTAACTGCAGAAAAATTAATGGCTCTAGATTCTATTTTTGTCGAGAAAGCAGTAAAAGATTGCATTGATTGGGATTCGGCTTAGGAAACCCACAAGGCTTACCTAGAATAATCTTATTTAACACATATTATTGTTTCTTCTGTAAAAATTTTAAATTTAGAAACTGCATAAAAAAATTATTTAAAATAATTCAATTTTTTTTATATACATACTGTAAATCACATTTCTTAATTTCAATGAATTTATGACTTCTGAGGGACTCATAAAATATATTTTCACTGGTTTTGACGCTCTTTCTTGATTTCTTCCGATATATCACTAAAGCCCCTTCCTTCTTCCTAAACTTTTCTTAGCCTTAATGGCATATTTTATTTTTCTGAACTGCTTGAAGTTTATTTTTCTTCTTGAATTATTGTCTCTTGAACAATTTTTCTCTTTTTCTCTTTCTCCCTTTTAAAAGAAAGTTCATTTGATAAAACTACTTTTTTAAATTAATGTTATTGGTTGTACTCTTATCTGATTATTACTTTTGGGATTTATATCTCTGGAGGTGGTCATTTCTCAATCACTTGAATTAATTGAGATTTTAGTATATTTAACTAATTAACATCTATTTTTTTCATTATTATAGATTCCTCCTTCTCTTTGACCTAATTGGGCTCTATTAAAATTTTCTCTCATTTACTTTTAGAATTTATAAGACTATTTCCTAAAAAAAACCGTAAATTTTTCATTGATATTGTAAAAAATGCATTTCTTGAAAAGTTATTTCCGTTTAAAATTCTTTATTAAAGTGTCATTTTTAGAACTCAATTAAATTGACAGCCATCATCCAATATTGTTTCATCGAGGTTATTTCTCTTTCTTTTAGGTCCTCTTAAAATCTTTATATTTGAGGAATAATTTAGAATTATGGTGAGCTAGATGATAAAGAGACAATCATACTCCTAATCCAAAAGTTTTACAATATAATCAAATATACTTAAATCTATATAAATATCCAAAGTTTGGATAGAATTAGGTTTTTAATCCTTTTCTTCCCACTAACTCCTCATATTATTATTTTAAAAAGATAATCATCTCCATTTCTTATTAGTTTTTAGTAAGGTTTCAAAATATTTGAAAACCATATTTCGTCTATCAAAGAATTCGAAGATACTTAGGTTATCTTAATTTTAATTTTAAGAAGTATATTTTTAATTTTCCCATAAAGACTTAGCTTTCTTCGTGTTAAATAAAGCTAAGGGGAAATATACTGGAAACATTGCTTAAGATATTTATTCCAAAGCTGAAGTATATAACTTAATGGAAGGAATTTATTTAATGATTGTAATCACCCATCAATGAAATTCGCTACAGTTTTGATATGAGATCTAAGTTTATTTATATCACCTTTATTATGAAAGTAAAAACTAAGATATTAAAATTCTTTAACTCTTAACTAGAGTGATAAGTTATTGCCTTTGTTAAACCAAAAGTTTTTTCATATTTATCTAAATTGAAAATTCATTCATAATTGAAAATTGCTCAATCATCAAACATCATTATAAGAAATATTCTAAATTAAAAGTATTACATTATATACCTAATAATTGAATGCCAAATAGGAAACGTGTTAATATCGATCCTTAATGAACACTATATTTAAGAAAACTTTTCTTTCATCAACTGGCCCATAAATATATAAAAAGTCATAAATCCATTAAAGTAGGTCAAATTCTCTTTGTTAAAAGAACTTTGAGTATCTTTCTTAATATATCGATAACTTACTGATTTTGATTATTTAACTTCGTTAGAACGAGAATTTACTTTTACTATTCTATTACTTAACTACTATATATTGAAAATTTTAATTGATTCAAAGCTAAATTGTAAAACTCTTTTAAAGAGAAAACCGCAAAATATTTAAGTTAAGCAGGTCAAAAGACTCTGCTTTTTTATTAGCTCCTAGTTGTTTTGATTGTATCTTTGTAAAAGTTATAGGGAAGTTCTAAGAAGGGTAAATTTCATAATCTTAACCCTAAACTTTTTTATTGAAATCAATTTTAATGTACCTAAATGAAGAGCTTCTTTCTAAACTTATACCATACTATTATTGTTTTGACACTATTCATTTTGAACCTTTTTATTTTGATGGAATGAAATTTTTAAAATATTATAGTAATTTATGGTATTTTATAATCTCATTAGAAAATAACTTGACTTTTATAATTTCTATCTATTCCAAGAAGGATCTATTTTAAACTTAATAATATTTTGTCTATTTAATTTAAAAATCTTTAGGTCTCTTACATACCTATAGTAAGAATAGACATCTTTGACTTCCTTATGTTTATTCAAATACACAGGAATTCACTCTGGTTTCATTATTGGTATTGTTAATAGGTTCTCTTATTCAATTGACAAGAATATAGTTAAAGGTCAATGATCTGACTTTTATTTCAAGAATAATAGTGTCTCTGAAGTGTGATTAAGATTCTTTTAGACTATCTCCATAAAATTAATCTTAATAAAAAGACTACGATCATATTTAAGATTTCTTCTCCATCTCCAGAGTTATTCTCTTAGAGATTCAAGGATGGCACTTGTTTTAAACCAAATATATAATAATAATAATATTAAATCAAATAATTTTGAAGAATTTTATAAATGTATCAAAAGCAATCTAATAAAAACACCTTCTTTTTTATTAGGATTTAAATTTTTAATATATTCATCATTTTAAATGCATACTTTTTATCATAATTGTCCAAATAATATTACATAATTAAAATTTAGTAATTTTAGATGCAAAATACATAAGGTTCTACAAAACATGATTGAAAAACATTTCAAATCAAACGAAGAATAATTTATCAAAAGGTGTTATGAAATAGAAAGTAAAATTAGATAAATTTTGGGGGTTTTTCAACATTCAAGTTTTTTCTTATTTCACCATTTTAGTTATAACAAAAAAGTTTGAGGGTTTCTAATTTTATGATCTTAATACTTCTTACAAATATCAATAGACAATTAAAAATGTGTTTATGCAAAATGTGCCTATTGTTATAACAGACTTTAATTCTCTTATGAATTCGAATATTCTACATATTACATATGAAATTAATGAGTAAATTCCTTACTAAATTAAAATATACTTTACCTATATTCGTAAATATTATCAAGACATATTATGAATTTTACAACAAAATCAACAATAAGAAATATGACATCACAATTATAATCTTTTAAATTTATACTTTTAGAATTAGTGTTACTTTAAAATTGAAAAATGATTATGATTGATATTTTACTCTTCTAAAGATTAAAATAAATTTATTTAAGTTTAAAAGTAATCTATTCTAATTTAATATTAGCAACAAAAAAATTTATATTTATTAAAACTAAAAAATAAAAGCAATCTTTTCAGAAACATAATCTTTGCATTGATGAAAAGAAAATGTGCATTCATATCCATTACGACCAAATCCATTAGCTTCTCATTCATATTCACACGAATTAATTGTATCTACTTTTAGCTTTCAAAACACTCAATTTCTTAATTAAATCAAGGAATGGATCAATCTCAGTTTAACAAAACATTATTCTTTTCATCCTTTTAAAGTTAATGATGAGGTTGATATAACTTTGATTATNATATTAATATGAAAATACTTATATTAACAATTTTCGCTTAAAGAAGAAAAATTTACATAATTGTCCAAATAATATTACATAATTAAAATTTAGTAATTTTAGATGCAAAATACATAAGGTTCTACAAAACATGATTGAAAAACATTTCAAATCAAACGAAGAATAATTTATCAAAAGGTGTTATGAAATAGAAAGTAAAATTAGATAAATTTTGGGGGTTTTTCAACATTCAAGTTTTTTCTTATTTCACCATTTTAGTTATAACAAAAAAGTTTGAGGGTTTCTAATTTTATGATCTTAATACTTCTTACAAATATCAATAGACAATTAAAAATGTGTTTATGCAAAATGTGCCTATTGTTATAACAGACTTTAATTCTCTTATGAATTCGAATATTCTACATATTACATATGAAATTAATGAGTAAATTCCTTACTAAATTAAAATATACTTTACCTATATTCGTAAATATTATCAAGACATATTATGAATTTTACAACAAAATCAACAATAAGAAATATGACATCACAATTATAATCTTTTAAATTTATACTTTTAGAATTAGTGTTACTTTAAAATTGAAAAATGATTATGATTGATATTTTACTCTTCTAAAGATTAAAATAAATTTATTTAAGTTTAAAAGTAATCTATTCTAATTTAATATTAGCAACAAAAAAATTTATATTTATTAAAACTAAAAAATAAAAGCAATCTTTTCAGAAACATAATCTTTGCATTGATGAAAAGAAAATGTGCATTCATATCCATTACGACCAAATCCATTAGCTTCTCATTCATATTCACACGAATTAATTGTATCTACTTTTAGCTTTCAAAACACTCAATTTCTTAATTAAATCAAGGAATGGATCAATCTCAGTTTAACAAAACATTATTCTTTTCATCCTTTTAAAGTTAATGATGAGGTTGATATAACTTTGATTATGTTGTTCTCCATGCCATGCAATTTTAGCCTTCGAATATATAATAACTTATCCTGGGTTTATATTATTCAAAGAAACTGGTTTTGCTTTGATATTCAATTCATTTTCTGTTCACCAAACTTCAATTCCAGTCAAATACTAATCAATCATTCCATTTGTTTTAATAACATATAAGAAGACAAATTGGTCATTTAAAGATCATGTACCCCATATGCAGTACATGTAGAATTAGTGAATCACTTATGTATCAGCCTTTTTTTAGCAGCTTCAAAACATTGAGCAATTTATAGTGGATTGATAACTCAAAGGTTTGAATGGTATTTCAAATGCAGCTCAATATTTTTTCTCAATAGTCAGAGAAAATTCAAAATAAAAGGTGTATTAGAGTTTCCTAGCTGCATAATTAGAATTTGCATAAAAGCTTATTGTAAATGATTCATTCAGAATTGAATGTCTCAACTAATATAGTTTTGAAACCATCTTCTGGAATAGTGAATGAATAATATTTCCATCTTTTTAAGAACATGATAGTGTTATTAGTAAGTCAGTATTAAACTTGATCAGCATAGATATTTGATGTAAATTTCCATAATTTAAGATCAAAAAACTGTATCAGCTGTTTTTCCACCTTCCTAAACAAGACCATAATGTGTTTAATTATGAAAAAAAATCAAAATATCTGAAACTAATGTTTTCAGTTATTAAAAGCAGCAAAATTAAAGTTGAAATTGTCTCTAACACATAAAAAGAAAAACAGAAAATGAAAAGCAAAAAATGAAGTTGTTCTTTTTGGACAATTTCCATAAACATTATTATAAATATCAAGGGGAGTCAAATTTTTTTAAACCTTTTCCTTTCTTATTCAGCTGATAAATTACCATTTTTTATACCAAAAAGAGAATCAACAAAAAGAATTAATCAATCAATCATTGAACTCGAATGATATATCACTTTAATATGCAAAGCTCCTCATAAATGCCAATGCTAAAGGAAACTTTGTGCTGAATGTCTAGATGATCATGAAGTAGATTGTAAACATACAATATCTCTGAAAAATTTTTAGAAATGGCCCTCAAGAAATTAAAAGACTCCAAGCTTAATGATACCTCCGAATTAACAAAATAGAGGATGGACTTTAAATCTTTGCTCTCTAAAATCGAATAAATGTTGAATGAACAGCAAAATTAATCATGCTTAAACCTCATCAACGAAAATACTAATCTGGCTGAATCCTCCTACACAGACTTGGAAAAATTAGTAAACATTGTAGAAGGAACAACTCTGTCTTATTGGAATGCTTAGAAGAATTCTTATATGATTGAATTAGAGAAGACCAAGAGTTGGTGGGACTAACATATAAAAACTTTTATTGAAAAGTCTAACCAAAGAATTCAATAGATTCTATCATTAATTAAGTAAATATTTTAATCATAATTTAAGGAAAGAAATAGAAGTTTATCAAATGAAAGATAATCTTTATGACCTCTTTACTTACATCCAGGATATTGATGAAACTATCTATAAGAAGATTCTTGAAATACTTAGAAAAGAGAAAGTTTCAGACATCTTAGGATTCCTTTCCAAGACAAATAATCAAATCTTTGTTGAATCTATAATCAATGAGCAAGTTAATATGGAGGATATGACTAAGTAGGTATAGAAAATAACAAATGTATTGAGAAATATTTAGGATCATAAATTTAGTAAGGATGATTATTCTTCAGAGACTTATGAGAAGGCAAGATAAGATCTAATAAAGAGAATGAAGGATAACAAAGGGATCACAGATTTCATCAAATTTTTAGTAATCCTTACAAGCATAGATGTAAAATAGATTTAAAGTGGATCAAATGGACTAAGTTTATTAGTGGCCATGAAGGTAGATCTTAGGAAAGTTTCTTTTGAGAATATCAGGATAAAAAACACTTCATTAATTGGAGGTAACTTTGTACGATGCAATATGAATGGATCTTAATTTGAAAATGTAGACATAAGTGGTGTCAATTTTAATGGAGAATAGATGTTCAATTGTAAATGGAAGAACATTAAAGTCCATGAATTAAATTAATTAGATGGTCATAGTAATGATGTCAACTCAGTCTGTTTCTCTCCTGATGGAAATACATTAGCTTCTGGTAGTAGAGATGACTCTATCCGTCTATGGGATATCAAAAACAAGTATTGTTCAGATTATAGATTTAAAGAAATTTAGGTTAAAAATACAAAATTTCCTTTTTTTAACACCCCTTTTGCAGTAAAAGAATATTATTTAAAATTTAAGTACATCTTATATTATGGTTTACCCAGACTTCAATTTTTCAAGTTTTAAAAAAACCGTTTCCTTTTAGGAGAATTATTGGAGTAGCACTTGATTAATTTAAAAACTAACCTATATTAACCCTTAATTTAACTCTATTTTAATATACTTCATGTGTCCAATATTTGTTGATAGAGTTCAATTTTTTTAGTTTTTTTCTTTTTTAACAATCTTGAAGCATTACTAAAATGGAAACTAATTTAGCACATTTAAAAATTACAATAATAATTATTAGTTGCATGAATGCAATAATATCTTAATTCTTTGTATACTGTTTTTTTGGTATTATTCTTATCATAACCAAGCATTTTCTATCAATTTATATTTCGAATGTGAATTGTATAAGATTTATAAAGTATATTCTACAACTAAATCTTTCAGCATTTATCATTTCTAAGTTTTCTAATCTTCTTATTTCTTGAGAGTGAATATATCTTATTCACAAAATAATATATTCTCAACTCATATTTAATTAACAGTAATAC